AATGCCCTGTTCGCGACAGAATCCAGCGAGAATGCCGGAGCGAAACTCGCCCCCGCGGTCGGAGTGGAGACAGCTGACACGACGACCACGAGTGTCCTGGGTGGTAAGCAACCACCTGATCAGCATAGAAGTCACCTCAGACTTCCTCGCCAGGGGGAACACTGTGGTGTAGCGGGAGTAGTCGTCAACGACCACCAAAAAGAAACGCTCACGCTCAGGGCCAGGGCGAGGAGAGGGGCCCCAGACGTCCAAGTGCAGCGTCTCAAAAGGCTCGGTGGCCGGACGAAGGGAGGAGGAGTGAGGGGTGGCGCGCAGCCTACCCTCGACGCAAGGACCGCACGGTGGTGCAAGGGACGGCGGCAGCGACGGCAAGACACGCGGGAGACCTAAGACAAGACGCTGACGAGACATAGCGCGAAGACGAGGAGGAGAAGGGTGCCCCAGCCGGTGGTGCCACAAAACGGTGGGGTGGGCAAGCGACCGACAGGAGCACGACGCAGCGACCGGACTAGACGGAGGAACCTGACAAGACACAGCTACCTGGGGGGACGGAGCAACCTGGTGAGACGCGAGGACTCGAACGGGAGGCAAAACAGGGGCCGGGGGCAGGAGGGGCGGCTGTGGCTGCGGCTGCGGCTGCTGCCGCTGCTGCTGCTGCGGCTGCTGCTGCTGCTGCAGTCGCTGCTGAGCGCGCGGGCGAGTGTGAAGAGTGTAGAGACCGGAGCCCGGCTCAGCAGCAAAAGTGGCGAGGGGCTGGTAAGAGTCACCGTCAACACACACCGCAGTCTCTCCAGAAGGCTCAAACCACACACCCACGTGCTGACTCACGAGGGGTCGCACGCCCACCAAGTTCCGGGAGAACGAGGGGACGTGAAACCCAGTGAGAGACCCAGAAGGAGCAGCCGGACACGGCAAGGTGGTAGTGTGACGCGCGGTGACTGGTCCCGAAGTGGGATCAGCCAGCGCCACAGAAACAGGCGCAGGAAGAGGCGTAAGTGTCGTGCTGTCACGAAAGAAGCAGTGAGAAGCTCCAGAGTCCAGCGTGAACGACAGCGAACCGTCCTCTGAGGTAGCCGCTGGACTAGAGTCTACACAAGAACCTACACTAGCAACAGGCAACTGAGCAAGGCTAGCACCTAAGCTAACAACACCAGAGTAAGCAGAGTCAGAAACACTAGAGTCAACAACAGCATACATAGCATGGGGAGTACCAATGAGATCAACTAACTGCTCAGCAGACATGCCCCACAGAGCGGAGCCGTAGCGCTGAACAAGAGGCAGCCAGTCAGGGGCAGGAGCACCAACCCCGTAGACCAAACGAACCGTGTCAGTGAGCTGAGCAAAGCACTGACCAGGGGGGTGAAACCGGCCACAAGGGTGGCCACGACGAGGGCCTGTCAGAACCTGGTAGGTGCAGGGAGTGTAAGCAGCACCGCGCTGGGTCTGACGCAGCCCCGACCCTGGAGCCAGCTGCTGCCGCTGCTGCTGCTGAGGCTGCTGGGAGGAGAGGGGCTGCTGGTGCTGCAGAAGCTGCTGCTGACGCTGAGCCTGGTACCACGCCGCTGCTCCACCAACCGGGGCAGGAAGTACAGGAGGCGACTGACGAACTCGGGCGTCGCCACCACCAGCAGGCGCAGTGGAGTCACCAGTCACTGCACGAGGCGCCTCTCCAGGCCCTGAACCTCCACCGCCGCCAGGCGCAACGCCACCTCCACTACCTCCGCCTCCACCTCCACTACCACCACCAGAACCGCCTTTCTTGCCACTCCTACCGCGGGACCGCGACGCAGTCGTAACAGCAGCTGCAGTCGCGTCAGTAGCGGCAGTGGCAAGTGAGGCAGTAAAGGTGGGTAACTGCGGGACTGTGCACCCGTGGAAGAGTGGGGGGGGCACAGCACCAGAGGCAGCGGCTACCGAGCGAAGGTTGCTCTCGACGTCCTTGAGTGCAGACTCAAGAACCTCGACGGTGAGCTTGCTAGGGTGCTTCAGCAGAAGCGCGTCGCGAACGGAGGCAAGGCGGTCAGGGAGGCTAGTGGCGATGAAATAGATAGTAATCGCCATAGGGGGAGGAAGCAGTGCAAGCTGTGCCTCAGTGCAAGCAGCGCGGTAACTAGCGTCGAGCGAGCGGAGGTGAGCGATCAAGTCAGCAGAGCGCTCAAAAGACGCTAGGTCAGGAAACAGGAACGGGAGGAACAGGCGGCCAAGAGAGACAGCAGCGGGAGTAGAGTAGCGGGCCTTAATCGCAGTGAGGTACGCAGCAGCGGTGCGAACCTGAGTGAAGTGAACCTCCTCAGACTCAGGGAGGAGGCTGCTGAGCGCGATGCAGGCCGCAGCGTCACGTGACGTCCAAGCCGTCTGGTCAGCTCGCTGAGTGGCAAAGCGGGCTCTAGCGGCGTCGTCAGGGGCAGGTCCTAAAGGCGTAGGGTCGGGGGGCGCAGGTAGGGCACCAGTAGCGTGCGCCCAGAGGGTCTCGCCTGCCTGGACCTGACTCTCTAACAGGCGGCGAGCGCGAAGAAGCCAGACTGGGAAATCGAGCGGGCGACCGTCAGCATCGAAACGAAGGACGCGAGGGGTCGCCATAGTGTGCAAACGGAATTGGCAGGGAAAGCAGGGCGCAGCGGCAAGGGAGAACGGGCAGGAAGAGCGGGCAAGAGCGGGCGGGTAGGTCAGGTGTGGCGGGCGCGCGGGTAGGGCAAAGGCGCCGGGCCTGGGCGACGGGCTAGGGCGCGAGCCAGGGCGACGGGCTAGGGCGCGAGCTGGGGAGACGGGCTGGGGCGCGGGCCAGGGCGACGGATCGACGGGCAGCAGGGGGAAACGCGGGTCGACAGGCAGCAGGGGGAAGCGCGGGTCGACGGGCAGCGGGGGGAAGCGCGGGTCGACGGGCAGCGGGGGGAAGCGCGGGTCGACGGGCAGCGGGGGGAAGCGCGGGTCGACGGGCAGCGGGGGGAAGCGCGGGTCGACGGGCAGCGGGGGGAAGCGCGGGTCGACGGGCAGCGGGGGGAAGCGCGGGTCGACGGGCAGCGGGGGGAAGCGCGGGTCGACGGGCAGCGGGGGGAAGCGCGGGTCGACGGGCAGCGGGGGGAAGCGCGGGTCGACGGGCAGCGGGGGGAAGCGCGGGTCGACGGGCAGCGGGGGGGGGGGGGGGGGAAGCGCGGTTCGACGGCAGCGGGGGGGAAGCGCACCTCGACGGGCATCAGGGGGGGAAAGCGCAGCGCGACCGGCAGCGGTACGCTAGATCGGGCTACGCTAGATCGGGAGGAAGAACGAGCGGTAACGAACGAACGGGACTAGATCGGGCCGGCACTAGGCTCGGGCAAGACGGGCGAAACGAGAGCTAGGATCAGGCTCGGGTGGTACGATCGGAGAACGGAGAAACGGGATCCCACAGGATCCTAACTGCTCTGGTACCATGTCAAAATGAGGAATGAATGATGCATTGATGTTGGTTGGGGTACATATAGCTAACCCTAAGTTTTGTACCCCCTAAGACAAACCTCACTATAGGCTACAACATTTGACACAAAGTTCGAACCGCAGCTGTCGAAAGTTGTAAACACACAATCACACGCGCAGGTGCGAATCTACAAGTTCGAGCCTGTAGGGGGAGAACCGAACCGCGAGTAGGGTGCATAGGTTACCCAGTATCGGCATCTTGACAGCGCGACACGTCAACGAATCGCGTGCCCCAAAAGTTCACTCTAGAGTTCCACCTCATCTCCCTACCTGTCCCCGAGCAGACCACCAGCTACAAAGGTGTGAGTGTTTTGCATTTCGCCAACTCAGCATTCCGCCATGTCTCTCATTGCACTGATGCGCTTCCTTGGAATTCTCATTCCACCACGTCATGGTGCCACGCCAACATCCACGTGGCGAGCTTTGCTTGTGGGGGACCGTTTATGGTTTCGGTCGTGCCTCTATTGGTGCACGAATGTGTTGCGAGTGTCGCACACTCCTCGTACGTGCCTGGAACCACACACGTTCACTACAACGTGCAAAATCACGTTTGCTCATACACTCGAGTCTTGTTCACTTTTCGGGGCTCGAGTTAGGTGGGAGGGGTAGTGAAACACCCATTTGGCGAAAACGTTTGCGAACATTTACGAAATTGGTTACCACCCTAAGTTCGAACCCATTTTCGAACTGCAATTAGTTTCACACACGTCCTTATAATGTGTTCTATGGTGAAGGATATTGGGGCTTTAGTAAAGGACTTATCGAATGCAACTCCATTGAGGCCATCAATTGCGGTCGAGCGCTTTCCCTCCCACGTACACCGCGAGTAGTTTGTTTTTTGGACTGGTCACTGTTTGACGCGTCGTTGCTCCCGTATTCGTCGCTTTGCGAGGTCACAAGTCGTCGCAGACCAGAAAATCCTCCAACTGCGGCTGGTAACACACCTGCGAGGCCCACAGAACCGCAGGCGAAATCAAATTGCGCACGGCAAAATTCACATTTGCCAGTCAAACAACAGCGCGGGTCGTGGGAAAATGCTCACTGGGTGGACTCGGCAATAATTCTGGAAGCTGCGAACTGTGCGACAGTCGAGCAGTTCAGACTGGTTGTGGAGGCTCATGACGCGATCCACCAAGTTGGGTTGAAGCCACGAAAGAGCAAAAGTACCACAAAACACCGTTCAGTAACGTTTTTGCACCCATTTGTCTTTCCGAACTTCTCATTCGGAGGGGCTAATGTATCGCGTTCTGGGGGCTGCAACTTTTGCGCAATGCACCCAGTCACACAATAATGCATGCAAGCTTGCTTCTGACTGGTCATGGCGCATTTTGCGCGTTCCAAAACTGCTGTGTGACATGGCTCCATGGTCCCAGAGGTGGCTGTACTCTTGCGGTAGCCGCGCGCTTCATGGCTGGAGACGGGTGCCGAACGCATTTAACATCCGTGTTCGAGCATTTGAAGGTCATTTAGACGCTTTGTCTGCTAACCTTCCCGCTAGATTTGATTAACTGTGCCTTCGACCTTCCTGTTACAAACGACCGTCTATCATGAGGCTGCAGACACCTTGTTTTACCTTCGGGTTGTTCCTCGTGCTTTATGCATCAATAGCAGGTAAGAACGGATTCAACAACCGAAGTAGCAAGGTTATATCCGACCCTGGAAAGTCGTCAGAGTCATGTCACCGAATCCCTTTCTGCATTCTTAGATACCTCGTATTAACTTGGGTTATGCCGTTTACGTCTTTACAGAGGGGCTACGCGTGCTGGACGATGCGGCTGCTAAGTTAACTGCACCCCAGACACCGACAGGAATCATCAACCCAGGACGCGCAAGAAATGCAATTCACGTTGGAAGCTATGAGGGTAAGCGCCACCGACCTCCACCATCAACGCGTGATGCCGTCACCAAACCGCTAGTGATTTATCCATAAACATTTCTCTCACAAACATTGAACTCGTTTCGTGACAGGTCATGTGGAGGCACGACTGCGAGGCATTGAGGACATCAGCGGTGTCATCCGCGTGTTCGTTTTCCGCAATGCCACCAGCGTGAACATACGATACTCGCTCCTTTTTACCGGATTGAGCGTCCAAGGTTTCCCGACCGTTGCCGGCATTGTCACTGCCAGGTCTAACGCTCCAGTGGTGAATTTCCCAGCAAAGACTTGGTCTAATGTGACAAACAGTCCCCCGTTCGACCATGGTTGGAAAAAGCAAGGCAATGCGAAGCGAATGGGCCTGCTCTATAAGTACACGTCATCCGGATGGTGCTATGATGCAGGGAGCGTTGCTGCAGAGGCAGGAATGACTGTCGCTGATGTTTTCAGAGGCCTGATGGCTTTCCCAGGGTCTTATTATGGAACCATTGTGGCACCTGGAGGGAGGGCAAGCGGAGTGTTTGCTGTGCGACCCCTGGCACTCAAGGTGTCTCACGGTGGTGGCTTCTCATCTTGAAGGCTTCTCTGCAGGCGGTTCGCTGCACCAATAAGTCTGCTCTTCTGTACATTCACCCAGCTCAAAGTTTCGTTCCTAATGATATCCATGCTCCAGCATAGCTTGTTAGTTACTGGTGTGCAAACAGTAAATGCGGCCACACCACAGATGTATTGTACAAATTTCCGTATGGTATGGTAGTGGTACTGTACTTTCAGGCCACAACAGCAGAGCATGCAGTAATGAGCTTATCCAAAGAAACTCCACCTAGATCATCAAACGCCGTTACAGCCCCAGTGAAATCCTACAAGGGGGTAAGGGGGGAAAAGGGGGGGGAGGGGAAGAGAGGGCAAGATTCATGCAAATTGTAGAACACTGTATCTCTACAGGATTCCTGGTTTGAATGGGCACAAGCCCAAACCAGACGTGCTGAACAAAGAACCGGCAAAGAAAAGAAAACGAGCAGCTGACGTGGCCCTCAGTGATGGAATTAACTCAGATAACATGCTGACACCCCATATAAAAAGCAGGAAACAGAAAACTACGAAACTGACCTGGCTCTTGGTGGAAGGCGTGTAGGTGATAACACACGGCAAGCCAGCACCCTAGATATGAAGGAGCGAGGAGATCAAAGCACTGAGCTGACCTGGCTCTTGGTGGAAGGCGTGTACGTGATCACACACGGCATGCCGGCTCCCAGAGCAGCCTGCAGGCCAATCACACTGTCTTCCACCACCAGACACGACGAGGGCGGCACTCCCAGGCGCTGAAGGGGGTGAGGAGCAGGGCATTGAGTGAGCAACAAGAGCGGGGTATGAATGAGCATTGAGAGGCAAGCTGCCTGCAGGCCAATCACACTGTCCTCCACCACCAGACACGACGAGGGCGGCACTCCCAGGCGCTGAAGGGAGCGAGCGAGAGGAGGAAATGAGCAAGGAGCAGGTTGGTGAGAAATGAGAGGTACGGTGCATGCAAGGCAATGACACTGTATGTCCCCCACCAGCCGCCACGATGCGCGCACAACTCACAGGTGCTCAAGGGGTAGAGGGACACAGAACCGAGTGAGAACGTGGTGGGATGTGAGGATTGCGTGGGCACTGAAGGGGATACGCGTGTGAGGACAGAGAGGCACGCTGCAGGCCACTCACACTGTCCCCCACCACCGAACATGATGCGGGAGGCAGTCCAAGGCGCTGTAAGGGAGTGATATGTACAGAAACGAGTGAGGACTTACGAGGGGATATGCAGATCCGGTGAGCATTGGGAGGAAAATGTGAGGACTGAGAGGTAAGCTGTTTGCATCAGCCCTTAAACGCCCTCTAGGGAATGGCGCCTGCCCTCTAGAGAGCGGAGTGGCGCCTGCCCTCTAGAGTTCAGGCAGCCTCCTGGATCAAGGCGCGCCCCTGGATCAAGGCGCGCCCCTGGATCAAGGCGCGCCCCTGGATTAAGGAGCGACCCTGGATTAAGGCGTGCCCCTGGATTAAGGCGCGCCCCTGGATTAAGGCGCGCCCCTGGATTAAGGCGCGCCCCTGGATTAAGGCGTGCCCCTGGATTAAGGCGCGCCCCCGGATTAAGGCGTGCCCCTGGATTAAGGCGTGCCCCTGGATTAAGGCGTGCCCCTGGATTAAGGCGCGCCCCCGGATTAAGGCGTGCCCCTGGATTAAGGCGTGCCCCTGGATTAAGGCGTGCCCCTGGATTAAGGCGCGCCCCTGGATTAAGGCGTGCCCCTGGATTAAGGCGCGCCCCTGGATTAAGGCGCGCCCCTGGATTAAGGCGCGCCCCTGGATTAAGGCGCGCCCCGGGATAAAGGCGCGCCCCTGGATTAAGGCGTGCCCCTGGATTAAGGCGCGCCCCTGGATTAAGGCGCGCCCCTGGATTAAGGCGCACCCCTGGATTAAGGCGCGCCCCTGGATTAAGGCGTGCCCCTGGATTAAGGCGCGCCCCTGGATTAAGGCGCGCCCCTGGATTAAGGCACGCCCCTGGATTAAGGCGCGCCCCTGGATTAAGGCGCGCCCCTGGATTAAGGCGCGCCCCTGGATTAAGGCGCGCCCCTGGATTAAAGCGGACCTGCACTGCAATCTCACCTGTGCTGCCACCTCACCTGTGCTGCGATCTTGTAGATGGTGGGATCTGGCTTCTTCTTTGGCACGTCGTCACCTGGTGGCATGCACAAGAGGAGAGGAGAGCAATGGTGGGGGAAAAAGAAAGGTGGAGGCACACAGGAAGGTTTATGAGACGGATGTGGACTTGGTAAAAAAGTGCAATTGGAGAGTGGAGGAACTAACTAGGAGGAAGGCTGGGCCAGCCTAGATTCAGGAAGAAATGATGACAAGACACGGTAGACAGGTAACAGTTTCTGCAATCTTGAAGTCTTCTTTTGCCTCGGAGAAAACGCAATGGAATAAAACGCGTGAGAAAGGAAGCAGACGAGAGGCAGGGAAGAGACACCCACCGGCCAAGAAGCAATCCAGTCTTTCAAACCTCTCCTGGAAAGGAATAGGGGGAAAGAAGGAAGAAAAGGAGCGGCGGGAAAGAACATGAGGGAGGGAGGGAGGGAGGGAGGGAGGGAGGGAGGGAGGGAGGGAGGGAGGGAGGGAGGGAGGGAGGGAGGGAGGGAGGGAGGGAGGGAGGGAGTGGGGTGTTGGTTGACAAAGCAAGTATAAGGGTTCGGGTTCAGGGCCTAAGGAGCACAAGGGAAAGGCAAGGATGGGGAAGAGGATAACATGGCATTCAGGGTGATTCTTTCAGGCACATAGAAAACTGAGCTAGATGGGGGAGTTCATAGAAAACTGAGCTGGATGGGGGAGTTCGGATGGGAATGGGCCAAGGGCGAAGGAGGAGTGTAAAGAGTACCTTTTGCACAAGCTTATTCAGAGTAAGGACTATTTTGGAGACACCATACAAAACAAGAGAGGAGGAATGAATAGTACCTTCCCGAGCAGGCTAGTGAGAGTGAAGACGACTGAGCTCTTGGTGGCTGCAGAACACACCGCCACCAGCAGACCCTGACAGTGCGGGAGGTTTGGGAGGGAGGGAAGAGGTGGGGACGGGGAGAATGGTGAGTCGATTCAAACGACGACTGAGCTCTTGGTGGCAGCACAACACACCGCCACCAACAGACCCTGGAGAGTGAGGAGGTGGGAGTGACGAGAAAGAGAAAGCAGAAGAGTGGGCGGCGAGAAGCAGAGGAGGGTGGATCGACGGCTTCTGCAAGCAGGGGAGTGTGTGGCTTCTATGAGGCTTTTGAGACGACTCGAAAGGCAGGTGGATGGGGGAGGGAAATTGATGCAAAGAGAGTTGAGACGTCTCGAGACATGGAAGCAACACAAGGAGATGTGGGCGGGAGTGGAAGAAGTGAGTGAAACACACGGCGGGGCAGGCAGGCAGGGAGGGTCAAGCGTCAATGCAACAAAGATTCCATATCGCTTGCAAAACTGCTCCTCCCCACCCTCTCCCTCATGTTCTCCCCCCCTCCTTCCCAACATGTTCGTTCCCCTCCTCCCCTGCACGCGCTTCCCTCCGCCCTCTACCCCCATCCCTCAGCCTACCCTCTGCCTCGCTTCATCCATGAGCTCTAACACGCCTGGCCGCACTGGCACCTGCAGGAACGGTGAGGGGGCAGAGGAAAGGGAGGAATGGAGGGAGGGAAGAAGAGAGCGGGAAAGAGCGGGATAATCGCGAATTGGTAAAAAACGTTCCCATGGTTGAAGGTATATACAGTAACCAAAACACCTGCCGGAAACAACTCAAGATTCTCTATGTTGGTTCATTTGACTTGTCAACACTCATGCACACACCTGTTCCAACCTGCACAGCTTCTCACCTGCACAAACCATACCATCTGCTCATCTGCCCGGATCCAATCATTGCTCACCTGCCCGGATCCAATCATTGCTCACGTGCCCGGATCCAATCATTGCTCACCTGCCCGGATCCAATCATTTGCTGGTATTTCTCCGTCTTCCAATCCTGGTGGCAGCATGCGTGGTGGGTGGGTGGGAGCACAGAAGCACGCAGTGAGAGACACGAGGGAACCAACGAGGGGCACAGAAAGAAAAGCAGCTTTCACAAGGCATTCTGGTAGGGGCAAGCATCCGAGTATCACCTGCACCAGGCAGCACCTGCACCAAGTATCACCTGCAGCGTGTCTATAAGCACGTCCTTGTCAGCATCCGTGGTGGGAGGGGCGGGCAGAATCGACGAATGCGGCCACCCATTCTTGTTGAAGTACCTGTTGACAGCGTGGCGAGTATCAGATCAGGCATGAATCGGCAGTCCGCATATCATGGAATGGAATGGAATTTGTAATGCATTGTAATGTATGCGATGGGATGTAATGGGATGGTATGGAGACATGTGATATGGGGATATGGGAGCGGTGGTGTAGAGCGAAATAAACACTACGAGGCTACGACTAATCGACAGGGCACACACACCATCGCATCTTGGGTTTCCCGCCGCCGATCTTATTCTGCAGAACATCGTAAAACTCCGTCGTCCAATCAACGACGGCGTTCTCTCCCGGACACCGAATCGCGAAGTGCGCGAACGCCGCGTTGTAAGCGCGCCGATGGAGATCCTCAGACTCAAGAATCACCCCGTCGCAGTCGAACACGAGCGCTCTGATTGGCGCTTGACCGGCCGGTGACGTGGCGGCCGCGACGACTGTCCGATTGGCTGACGCGGACACCTGGCCGGCGACGCGACACGGCGTTATTCTAAGCGCGAGAATGTTCAACCTACGGTCGACTTGAGCGACGAATGCGGGATTGCAGGCATTGTCTCTGCTGCTTAAGCGAGCCTGTTTCTTCCCGTTGGAGAGTGTGGATGTTGAGGCCGCGGATGCTGCGGCTAAACCTACGGACGCCATGACAATGGCGTTGCACCTGCTGGCTGGAATGAATCAACATTAGTACTTCATAAATGACTCACGGCCTGCATAGCATAAAGGCAATAGTTGGAATAGAAAGAAAACGTGGACTATGTATACATAACCCGTTGGTGTCATCCTCAAAAGGATTATCGTTTGGAGCGTACAAATGATAATACGTGTACCCAATGGGTGGCCATTGGGCAATCGCCACGTGTTGATTCGGCACGGCACCACGCTGCTTTCAAGAATGATGTGACCTGCCGAGCCAGCTGCTCTGGAATCACGTGGTGCCATGCCATCACACAACGTACGGCTCTCAGCTGCTCTGCTCCCCCTCACCACCTTGCCTTGAGCAGGTGACTGATGGCGCGCATTTGCAATGTTATGAAAGAAAGTACGTACTGCTGATTTGAAGAGCGGAAGTATAATTTAGTGACAGTGTAACTGCAAAGTAGAGAAGGCAGCGGGACTGGCGGCGGCGCGTGTGACTCTCCCCACAGGCTCCCCGGCGGGTACAGAAATTTATCAGTCTGCCTGTGTTTCGCGTCGCGCTTTGAAAGTCTTGGGCTTTGACGCCGCGTCGTCTGATTACCTGCCCGTGAACTTCGACTCGAAACTTCTTAGTTCGAGTGCGCGACGATGAGCACGGTGCGCGAATGCCCCAGCGATCCGCTTTGCGCCGACGGCGTCGCGCGCGCCGTGTCGGGGGAAGCAGATTGCGCTGACGTGTTCCGCGTGGTGATTGTTGGCGCGGGGCCGGCGGGCCTGGCGCTGGCGAATTATCTGCTTGCACGTGGCGGTGGCAGGTTCCACGTCAGCGTGATTGAAAAGGGCGCAGACCCGCGCGCGGAGGTCGAAGAGGCGGCGGAGATTGCGCGGCGGTGAGGCTGGGGGATGAGGGAGGAGAGGAAGGGGAGTGGGGAAGGGGGGAAGGGGAAAGCGAGAAGGGGAAAACGAGAAGGGGAAAGCGGGAGAGGGGAGCGGGGAAGGTGGGGAGGGAAAGCGTTGAAAGCTGGGGGCAGAGGAGGAGGAATTATGGGAGACCGGAGGTGGTTGGGGGAATAAGAAGATGCGGAATTTGAGCAGCTTTGCCGGAAATACCTGTTTCCCCTATGCGCTTGTCTTCGTTCCCCTTTCCGCTCGTCGTATCCCCCGTATCAGCTCCCGCCTCAATAACAAGCCAAGGTCTTCTGACACTTCCCCCTTAACTTCCCCTTCTCCCTCTCCCCCCCTTCCCCATTATCTTCCCGAATCTCCCCTCAATGGCGGTAGATACGCTATGGGGCTGAGCATTCGCGCGATGCACTGTCTGATGGCCATTCCGGGAGTCATGGAAAAGGTGCGTTACATTACAGAGTACGGTGCGTAGTTGGTGCGGTGTGAGGTGGGTGGGATCGCGCATTCATCACAATCCCCTCTCCCTGACAATCTCTTCATATCGCCCCCAATTCCTCCGTCTATGACATATCCCATCCCCAAGTTGGCAGGAGCAGCAAACAATGACACCCTTCTGAATCTCGTCCTCCGTCCAATCGCTTCCCGCCACGTGTGTGCAGGTGCAGCCAGTGCTGGTGACTCCTCACGAGATGGTCATGCCTGCCTTCGGTCGCCTCATCAGATTCTCAGTGCCCAAGGTATGCTTCAATTTCCAAGGTAGGCTTCAATTTCCAAGGTAGGCTTCAATTCCCAAGGTAGGCTTTAATTTCCAAGGTAGGCTTCAATTCCCAAGGTAGGCTTTAATGCCCAAGGTCGGAATTTCTCTGAGGCTCCTCAAAACTCTTCTGTATTGATTATTGTTTCATCTCTTAAATCTTCTCCCCACCAACGCCCCTCCCCTGCCTGTGTCTGTTCCCTCGTTGTGTACTTTTGAGGCGCCTCAAAAATGGATTCCCCAACCACTGCCTTTCCTCTGCGTATGACTGGTCCCTCCTCCTTTTCAGGACCCCCCTCAGGGCCTCGTCTCTCGCACGGACCTGTGTGCCACTCTGCTTGACGCGCTTATCGAGAGAGCCACTAAGGGGGACGAACCTGGGAGCGTAGGTGAAGAGACTTCAAACGAGGACAAGGAGAATCCGGAGAAGGATCATGTTGAGGAACAGAAGCACCTGAAGAAACACCTGAGAAAGCACCTGGCGGTGTATTTTGAGTCAAGAATCGTGGATGTGGATATGAAGGGCCATGTGGTCACTGCTTCCGTGCCTTGCAGCAGTGGCAGTGACGGCAGCAGCAACAGTGGTAGCAGCAGCAGCAGCAGTGGGAGCAGCAACGGTGGTGACAGCAGCAGTGCGGGTGGTGACAGTGGTTTGAAAAACGTTGAGATCAAGTATGACCTTCTGGTGAGTGGGTGAGGGAGTGGGAGATGGAGTGAGGAAGTGAAGGAAAGGATTTGGTATGAGGGAGTGAGTGGGAGAGAGTGGGAGAGGGAATGAGAGGATAGAGCGAGGGAAAGGTGGTTTTTCAACGTTCCCATGTGCCCCTCCTTGCTTATCGTCCATTTATTTCTTCCAACATCAGGTGGGGGCGGACGGGGTGCGTTCTTATGTGCGCAACCTGCTAGCTGCGCGCACATGGGACTTCCCCGTGCACACGGACCGTGTGTATCACGACTGGACAGTCGTCAACGTGCCTGTACCGCCCTCTCTCACGCCCACCTCGCTCTTCTTTGCTGCCAAGGTGTGTTTCTCGTTTCTTTGCAACTATGCTTCTCCCTCCGCACTCCCTGTTGAACGGTTCCCTCCCTCCCTCACTCCCTCTCTCATTCCCTCCTGCACTCTGCCAGTCCCTTTCTTTCCCTCTCTCCCTCTCACTCCCATCTCACCCCCCTTGGTTCCAGGTACCCAAAACGAACGGCATCGGTGCAGTGGCAATGCCACAAGTGGGCGGGGAGATGTGTCTGGTGTGGGGGTGGAAGTCCACCCACCCGCCCCTCGACTGGCTCTCCCTCACCTCGCCGGCTGCTGCCAAGGGCTACCTCGATGAGAGGTTGCCTTGGCTGGATGTCCCCGAGGAAGCTGCCTGGAAGCTGCTCAAGCAGAAGCCGAGGACGAGCATGCAGGTGAGTTGGTTCTCTCCCATTCTCTCCCATTCTCGCCCATTCTCGCCCTCTGCCCCTTCACCTCTTCTTTCTTGCTCCCTCTCTCGCTCTCTATTCTCACCTCCCACCCCCGCCTGCTTAAGAATATCGATCCTGGAGGTGGGGCTGCACTTCAGCTCCCTGGTTTCTTCTCGCACATGCTCCCACTGGTTTCTTCACTCCCTGCCCCTTCACCACCTCCCTCCTCCCACCAGGTGAAGTGCTGGCGCTACCACGACTCAGGTGCCCAGGTGGGCCTGGTGGGGGATGCAGCGATGCAATGCCTCTGCAGCGATGCAATGCCTCTGCAGCGATGCAATGCCTCTGCAGCGATGCAATGCCTCTGCAGCGATGCAATGCCTCTGCAGCGATGCAATGCCTCTGCAGCGATGCAATGCCTCTGCAGCGATGCAATGCCTCTGCAGCGATGCACTCCACGCTTCCCTCAATCGGGCAGGGATGCAATGCCTCTATCAAACATTCTCTCCCTGCTTGCCTCCACCCCTCGTTTCACCCTCCCCCGTACACACACCAGGTGAAGTGCTGGCGCTACCACGACAGTGACGCCCAGGTGGCCCTGGTAGGGGATGCAGCGCAATCCACACTGCCCTCCCTGGGGCAGGGATGCAACGCCTCCATCACAGATGGCTCTCCCTGCGTGCTTCCCTCTCCACCCCTCACTTCATACCCACCAGGTGAAGTGCTGGCGCTACCACGACACAGCTGCGCAGGTGGCCCTCATAGGCGATGCCGCCCACTCCACGCTGCCCTCCCTGGGGCAGGGCTGCAACGCCTCCATCACAGACGCTCTCGTGCTGGGAAGGCTGCTGCTGGGGGAGGCGGTATCTGAGCACGACAGGGTTCCCCGCCCCCTTTCTGATGGTGGTGGGGATAAAGGGGCCAGCATCAAGTTACCAGAGGTTGAGGAGTTGAGGGCAGGCCTTGCAGGCACTCTCTCCCATTATTCCGCTCTCCAGGTCAGTGCTCTCACTTGTTACTTGGGTTTTTCGCTCTGTACACTCCCCGCTAGTCTTAGTTATCAATCGACGTGGATTCGTTTTCCTTCCGATGGAGCTTGAAATGAAGGGAGAAATAACGTCGTCCATGTGTCACGTTGTGGGCGTTATAGGTTGTAGAAGGACACGCGTTGGTGGAGCTTTCAGATGCTGCGGCGCCTGTCAGCACCTTCTACACTGTACGTTTACATTTATTGTTGCGTCGACACCTGGTTCTCTTTCTTTTGCGGTATGTTGAGACTCATTTTTCTTTTATGTTGTAATACGTGCATTTTTTATGTTTATGCAGGTTTTATACGTGATGGATCTCATCCTCCGCGCCATCTTTTGCAAGCTGCTCCCATGGTTCATATCGGAGCCCATACAAGGCCTCTGTGGCAATACCACGATGCCTTATTCCTCTATCCTTAGCAAATTCAGTGGCTTTGTGTCACGTGTTGTGAGGGCAAATGCTGCACAGCGGTGGGGTTGGGTGAAGCAGCAATACAAGAAAGCGGTCATGGAGATATGATGCATTCTGTGTGCTAACTCCGAAAATGTATGTCATTCCTATTGAATCGTTTCTCTGCACACGCGTGCTTTAGAACCTGAAAGCGGTCCCGACACGATCCGAGTTCCGAGACCCCACCTCTCGCCCATTTCCAAGCAGAAGCCAAAACAGATATCCGCTATAAGCTTATACTGTATCCCAAAGGATGGGGCACATTTCTTTGAAATAATAACGCGACGCGACGATTTTCAACTTTCGCTCAATCCTGTGGACTAGCCTCGCGCCGCCATTCACGTCATTAAATATCTATCAATCCCATGATTTTTTACACCCGCTAACACAGAACTGTTGTCCTGCGTATTTGTAGTTTCCGAGTTTAGGGTCCCTAGCAGGCCGCGCTTTTGCGAGAAATCGTATCTGATGCAATCCCGCTGCAATGATTGCAAACCCAGCGTGGTTGTCTTTTTGCGCGTCTGCATCCATGATCCATGGACAGTGGCACGATGTCGGAAGATTTTTTACGTGGACCAGTCGCAGCCACAAGTATTCTGACCGCGGGCAAAAATTATAAACCCCATGGCTTACGGCATGCCATTCGGGAGCCTCAACCCTAAAATTTTAGGGTTGAGGCTCCCTCGGATGGCATGCCACCCGAACGGGTTTTAGTTTTTTTTGTGCCCGCAGTCAGCTTTCTCACTAGATTGTTACGCAGGCAGTGCAATATATACTCCAAAAAATAACCTTGACGGCACTGTATAACCTAGTACTCCAAAAATTAAACAGAAACAAGGGGGGTTGGGGTAAACCATGCCTGTTTGATAATGTAACTTCCAGCCAAACAGCCTCAACACTCTGTCCAGAGTAAGTGTAAAAAAACTGCGAAAGCGCATGTAGCAGTCCATGGGATTGATAGATATTCAAAATTGGAGAGAGCGGCGCGAGGCTAGTCCACAGGATTGAGCGAAAGTTGAAAATCGTCGCGTCGCGTGATTATTTCCATTTCTTTGCACTATCACACCTCCCCACCTCCCTTCACATCTCTCCCATCCTCACCGCACCACACCGCTACCCGCTCCCGTTTCCCCAACATCCTCCGCCTAGCCTCGTCGTCGCCTTTCACGAAGCCAAGCCAAACCACCACTGTTTGTAGGCTCGGAAACCACTGTCGAGCAGGTTCAGCGGGGACGCAGACAGATTAGGCTCGGAAAGCAACACGTGTTGCCATTGTCCTTTTCCCGCACAGTGGCTTTTGTGGCCCATCGGCGTGCGTTTGCCACAAAACCAGGGGTTTCATGTTTTGTGGCAGTTTATCCGCGGTTGAAAACGGTGACAGGTAAAAACTGCTCTGGCTCTACTTTATCGTACTTCACCATTGCACACCAGATCGAACCGTACAAACCTAATCACGATTGAGCATAATTCCCCCCTCACACCGAACTGCCAACTGTCGTGTATTCAATGCTGCTAGCGTTAGTATAGTCTATGAAGCTACTTGCGGCTCGGTGACAGTGGCAATTCACTTACCTGTTTCAACCTGCCTGGAGTTTCCTTGTGGCTGCTTGCCGCATTTGAGATGAGTCAAGCAGCTGTGATTAGGATACGAAAGAATGGAAGGACAACAGGGGCATTATATTGGAGGTTGCTGAGACGACTTGCGACGAACGCTTGAATCTTGACACGTGGTAACCACCTCAGCGTCGCCACATCACCGCAAATCCAACGTCTATCCGCGCCATAGCGCTTTTCGGTTATGATGATCATATCCGCTAACGAGGTAGCCGAGTCGCCAGTCTGCACTTCTGCCGTCCCTGCAAACGTGTCAACCTCGCCTGCCGCCGACATTGCACTTCTCCCCATCGCGGATGCCGCCAATCACGCCGATGAGCGGAAGCGGCCACCGCTGCAGCTGCGCCTAGCGGTTAGCGGAGGTGAAGGCGGGGCGGGACTGGGGACGGATGGGGCAGCGGAGACCAAAGCGGCGGCACGGGCGGAGAATGAGGGGAAGCTATCTCCCCGCGGAACGAGGCGCGGGGGAAGGAGCGCGAGCGGGGACCTGAGCGGAGGCGCATTTTGCGCCAATGGCGGAGCGGAAAGCCCGCCAGAGGCGGTCACGGGTCCGCTGACCTACCACGGGGAAGGGCGGGGGAGTGATGCGCGGAACCCTTGGGTGGCGAGGCGCGGGGTCGGCGCGAGGGCGGGGGAAGAGGACAGGGGGGAGGAGAGAGGCGCGATCGCTCCGCTTCCGCGTAGCGGGCGGAAGGGGCGAAGGCGGAGCGGGGAATCCGCGGGCGGTAGCAGGGATGCGCTACAGGGGGCGGAGCTTTTCCGACGCGCCACGACCATTGCCGACGTGAGCAGTAGCGGCAGAAGCGGAAGGGCTACAAGTGGTAGCTATGCCTTCAATTCAGCGAACCAATACCGTAGCGTCAGCAGCAACAGCAGCAGAAGAGGCACGAGCGCCGGCGCGGCAGCCGATTGGGATCCCCCTGCCGCGTCCCCCACCCCCGCCGCTTCCGCCACCCACACTGCCGCTTCCGCTGCTTCCGCCACCCCCAGGAGCTCCTTGCCCCGTTCCGCCACCAGCGCTATCACCCCCACCTCCGCCGCTGCGCGCGAGGGGCTGTTCGGGTTCCGCGCAGGCGCGCGCAGGCTGTACGAGGCGCGCAAGCAGGCGAAACGGCAGGCGAGCGGCGGAGGCGGCGCAGGTGACTTGGCGGGTAGGGCGCCTTCCATGGGGAGAGACGTGTGGGAGGCCGCGGAAAAGAACCAGCTGGGCAGATGGGCGGGGAGCGCGGAGAGGGGGAGCGCGGAGGGGGGAAGCGCGGAGGGGGGAAGCGCCGAGAGGGAAAACGCCGAGGGGGAAAGATCTGGAGGGGGAAGCGTCGAAGGGGGCATAGCCGAAGGGGGGAACGCCGAAGGCGAAGGGGGACGGGGAGGCAGAGGTGTGGGGGAGAGCGGTGAGGGGAGGTGGGAGGGTAGTATGAGACTGAGGGAGGTGAGGGGTGGAGGGGAAGGGGAGGGGGAGGGTGACAGTGGAAGGGAGATATGGCACGAGGTGCGGGATATGCTGGTGCTGCGAGGGGGGAGAGGGGAGGAGGAGGGTGGGCCTGAGTGGGATGAGATAGACTGGGGAGAGGAGGGTGAGAGTGAGGAGGAGGATTGGGAGGAGGAGGGAGAGGAGGCAGAAGGGACGGAGGAGGGAGAGGAGGCGGAAGGGGAGGGGAATGAGGAGGAGGAAGAAGCGAAGGATGAGGAGAGGGAGAGTAAGGCGGAGAGCAGAGCTCAGGAGCAGGCGGGAGAAGGAGCAGCAGAGCCTGTTTCTGAAGACTCTCAGGAGCAGGCGGGAGAAGGAGCAGCAGAGCCTGTTTCTGAAGACTCTCAGGAGCAGGCGGGAGAAGGAGCAGCAGAGCCTGTTTCTGAAGACTCTCAGGAGCAGGCGGGAGAAGGAGCAGCAGAGCCTGTTTCTGAAGACTCTCAGGAGCAGGCGGGAGAAGGAGCAGCAGAGCCTGTTTCTGAAGACTCTCAGGAGCGGGGTGAAGGAAGCGTGGGGTTAAGCGGTTACGAGGAAGCTTCCTGCCTTGATGAGGTGGAAAGAAGTGGCGATGTGAGTGGGGAGTGTGGGGAGGTGTGTGAGGGTGAAAGGGGTGAAAGGGGGGAGGGGGAGAGGGAGGGGAGGGAGGGGAGGGAGGAGAGGGAGGCGGAGGGAGGTGGGGAAGGTGATGGGGAGACAGCAGAGGAGCCTCGGTTTTACAGGGAGGGAAGAGAGGCATCAGGAGGGGTGGAGGCAGTAGGAGAGTGTGTGGAGTGCTACGGGGATGGCAATGTGAGTTCAAGTGTGGTAGAAGCAGTGGCAGCAGCAGCAGGAGCAGCAGGAGCAGAAGCAGTGGCAGGAGCAACAGAAGCAGCAGTAACAGCAGCAACAACAACAGCAGCAACAGCAGCATCACCACCACCACCACCACCACCACCAGCAGCAGCCAGGGCTGACGAGCAAATGGAGCAGGCTACAAGACCACTTTCACCCCATGCCACCCCATCCACTGCGCCTGCTACACCCGAGCTCGAGATGACTGCGGAGTCAGTTCAAACGGCAGCACCTGGCGGGTATTCACGCAAGCTCCTCTCATCCCGCACTCTCAAGCTCGTCCTTAATCCCCTGTGCCAGCCGCTTGTTGTACCCTACTCCGAGTCTGCTTCTAGCGAGGATGCTGGTGATCCTGCTGCTACTGCTGCACTTGCCGCCGCTGCTGCTGCAGCAGCTACTAATGCTGCTGGAGCTTCAGGGGACCTACGTACACCCATGAGCACCAGGAAGCGCAGCAAAGCCGCCGACGCAAGGAAGCGCAACGAAAACCGCTCAGCTGCTGAATCAGCCGAGACATCCCACACCCACACGCCCTTGAGCACGAGAACTGGGGCACAATATGAGCCCCTCTGGCCCCTCACTCCCTCTCACAAGCCCTCTCAGTCCGCCCACACTCCCTCGAGCACAAGGGTTGCAGCACCATACGACCCTCTTTGGCCCCTCACGCCCTCTCACAAGCCCTCTGACTTGGCGCGTGCACCGCCGATCCCCGACGCTGATACACTGTATGAGGCCCTGTGGCCCCTCCCTCCTGCTGGATCCACGCAGCGTGTGAAGAGCAGCGGTACTGAGACGCCTCGCACTCAGACCCGGCCGAAGAGCAGCGGGGGAAGGGAACGCGGGGCGGATAGGGTGGGGCAGGGGGGATGGGGAGTGGGGAAGCAAGTGCAGCGCTCTGAGACGGTTGACGTTTTAAGCCGGCCGAAGAGCAGTGGAGGGAGGGATCGGGGAGCGGACCGGGCGGGGCAGGGAGGAGGGGGAGTGGGGCACGGTTTGAAGCGGTCTGAAACGGTTGGCACTCTAAGCCGGCCGAGAAGCAGCGGAGGGAGACAGCACGAAGCAGGCAGAGCGGGGCAGGGGTTTGAGGATTTTGAGAAGGCTGTGGAGTGGCTGGAAGGGCAGAGTGGCTTGGAGAACTCTCAGCAACACTCGCAGGGGGAGCAGGGGTTTATTGTTAGGCGGAGGCAGCGGGGGAGGAGCGGTGCAGGGAGGGACGGAGGAGAGGTGGGGGGTGTGGGGTGGAAATTGAGTGGTGAGTTTCCGTTGCCGGCGGGGCCACGGCCGCAGTCAGGGGGCGGAGGTAGGCGGAGGAGGAGCACTGGTGGTAGTGGCTTTGATGGTGGTAGCGGTGATGGTGCTGGTGCTGTTGGTGGCACTGATGCGGCAGGGATTGACACTTCAAGGATTGACACGGCAGGGATTGACACGGCAGGGATTGACATGGCAGGGATTGACACAGCTGTGGTCACAGCAGCAGCAAGTGGAGAGTGCACGGAGGCATGGTCAGGGGGGGGCATGGTGGACGCATGGTGCGCCTCGGAACCACAAGCCATTGCTGCTCCTCCCGCACCTCCCATTCCTGCACCTGCAACTCCCCCTCCTGTCGTTCCCGCTCCTGCCTTTCCCGCACCTGCCACAGTCACACCCCCGCCACCAAGCGTCAACTCACCCCAGGATAGTGTCACACTCGCTGTTGGAACGCCCGCCCACACCACCTGCACTCCTGCTGCTATGCCCAGCGCTGCTCCTGTGTTGCCTGCTTCACCTGAAGCACCTGAGGGTTCACCTGGAGCAGCTAAGGGTTCTCCTGGAGCAGCTAAGTGTTTACCTGAAGCACCTGGAATTTCACTGGAAGCACCTAAGGGTCTACCTGAAGAAGCTGAGGGTTCACCTGAAGCATCTGTGACTTCACCTGAAGAAGCTGTAGGTTCACCTGAAGGTTCATCTGAATCACCTGAAGGGACACCTACAGCCGCTACTACTGCCCCTGCTGCTGCTACAGCCGCGGCTATTCTCCCTGTCGCTGCTGCCCCTGCTGCTTCCACAGCTGTTGCTACATCCCCTGCTGCTGCAGCTTCTATTGCTGCTCCTCCAGTTCCTCTCCGTACTTCTGCTGCTGCTGCCGTTGCTGCTGACACTGATTGTGTTACCGATGCACCTGTCGTTGCCCCTCCTCCTGCTGCTGCTCCTGCTCCTGCTCCTGCTCCTGCTCCTGCTGCTCCTGCTCCTGCTGCTCCTGCACCCACTCCTCCGCCCACTTCCGAACCTGCTCCTGCTCGCGCCTCCTCCCTCCACAGCTCAGAACCACCCACCACCGTGCAAAACCTCCTCGAACCGTCAGTCTCTGTCGGCAACCTGTCAGCCACACCCGCCGTCCCCAGATGGGCCCTCCCCTGGAAAAACCCAGTGCGTTCGCCCCTGCCTGGAGCCAGCATCTCGTTCTTTGGACCCAAGACGCCTGGCAAGGCATCAGGCAAGATTGAAGGGTCTGGATTACAGGACAACCTCGGTGCGTCTGAAGGCCATGCCTCTGGAGGGGCTTGGGTGCAGAGTAGGGGAGCTGGTTTGGGAAAACGGGGAAGTGGTAAGCAGGAGCCAAGACAGCAGCAAGAGGAGCAGCAAGAGGAGCAGGAAGCGCAGCAGGAAGGGCAGCAGCAAGGTCAGCGGCAAGGGGAGCAGCAGCAGGGGCAGCTACATCAGTCAGTGAGCGAAGGCAGCATATTCGCACGGCCTCCTCGCAGCCGCACCACACCCCGCATCCCCTTACCCCGTCATCGCATGCTGCTCTCTCCCCGAGAACTCCTAAAGAAGCTCTCTGCTTTCCCCTCTAGTTTTCCTTCTTCCAGTTTCCCCTCCAGTGCCCCCCTGGCCCCCTCCAGACGCCTCTCCTCAGGGCGTTCCTCGGGTTTCTCCTCGTGGAAGAGTGTAATTCGGCGGCACTCGCACAACGAGGCGCTGGCGTCGATACCCTCGGACGGGCCCAAGGACGTGTGGGAAGCAGCAGAAAAGGAGCAACTGGGGGGGTGGCGGAGCCGGTCGAGGGGTGCGAGGAAGAGGAGCATCATGGAAGCAGCTGGACGGAGCTCGAGCGGTTTGAGCGATGACAGTTTGAGTGGTCGGGAGTTGAGTTTGAGGGAGTTGAGTGGTGCGGGTTTGAGTGGCAGGGACCTGAGCGGCAGGGATTTGAGTGGCAGGGATTTGAGCGGAGCAGGGAGCAAAAGTTGGCACGAGACAGGGAGTGGGGGGTCGGAAGAGAGAGCAGGAGGAGGAGAGGGGATGGATGGTGTGGTTTTGAACGGGGGGGAGCAAGGGCAGGCTGAGAGCTCTCACAGTGCAGCTGTGGGTGGGATGCACAGCAGAAGGCACACTGTGGACGGTATGGGTTCTCCTCTTGACAGGGTGCGCGTGAGTCGGATCCGCCGGGGCGTGTTTGGGCTAGCAAGGAGCAGCAGCAGCGACGACACTGCTGCTCAGACAGGCAGCGGACAGGTGCATGTGCGGTCCAGGAGCAGCCGCAGCCTCAGCAGCACTGGTGGTGAGGCTTTGCTGTCAACTGTGGTGTCGGGAGAAAAATCCGAGAGCAGAGGGCGCGGGCATGCGAGGAGCGGCAGCAGGCTCAGAGCATGGGGGTTCAGGTCATGGGGTAGTGGTAGCGGTCACAAGAAGGAGCGCCTCTCTGAGGATGTTGAGGCGCCTTCTAAGGCACCTCGATCCGTGCCGGTGGGAACGAGGAATGATGGCTCTGGTGAGAGCAGGGAATCAAGTCAGATCGACTCGAGCTCGAGTGGCAAGGATGGTGGAGGACAAAAAGGCACCAGCAGTGGCGTCCAGGGGGGTTGCAGTAGTGGCAGCAGTGACTGCTTTGCTGAGGAAGCCTTGCTCTCTGACAACCCTGAGAATCGCCGCAAGGCTTCAGGTGAAACTTCAGGTGGTGGCGTGCTGTGGAATCCATACAGTGCAGAGGGCCGGCTGGAGGAAATGCCTCGGTTTGTCACCGAGTGCAAGTCATCTGGGCTGGAATATGAGGAGGAGGGGGAGGAGGGAGAGGAGGGGGAGGGGGAGGGAGGGCACCTGGGTGTGGCATGGAGCTGCCCTGTCCTCCTGCCTGACGCCACCCTTGGTGTGCCTCCGGCTATGCACAGCCAGATGGAAGGGCAGGACGAGGGGTGCAAGAGCCTGCGGGATGGCTATATGGGGCAGCAGGGGCGGCCGCAGGGGAAGGAGCATGGGATGCATGAGGTGGCAGGTGGGCGGGCTGTCACATTTGCGAGAATGGAGCCGTTGCATGAGGGTGAGGGTGTGGAGGGGTGTGAGGGTGAATCTGTGGGGGGTTCGCAGAGGACGTCAGAGGGGAGAGCGCCGTCGGAGCAAGGAGAGGGGGGTCGAGAGAAGAGGACAAGGGCTGCCACCCTTCTTGTTGCAGTGGAGCCGTTTCGACAGCGTGTGCAGAAGGCAATGCGGGGGCAGCTGGCGTAGGGTGTTTGATAGTGCAGATGGACTTGTTACGGTACGGTATAGTATGTAGGGTGTAATGATATACACTGTCGGGGAACTTGTTACGGTACGGTATGTATTTACCTAGTGTGTTCGCAGATATGCAATATGGACACGTTCAATCCGCAACAGCCTCAGCGATACTGTCAGGGCTGACGTTCCAAAAAAAAATTCCTGAACACTGAGGGGGGTTCGGCCAGATTTTGACCACTCTGATGGCGCAGTCTCCAGGGAACTCCTTCCCTGCTGTCACAGGGTTGACTAACTAGGATCAGAGTCTTGTTGCTACAATTTTTCTCTTATTACACATGCACTGTCAACAATGCTCGGCGAGTTCTGCAATACATAGCACAGCACATTACGTGAGGGTGGCGCGGTGCGCGTAGCTGCAGATTCATCATTGTACACTTGGCATGCTGGCCGCATCGCGCCGCACCTGGCTGCCTTGCTGTGCACAGCGCACCAACAGATTTTGTCAGCATTACGTGGTTTACTGCCCACGCGAACATAAAGACAACCACGGGGGGTGGGGAAATGGTTACGCGGGGGGGGGGGGGGTTACTTTCGGGAAATTTTGAGGAAGCTTCTGTCAAATGATATATATGTGTGATATATATTGGTAGGCTGTAGTGGGGTAGATGTTATAGGGGATAACACTTTAGGGTTGTGTTTCTTGTACCAATCTCTCTCGTCAATGCAACCAACCTTGCCTAGCTATCTCGACATGGCATCTAGAGCAGGTTCTTAGGACCTAAGTTTAAGGGCCCACCAGTTACTAAGTTACCTCACCAACGGCCTGCCTACCTGCCTTGCCTGTTTGTCTGCCTAGCCTGCTGCCCGCGCGCGCCTCGGCTGCGCGCGCACGCCTTTTTTTTTTAGCGCGCACTGCTGCTGCCAGCCGCGTCGCGCCCCGTCCGTCGCCCGCGCAGCCCGCCCTGAGCCCGCGCAGCCCGCGCGCGGCCCGTCGCTGCCTTGCGCAGCCCGCTAAGGCCCCGCGCAGCCCGTCTGCAGCCCGCGCGTCGCGTTCGTCGCTCGCGCGCAGCCCGTTTAGGCCCCGCGCGTCGCGTTCGCTGCCTGCGTGGCCTGCTTCAGAGCTGCGCACTGCACCTACCGTCCGCGAGCAGCCCACCTAGGCCCTGCAAGTCACGTTCGTCGCTCGTACAGCGCACTGCTGCCCCGTGCATTGCGTCCGGGGTTTAGGGTTTACCCTGTTTTTCCTATCTGCCTGAGCCTGCTGCCTGAGCCTGCTGCCTGAGCCTGCTACTTTTGCCTGCGCTGCAACCATGGCGACCCTTACTGTTCTCGCCTTTGAGCCTGACGGCCGCCCCATCGAGTTTGACACCTGGCTTAGTGATCTGCGGCTTTACCTTATGACTGACGTCGCAGACGGAGTATCACTGCTAGCCTATGTGACCGGCACTGTCCCTACTCCCGCTGAGACTGCTCCTGCCCCTGAACGAGCACAGTGGGAGCTCCGCGATGCAGTCGCGCGCCTTGTTATTCGCAATCACCTACCGATCTCTGAGCGCGCGCATTTCAACCAGCTTAAGACTGCTAAGACGCTGTATGATGCTGTCGTTGCCCGCTATTCCGCCCCGGCCACAGCCACCGTTGGTAGTCTCATCCTGCCTTACCTGTTCCCAGACTTAGCCTCGTTTCACACTGCTGCCGACCTTATCACTCACCTCCGCGCTAGTGACGCCCGCTTTCGAGCCGCTCTTACCGACGAGTTCCTCGCCACGAACACCCCCCCGCTGTACTTCACCCTCTACATCCTCGTCACCCGCCTCCCTGACACTCTTCGCTCTGTCAGGGATCACTTCCTTGCCAAGGATCCTCCAACTATCACTCTGGACGACTTCGAGCAGCAGCTGGTCGCAGCAGAGAAGAACATCCTCGCTGTCGGTGCTGCTCGTGGCACTCCCCGCACTCCCCTCTTTGAGGGGTGCTCCCCCTCCCCTCTTGACCCCTCCTACGCCTCTGCTGCTACTGCTGTCGACTTCCTCGGTGCGGAGAAGGTCGCAGCGGCTTCCGCTCCTGGTGGGAAGCGTGGTGGTGGCAGGGGCGGCAAGGGTGGCAGGGGTGGCGGAGGTGGCGGTGGAGGGAGCGGTGGTGGAGGCGGCGGGGGTGGTGGAGGTGGTGGGGGTGGCCGTGGGGGTGGAGGCGGTGGGTGGGGTGGCGGCAGGACCGGGGGCGGTGGAGGCGGCGGCGGCGGTGGTGGGGGAGGAGGCAGCGGCAGTGGCGGTGGAGGTGGGAGTGGGGGTGGATCTGGCCAGAAGGGTGGCCCCACTGGTGGCCAGCAGCAGCAGCAGCAGCAGCAGCAGCTTCCTCCCCTCACCTCCCAGCAGCTCAATGACTGGTATGCTGGGCGTGGGGCGTCTCGGGGTTCTGACCGCTGCCCCTATGTCATTCGTACTGGCCCCCGCAAGGGTCGCCCCTGCAACGGTTTTCACACTGAGTACCGTTGTTTTTCTAGGCTTAGTGACGCCTGGCGTGCCAAGTATCCTGATGCTACTGAGTTCCCCAACTGGGCAGAGCTGCTTAGGCGTGATGTGCCTATCTTTGATCTGGACTATGATGTTATTCTTGCTGCCATGTATGCATTGTCTGTTAGTGCTGAGGGTGACTGTTACTTGTGTGTGCCGCCTGACCCTGGTATTGACCCCGGTATAAGGGCTGCAGCCCTAGGTGCTAGTGAGTCTGCTCCCCTTGGTACTGAGTCGGCTCAGGCCTTGCACACGTTTACACTTGACTCTGGTGCTTCCCGCTGTTTCTTTCGCGATAGCACCACCGTCACTCCCCTCCCTGCACCTGTCCCTGTCTCACTGGCTGACCCCTCTGGGGGCCCAGTGCTTGCACGAGCCACGACTGTGCTCCCGTGCCCGGCGGTCCCGTCTGGTGAGCTGTCAGGTCTCCTCGTTCCCTCGTTCTCTACGAACCTGGTGAGCAACGCCGTCCTCCAGGATCACTGGGTTGACACCTGGACTCCTGGAGGGCAGCGTGTGGCGATCTGCACGTGCTCCAAGACTGGCCGCCACCTGGCCACGTTCACTCGTGAGCCGGGGTCCAGTCTGTACACCCTCACCACTGTTTCACGCTCCGCTCCTTTGTCTCCGCAGCTGTACGCGTCTGCTCAGGTAGCTACCCAGTGTGAGTGCCGCCGCCTGTCGCACGACACGCTCCTGTGGCACCACCGCCTTGGTCACCCCTCCCTGCCTCGCCTTCGTAGCATGCACTCTCGCTCCCTGGTCTCTGGGCTTCCCAGGTCTCTGCCTGCCCTCCCTCCCTCGCCTGCGCCGCCCTGCATTCCCTGCGTCGAGGGGCGGCAGCGCGCCGCTCCTCACTCCTCCTCGTTTCCTCCCACAGAGGCTCCCCTGCAGACGCTTCACCTGGACGTGTGGGGCCCAGCCCGCGTCCAGGGACAGGGCCGTGAGCGGTACTTTCTGCTGGTTGTCGACGACTACACGCGTTACACTACGGTCTTCCCCTTGCGCAGCAAGGGAGACGTCCCTGCTGTTTTGATCCCCTGGATCCGCGCTGTGCGTCTCCAGCTCCGCGAGCGGTTCGAGCGGGACTTTCCTGTCCTGCGTCTGCACTCTGACAGAGGTGGTGAGTTCTCCTCTGACCTCTTGGCAGCCTTCTGTGCGGAGCACGGCATCACCCAGTCGTTCACGCTTCCGGCCTCTCCGCAGCAGAATGGGGTTGCTGAGCGCCGCATTGGCTTAGTCATGGAGGTCGCTCGTACCTCCATGATCCATGCGGCGGCTCCCCATTTTCTGTGGCCGTTTGCGGTCCGGTACACCGCGCATCAGCTCAACCTCTGGCCCCGTGTCTCCTTGCCGGACACCTCGCCCACACTGCTGTGGACGGGGGAGGTTGGCGATGCGTCGCGTTTCCGGGTCTGGGGTGCTCGTGCCTTTGTCCGCGATCTCACCGCGGACAAGCTCTCTGCTCGCGCCATTCCCTGCGTCTTCCTTGGTTTTCCTCCTGACGCGCCTGGCTGGCAGTTTTACGACCCCACCTCGCGCCGTGTCTTTGCGTCTCAGGACGTCACCTTTGACGAGTCGGTTCCCTTCTACCGTCTCTTCCCCTACCGCACTGCCTCTCGCCCCCCCCCGCCGCTCTTTCTCGCTCCAGGTGCTCCCCAGGTAGACCCCCTCCCCGCACCAGGTCCTGCTCCCTCAGGTGTTTCTCAGGTAGACCCTCCGGTACCTACGCCTGCTGAGGTCACTGGTGACTCCGGTCCTGCTGGGGGTGGTCTTGCTCGGGGTGCTGTGCCTGCGCGTGAGGAGCCTGGAGGTGCTGAGCTTGGGGGTGTCGAGTCTGAGGGTGCGGAGCCTGCGCGAGAGGAGCCTGGAGGTGCTGAGCCTAGGGGTGCGGAGTCTGGGGGTGCTGTGCCTGCGCGTGAGGAGCCTGGAGGTGCTGAGCTTGGGGGTGCCGAGTCTGAGGGTACTGAGCCTACGCGTGAGGAGCCTGGAGGTGCTGGCGCTGGAGGTTCTGGAGCAGTTGGGGGTGCTGGCGCTGAGGGTTCTGAGTCTGCTGTTGCGCGGTCTCCTTGGAGTAGCCGCCTTCGTCCACGTGTGCCTCTCACCTCACAGCAGCTGCAGGACCGGTACGGTCGCCGTCAGGGTCGCGCTGCTGGAGCCCGGGGCTCTACTGCTGGAGTCGCTGGTTCCGGAGGTGCTCGTACTGGAGGTACTGGAGCTGCTGGGGCTGGGGGTGCTGCGTCTGGAGGTGCTGCTGCTGGAGACACTGAGGTTGGAGACCCTGGGACTGGAGGTGCTGGTTCTGGGGGTGTTGCTGCTGGAGACACTGAGGTTGGAGACCCTGGGACTGGAGGTGTCGGTTCTAGGACTGGAGCTGCTGGAGGTGCTGGAGCTGCTGGAGGTACTGGAGCTGCTGGAGCTGCCGGTACTGGCGCAGCTGCGCCGACACGACTGTTCTTCGCTCCGCCGTCTCCGTCGTCTCTGCCGCCGTCTGACTCTGCTCTTCGTCAGGTTCTTACTCTCCCGTCGTCTACTGGTCTTCCGTTACAGCCTGGCTCACCGCTGCCTGCTCCTTCTCCTTACACTGAGTAGACAGGTAGTCCTGCTGAGCGTCGTGAGCCTGCGTCGCGTCCTGTCTCGCCTGCTCGTCCTGGTCGTACCGGTCGTCGTGTTCCTCGTTCGCGTCAGCCGGCTGTCCCCAGCGCACACCTCGTAGTCCGTCGTCCTTCCTCTGCTCTGCAGCCTGTTCCTCTGCCGTCTCCTCCTGCATCCTCTCTGCCTGACGTTCCAGACCCTGAGTCTGACCGGTTTCGTGCTGAGCACCCTACTGTCACGCGTCTGCTAGCCACAGTTGTCACTGACCCGTCGTTTGAGTCTACTGCTGCGTCTGCTCTTGTCGCTGAGCTTGTTGACTTTGCTGCTGCCTGTCGTCTAGACTTCGCTGCCAGTCTTGTTGCTGAGTCTGAGTCTGTCTGTCCTCCGTCCGTCGGGGGTGAGTGTGCTCTTAGCACGGACGTCCTTGAGGACAGGCACGAGGACCTTGAGTGTCTTGCGGCTGCTGCGCCTCATCTCGTGGCCATGCTGCTTGCCCCTGAGGGAGACTCGGATGCACCAGACATCCCGACCCCGCGCTCTTACGCTGAGGCGATCGCGGGTGAGTACTCCTCTCAGTGGCAGACAGCCATGGACGCAGAGATGGCATCCTGGAAGTTCACAGGCACTTACGTCGATGAGGTTCCCCCTCCTGGGGCGAACATCGTCGATGGCATGTGGATTTTCAGGGTGAAGCGGCCGCCGGGTTCTCCGCCTGTCTTCAAGGCTCGTTACGTTGCTCGAGGCTTCAGTCAGCGAGAGGGAGTTGACTTCTTCCAGACCTTCTCCCCTACCCCGAAGATGACTACTCTTCGGGTGCTGCTGCACGTTGCCGCTCAGCGTGACTACGAGCTTCACTCTCTTGACTTCAGCACAGCTTTCTTACAGGGCAGCCTGCACGAGGAGATCTGGCTGCGCCGCCCACCTGGCTTCACTGGGTCGTTCCCTCCTGGTACCCAGTGGAGCCTCCGGCGGCCAGTCTACGGTCTCCGCCAGGCGCCACGTGAGTGGCACGACACACTGAGGACGACACTGGCGGCTCTTGGGTTCGCTCCTTCGACAGCTGACCCGTCGCTGTTCCTGCGCACCGACACTTCGCTGCCACCGTTCTACATCCTCGTGTACGTCGACGACTTAGTCTTTGCCACTGCTGACACTGAGGCTCTCGCCTTGGTGAAGTCGGAGCTGCAGAAGAGACACACGTGCACAGACCTGGGTGAGCTGCGCAGTTACCTTGGCTTGCAGATCACTCGGGACAGAGCACGCCGCACCATCACACTGACTCAGTCACACATGGTGCAGCAGGTTCTTCAGCGCTTCGGCTTCACCTGGTCCTCGCCACAGCACACTCCTCTGGCTACAGGTTACTCGCTCTCAGCTCCACCTTCGGACGAGTCCGTAGAGCCGAGTGGTCCTTACGCAGAGCTAGTGGGCTGCCTCATGTACCTGATGACCTGCACTCGTCCTGACCTTGCGTACCCTCTTGGCCTTCTCGCTCGCTACGTGGCTCCTGGTAGGCACCGACCAGAGCACATGGCTGCTGCTAAGAGGGTACTGCGCTACTTGTGCAGTACATCGAGCATGGGGCTCGTGCTTGGAGGACGGAGTGAGGTGGTCCTCACTGGGCACTCAGACGCGTCTTGGGTTGACGACCAGGCTACACAGCGGTCGTCACAGGGTTACACCTTCAGCCTTGGCTCTGGCTCTGTTTCTTGGCGGTCTACACGCTCGTCTTCTGTTCTCAGCTCCAGTTGTGAGGCTGAGATCTACGCCACCGCCATGGCTGCACAGGAGCTTCGCTGGCTCACCTACCTGCTGACTGACTTGGGTGAGCGGCCTCGTTCTCCTCCAGTGCTGTACGTTGACAACAAGGCGGCCATTGCCTTGTGTGAGGAGCACAGACTGGAGCACAGAACGAAGCACATTGCTTTGCGTTACTTCCTGGCTCGAGAGTTGCAGCAGCGAGGCCAGCTTCGTCTTCGCCACGTGGCCACTCGGGCCAACACTGCTGATATATTCACCAAGGCACTTCCGTCTGGTGATCATCAGCGCTTTTGTACTCTGTTGGGCCTTGTGCCTACGTTTCCACACTTGCTGTAGTCTCTGCTTGTACTGTGATATATATATATATATATATATATATATATATATATACCTGCATGCTGGCTCTTGCTAGGTAGCCATCACTGTACTGTTATTGCTGCATATATATCTCTGCATGTGAACTGGCCTTGTGGCCATTTGCTTGTGCTCTGAATGTGTGGTGACGTTGTGATCCACCCTGAGCTTGTTTTGCTTCTCTTGACTGGTCTTGTGACCCGTTGCTCTCCCCCACTTTGCCTATGGGGGTGTGTCAAATGATATATATGTGTGATATATATTGGTAGGCTGTAGTGGGGTAGATGTTATAGGGGATAACACTTTAGGGTTGTGTTTCTTGTACCAATCTCTCTCGTCAATGCAACCAACCTTGCCTAGCTATCTCGACAGCTTCCTCTCGATAGACCGGCATACAAGGACCACAGACCGTATTCTCTGTAGGGCCAGACTCCATAAACGACTAAGTCTGATGCTTATTACACTATATCAGGGGCCTACAAACAACAACACTGAGGCTCTCAGGGATGAAATATTGATTACACTGGAAGTACAATATTCACAAGCTCAATAGCCTGATTGGTCAGACCAATCATACTATTCAGTCTGATAGCGTCAGCCCTGGATACTGTGTTGCTTTGTACCTAGTATATCCGTGCTTTCTACTAGTGTGTACTGAAGCTCATTGATAAAAGCAATAACGACATGAATTTGTGTTGTGAGAAATTCTTCAGCTGTGTAATTATCGTACATCTGGGATTGAAATCATATAAGGATTGAGATACTTAGCTCAGACTGCGAAGAACTCAACATAAGGAAATTTTAATTGTCAAAATATAGTATACATCCGTTAACCACTACCAGTATCGAAATGTAGTCAATTATTGCTACCATATAAAAAGTATCCCCGTTGTTCCCTGCTTTTCCGAGCTGCGCTAGATCTAGGGTTTCCCGTCCCGCAACGTCGTCGCTCCACCAACCACTTCTCAAGATTCTTGAACTTGCCGAAGCTCGATCTAGATCCTGCAGTAGTAATCTTTCAAGGAGTTTCAGGAGGAACCTCGGTTCTCGATTCTGTAGCAGCGTGCGCAGAGCTTCCAGATCAACCTATCGTGTCCGCTAGGTATCATGTAGATACCTTTCTACTCACTATGTGTCGCCATTGTTACTCTTAGGCGATATGTGTCGCCATTGTTAGTCTTAGGCTATGGCGTCCGAGGATACCGGTGTGCAGAGGGACGCATCGGGTCCTGGTGCCTCCTGGCCGCCAGGGTTCGGCGTCCCTCCAGCTTCAGCCTACGCACGTCCGCAGTTAGGAGATTCTTCAGGTGTTTCCGCGCAGGAAAATAATTCCCATCTTGTAGCTAACCACGATTTGAAGGCGGGTAACGCGTGGCATTTCGGGCCGTCCGATGCGAAACAGTACGGATTAGGTCCTGCTCGAGTCGCGCTTGGTTCTGATCCGGCTCCTCGCAATCCAAATTTCGGCGATGATTCGTTTTCGCTATCCGCCGGATCCGGCGGTTTGACACACGCAGCGAATTACATTGACTCGGTATTATCTAGGCTAACTCCAGGCAGCGGATTGGCAGGGCTGCCTGGCGAAGTGACAGCTCCGCGAGTTCCTGCGGTCTCGCAAGGAGTTAACGGGATCGGCCGTTCCTTGCACGCGGAACAGATATCGTTGCAGCAGCAGCAACAGGCACAATTCTTGCAGCAAGATTTCCCACAGCTGCAGCGGCAACAGATTCCGGATGCTCCTCCTCCACCGTCCGATGGATACTCACGCATATCAACGGACCACATGCTTTCGTGGCAGGTGGAGGAGTATTTTCAGCAACAGCGGAGACAGCAGGCGCTCGCAGGACTCGTGACTCAGCAGCAGTTCCCTATTGACTCAGGTCCACTGGCATTGCCACGTCATCTGCAACAAACGCTGGGTCCACCTGTAGCCACGTCACTGGAGCACAGTCAGCAGCAGCATCAGCACCAGCAACAGCAGCAGCTCCAGCAGCAGCGTTTTCAGGAGTCTCAAGCTGGTGCTCCGTTATACGCCGACTCTGTACATGCACAGCTCCAGTCACTCCCTCGAGGCGTTCTCAACACTCATTTCGCGTCAGGCCCATCGGCGACGCAATTGGACGGCGATCTCGGCCAGATCTACGGCTCACGAGGCTCGCAAAATCTCCCAGCTCCTCCAAACACTCTCGGACTCACCCTCGACGAGATCCGTGCTCCGCATAATCTAATGAATGTTGAATCCATGGCGCCAAACCTTTCTGACAAGTACGAGGTGCCGTCTTACCTCAAGGAGCTGTGGTCTGATTCACCTGTCCATGGCTCTCCGTTTCGCGCGCCTGGAAGGCCCACTGACCCGGGCGGGATGCGCGGCGGACAACCTTTCTCCCTCGGGCAAGGAATGCTGTCTTTCGAGAATTCTCAAAAAGCAACCGAAGCAGCAGTAGGAGCACCAGGAAGGTTCCGAGGGGAAGGAGGGTTTGGAGGAAATGGGGAAGGAATGAACCGCGGAAGTCCGTCTCTCGGTCCGTACCCGCATCCCGGGCTGAACGGCGGTGATCCGCCCTTGCAGGGTTTTTCCGATCCTGGCGGGCCGTTCGACCAACGTGTTGCCTCGTTAGAAGGGTCCCCGTTTGGGAGAAAGTCTGTGGAGGCAGGCAGAGGCTCTCCCAGCCGATCCTCTCTTAGCAACTGGCCGTACGGAACGAATGATGCCGAAGCTGATAGAGGAATAGGGGGAGGAGTGGGACTTGGGGACAGCCGGTTTAACCCTGCGCGGGGAGGCATGGCCGCGCCCGGAGGGGGAGGCGGAGGCGGAGGGGCAGCGGGAAGAAACGCAGGTGTGGCGCAGTGGGCGGCCGTCGGAGCGAACGGGAAGGAGGCAGGGCGAAGAGAGGATGGAGGGAGTGGATGGGGTGTGAGTGGCGGCGTGAGCGACGGAGGTATGGTAACAGGAGGCAGAGAAAGCGAGGGGTTGAACGTGGGAGGAGACCCGTGGCGTCGCGCGGGTGCTCTGGGGCCTGATGGCCTTCAAGGGAACTTTCCGTTACCGCTGCACCAGCAGTTTCCGCCTGTCCAGCAGCAGCAACAACAGCAGGGTGGGATCATGGGTGCAGTGGCTTCGAATGCTAACAACGGTGGTGCTTTTAACGCGGACGAGCTTACTCTGGAGCAGCTGACCGACCCGGCTGCGGTGGCGGCGCTGGAAGGCCCGTCGAGCCAGCAGACGATCATGGATCTCCTCGCTGCCGCCGGCAACGCCTTCGCCGCCCCACAATTGAAAGCATCTGGCCTTCACGAGCAGCAGCAACAGCAACAGCAACAACAACAGCAACAGCAGCATCACCAGCAGCTTCAGTTTCAGCAGCAGCAGCAGCAGCAGCAGCAGCAGCAACAGCAGCAGTTGCAGCAGGGAAGGGCGCAGGCGACGGCGCGCAAGCTGTTTAACGATGACATGTTTCCGCCCCTGGGCTCGCCCTCCCCCCCCGCGTCGGGCAAGGCGGGAGCGAGCGCGCAAGGCAGTGGCGGCGGGGCGGGGAGAGGCGCAGCAGGCGCGGAAGGAGATGCGGCTGGTGGCGCCGCCGGTGTGGGGAAGGGCGCGCAGGATGTGAGGAATTCGTTGGAGGCTTTGGCGGAAGATATGAAGGCGTTCGACCTCTCTGGTGACCCGACTGGTGACTCGGGTCAGTTTCAACAGCAGGGGCGTGCGGGGCAGCAGCAGCAGCACGGACAGCAGCACGGACAGCAGCACGGACAGCAGCACATGTCTCGCAATCAGCCGCAGCAGCAACAGCAGCAGCAGCAGCAGCAGAGGCAGCAGCAGCATCAGCACGGTATTCCTATCCATCCGCATCGTCACCACGCTGCGTTCACTGCCGCCCCTCGCCATCCCCCCGGCTCCAGCCCTGGCCAACGGTTCAGGCATCCCGACCAGCAGCAGCAGCAGCAGCAGCCGCAAGGGGGCGTGCAGCAGCAGCAGCAGGAGCAGCAGCAACTGCAAGCAAGACCCCAGCAGCAGCAACAACAACAGCAGGTTCAGTTCCGCCCGCACGCCCACCGCCCGCCGTCCCTCCGCGTGGACCTTGCGCGCCTCAACTCGCACCTGCTGGCGCTGTTCCGCTCGCTGGAGCCCACGGCAGAGGAGGCGGAGCGCAAGGAGCAGCTCATGCGCACGCTCACGCGCGTGGCCGCCGCCACGTACCCCTCCGCGCAGCTGTTCTTGTATGGGTCGTGCGCGAATTTTTTTGGCGTGCGCAACTGTGATGTGGATGTTTGTCTTGCTCTGGAGGGGCCGGATGTGTCGCGCGTGGAGGTGATTACCAACATGGCGAGCGCGCTCAGGGCGGAGGGCATGCTCAGCGTGCAGGTGAGGCGAGACGAGAGAGGGGTAGGTAAACAAGCAGGTGAGTCGAGGGAGGGATAGCGGGGCTCCCGGATGTGTCTCGCGTGGAGGTGATTACCAAGATGGCGAGTGCGCTCAGAGCGGAGGGCATGCTCAGCGTGCAGGTGGGGGTGTGTGCATGTGGGGGGAAGATGTGAAAGGTGGGCATTGGACGGCCCAGATGTGTCGCGTGTGGAGGTTATCACGAACATGGCGAGTGCGCTGAGGGCGGAGGGCATGCTCAGCGTGCAGGTGAGACGAGGGGTGAGATGGGGACATGTGCGTCAACAACCTTAAAACCGTCGCCAACAGCCCTCATCCCCCAATCCCCATTCCCCGTCTCCCCCCTCCTGCAGGCACTCACCCACGCGCGTGTGCCCATAGTGAAGTTCATGGACCCAGCATCGGGAGTGGCGTGTGACATGTGTGTCAACAACCTCGCAGCCGTGGCCAACAGCCGCCTGCTGGCGGATTACGGGCGCATTGACGAGCCACACCCCACCCCACCCCGCCCCACCCCACCCATGCTGCCGTCTTGCCTGCTTTCCCCGCCCTTGCGTCCGTGTCCCTGAACCTTTGCCCCTCCCAACCCCACAGGCGCTGACCCATGCACGAGTGCCCATAGTGAAGTTCATGGAGCCAGCATCCAGAGTGGCGTGGGACATGTGCGTCAACAACCTTGCGGCCGTGGCCAACAGCCCTCATCCCCCAAACCCCATTCCCTGTCTCCCCCGTGCTGCAGGCACTCACCCACGCGCGTGTGCCCATCGTGAAGTTCATGGACCCAGCATCGGGAGTGGCGTGCGACATGTGTGTCAACAACCTCGCAGCCGTGGCCAACAGCCTGCTGGCGGACTATGGGCGCATTGACGAGCCACACCCCACCCCACCCCGCCCCACGCCACCCCACCCCACCCATGCTGCCGTCTTGCCTGTTTTCCGTGCCCATGCATTCCCGTCCCTGAACCTTTGCCCCCCCCATCCCAACAGGCGCTCACCCACGCGCGTGTGCCCATCGTGAAGTTCATGGACCCAGCATCCGGAGTTGCATGCGACATGTGTGTCAACAACCTCGCAGCTGTGGCCAACAGCCGCCTGCTGGCGGACTATGGGCGCATTGACGAGCGTGTGCGCCAGCTGGCGTTCCTCGTGAAGCACTGGGCGAAAAGGAGGCAGATCAACGAGACCTTCCGCGGCACACTCTCGTCCTATGCGTGCGTGGGGGAGGGGAGAAAGTTGATCTTGGAGCGGGATAGTGAAGGTGTGGGGGCGGAGAGAGAAGGTGTTTTGGGGGAAGAGGGTCCAAGAGGGGGGGGGGGGGGGGGAGGAAGGGGGGGAGGGGTCGGGTGGTTGAGTTTTGAGGCATTTGACAACTCTCAAAAGAAGTTTTTGTACAAATTCCCTCCCCACATTCCCCTCTCGTCCTCCATCCACCCGCCATGCCCCCTCCACCTTTCCCGCTTCAGCTACGTCATCATGTGCGTCCACGTCCTGCAGCAGCGCCAGCTGTACTTTCTGCCATGCCCTCATTCCCTACCGCCAACTCGTATGACAAGTGTTTTGAGCTCGCGAATCCTCTTTTTAATTCCCCCATCCACACCCCCCCGGTTTCCCCCTGCAGCTATGTCATCATGTGCATCCACTACCTGCAGCAGCGCCAGCCACCCATTCTGCCTTGCCTTCAGGTGCGCAATGCTTAGTAGTGTACGACGGCTGATGATGATGATGATGACGGCTGCTTTGTAGTGTACTACCTGCAGCAGCGCCAGCCACCCATTTTGCCAAGCGAGGCACAGTTGCTGTTAACCTTGTTGACTTTCATCAATCCCTCTCCCTGCCTCTTACCGTAACCCACCCACCCCTTTCCCCTCCTTCCTTTCCCACTCCCCCTCCCCCTCCCCCTCCCCCTCCGTCTCCCCCTCCCCCTCCCCCTCCCCCTGTTGCAATCACAGGAGATGCAGCCACACACGTACCGCATGCAGGTGGGCAGCGTCGTGTGTTCCTACTACGACAAGGTGGACACGCTGCGGGGCTTTGGGGCGGCCAATGGGGAGACGGTGGGGGAGCTGCTGGCGGGGCTGTTTGAGTACTGGGCCTTCCGCCACGACTACAACCGCTGCGTCATCAGCATCCGCACCGGTGGCTTCCTCAGGTGAGCCACGTTGTTGTCAGTGGCAGCTCTGTTCCCTCCACTTCCTGCTCCCATCTCACCACCTCGCTCCTGCTGTTTCTCCCTCCCTTTCCCCCAATCCATGCACACACACACACACACACACACACACACACACACACACACACACACACACACAGCAAGGAGGAGAAGGAGTGGACGAGGCGGGTGGGCAACGAGCGGCACCTGATCTGCATAGAGGACCCCTTTGACCTCTCCCATGACCTCGGCCGCGTCGTTGACCGCGCCTCCATCCGCGTGCTCAGGGATGAGTTTCACCGCGCTGCCAAGCTCATGCGCCATGACCCTGAGCCGTATGTTACCCTCTTTGAGCCGTACGTGCGTGAAGATGAACGGTAGGGATCAGCTGCTGAGGGGCTGCTGAGGGGCTGCTGAGGGGCTGTTTGTGGTTGACTGCCGCGCCTCCATCTGCGTGCTAAGGGACGAGTTTCACCGCGCTGCCAAGCTCATGATGAGGCATGACCCTGAGCCGTATGTTACCCTCTTTGAGCCGTACGTGCGTGAAGATGAACGGTGAGGATTGAGCCATGCACGGCACGTGAGAGAAGATCCAACGGTGCAGACGCGCTTTGGAGGAGCTGGCTACTCTGTTTGGTTGGGTTACGATCACTACCGGTAGGTATCAGCACTCGTCATCCATTTGGCATTCAAATGGTGGTGACTATAGTGCATTTAGGTCAGCAGTCCAGCGTCCATATACCCCTGAACACTTACTGTACTAGTGCAGGGGATGTCTATATACACTACACACTGATCTACAGCTTTTAGTTCCTCTACTGAGATGCATTTCTTGTACTCATCAGCTGAATATTATGCCGCATTCCTTCATATCACAGCATGTAGGACCGCCAACTAAGGTAGTTTGTGCGGTGCAAGTGCCATGGCACAACAAAAGCCTTCTACCTACCATAACAAGTACCTAGTACGGTACAACAGGAGAGTGCACATTACAAGTGACATGAGGGCCAGCTATCCAAACAGTCGTAACCACTACTGTTAATCTGATTGAACTCTAAGCAGGACTTCACTCTCCTGTGGTTACCACTGCCATCGCCAGTGCACCTCTTCTCAATGATAGGGTCTGCTATCTTGAAAGCCGGGCTCCAGGGCGAGCCACGTGGCAGCAGGCTATTGGTGGACGTCCAGTGGCAGTCGGAGGAGAAGGGGGATGAGATGGATGGCTCAGGGGAATGCACCAGTGTCACCCCGTGGATGCCACAGGGAGGAGAGAATGGCTTCATTACTACTACCCTCTCATAAGCCTCCTCTTTCTCACTCACCGTCTCATCCCTCTCATCCCTCATGCTTCCCTCATCCCTCAACTCCCTCTCCTCCACAACATTTTTCATGCACCTCTCATCTCTCTCATCTGCAGAGCCTGTCACGGATGTCTCGCCCTCCTCACATCTCTCTCCACACCTCTCATCCAACTCTTTCGCAAGACAAGGAGACATATGTTTGGGAAACGCAGCATCTGAGGGTCGGAGCGAAAAGCTTCCCTCTGACTGTGCTCCACTGTAGCAGAGCGGAGCGGGGAACCAGGCGTCTGTGGTTGGAGCTGTGAACGAGGAGCTTCTCCTAAAGCTGTTCTTTAGTATGTCTGACTGCCTTCTTCCCCTGCGCGAGATGAGGCTGCTTCTAGCAGCTTTAGAGGATGATTCCACGGGAGCAGCAACCATGCCTGCTACATCACCATCTCCACTCCCCTCCTGCTCTCTTCCCTTCGCTTCATAGCTCCCTTTCTTCCCCTCCTCTGCCTTCCCAGTTTCCCCATCCCCCTCTTGAGCTCCCCTCTTTTCCGCAGCTCCTCCTGTGTTCTTCCCCCCCTCCCGTCGTCGCCTCCTGCCAGTGCTATCATCAACAGCACAGCTGCTTACGACAGCAAGGCTACTCCCAAACGCAATGCTGCTGGCAATGGCCAGACTTCCCCCAAAAGAAATGCTCGTTGCGATCGCCAGCGTGCTACCGAACGCCAGGCTGCACCCGAGAGCCAGGCTCCTCCCAATCGCATCCCCAGCGGTGCTGCCACTTACATAAGTGCTCGTACTGTAAGTGCTGGTGCTGCGGGCGCTGCTGATTGCGCTGGCGTTCGTGCTGGCGACGCTGATGTTGCTACTCAGTCCCTCTCCTCCAACACTTAAACCCCCGCCATGCTGTTGAGACTCACTTCTACCAGTGGCAGTGGCAGTTTCCGTAGCAGTGTGAATCCCGGTCTGCCCGTGCTCTGATGCTTCACGGCTGATGTCAGCAGTGACGTCATGCCCATGATCCAAGGCTGCGCACACGTCAGCACCGTACGTAGACTCAGCAGCACAGTCGCCGAGGCTGATTCGCTCAACCCAGACTCGGCACATCTTGCACCGATCCACCTCCCGAACCAACGACCCATGGCCTAGAATAGACCGAAGGGCCGCACTCTTCCCCATCAACCATCCCTCCTCCCTCATCCCCGATTCCCTACCCTCGTCCGATTCGACTTTCGCCGCAAACATGGACTTGATTCTCGCCTCCGCAAACTCTTTCTCCCAGAATTCGCCTGAAGGTTCACCTGAAGAAGCACCCGAGAATCCCTGGTGCGCTTGCAGTTCCCGAGTCCCATCTCTCTTGCTCCGTGCAGCGCGTGGGGACATAGCTCGTCCCAAGCCACCTTGCTGCTTCTTCAGAGCCAGCTGCGCCCTCGAAACTCCCTTACAAGGCCCGTGATCCTGCGGAAAAGCGCCGTAACGTCTCCCCCTGCTCCCCCATACTCCACGCGTCGCTCTGTTCGAGTGGTTCCACGCTCCGCCGCGCATCTTCCCCGAGTACGCGTGCACGTGCCGCTGGATCCGCGACAGTGCCATGCGCGTACGAAATTCGCGCCGTTGATGGCGGCTGAAGGCGGAGATCATCGGGAATGGGTTTGATATGAGTGCTGACGTGTCCTCTGTCACGGTGGCGGACGCTGACTCAGCCTCGTTATGATCAGCAGACGCGATCGTCTCAGTCAGACTCAGATTCCGCGGCGGCGGAATGACCGTTAGGTCATCCTCGACCTCGTGAGCGTCAACGTCAATACCGTCATCTGTATCCGCGTTATAGCATGACGCGGCGTCTCGCGTGAGAAGCGCAGGCTGTTCCATATGATCGCTGCCCGAGTCCTCGTCAGATTCCGCATTAGTAAGGTCGAATTCAGCTCCATTTTCAGACGTTAACATGGCGGCTGTTAACGAATCAAACGTTGCGGCCGAATCAGACACCACCTCGTCCTTGAAAAGCGTTTCTCTGTCATAATCGGACAGAATTCCTGGTATGTGGGAGGTTTCATCGCTTCGCTGTCCCGCCAATTCATGGAGACTGCTCGTTTCTGGGATTGAGAAAGTGTCCACAGCGGTAGCGGCGTCGGCGGAGTCGGCAGCCGCGGCGGCAGTCACGCCAACGCATGACGGGGAGACGCGGCCAAACGGGGAGGACGTCGCACACGTCTCTTCCATCTGTTTTCCGAATTCGTCCTCTTTGCATGATTCCACTGACGAGCCAGCGCCACGGTGTTCCTCCTCCTCCTGTTTGTGAGACGTCTCAATCTTCGCACGCTTCTGTTCTATCCCGTCCCCGCCGGATTCGTTCTCTCTGCTTGTTGTTTTGTGGAGGACGCCGTTGCCGCCACGACGACTCGCCGAATTCGGACCTTCCTCCTTCAGCGTTGATAACGGCCGCGCCAGTAGGCCCGCCAAAGCGATAATTCCGCGCCCCCAACTGGTGGGAAGACTTGGAGGCATCGTAGAAAAGCGCACTAAGGGAATCTCAATCTCCTGGAGCCCGTGAGAACTTGTTCGCGAGTAGGAATGCGTGTGTGGCCGCACTACGAGTTAGTTGGACCATTTGCCCGCGCAACATAGCATTCGCTATTCTACTTTAAATGAGTGAGAGAGATGCGTGTCGGAAGTGGCACAACAAGGCGCGCAGTAATGGGGAATTTTGCGGCTGGAAGGTATTGCTTCATTCGGAGCTATCAAGACGCGGTGCTGCCGTAAGCAGTCGAGTGGATAAGAAGAGGGGAACACGAATTTGCTGCTGAGCGCTGTTGGGCTGTCCGAGAAGCGTGCGAGGCCTTTTGAATGACTCAGGTTGAGGTGGAAGGTGGAGAATGAACATCCCTCCCAGACCGGGCATGTGGCTGGCGCGATGCGTCGAACCATTTATGCGAAATCGCAGCGCTGTTGCGAATGCTACCAGCAAACATCTGACTCTTCGCAAGGGCTAAATCTGGCTGGGGATAAAGTTCCTGAAGAGTCGCCAGTCTTCGCAAGTCATATGCAGCTTGACAGCTATTGACGTGGGTTGTGAATTGCTGCTGGGGTAGTTGGTTGGAGGTTGAGGTGGAATTTGACATGGATCAACGCGTCGCGGGTTCTTCGACCCGCATTTGCTGGCGCGCTTAGGGCGTGTAAGATCCCCGTGCACACAGAATCGGCCATCAAAATTAGGTGGCCGTAGCGAAAGTAACCATTTCGTGATCGGTTTGCGAATCTCGTCAATTTCAACCATCAAATTCGTGATATGATGGCCGGAAAACTAGTCGACTCTTTTCCGACGCGTGGTCGACTTCAAATCGGCCATGCTGTCGACAGCAGCTGTCTACAGTGAGAAACGAAGTCGCATACGCTGCTACAGTGAAATTGCGACATCGTATTCATGTGTGCGACATCGTCGCACCAAGTCGTAAAAAAGGACAAACCGAAATCTTCCACCTCTGTTACAGCGGCCAGCAAAACCGTGTCAGATTTGGAGGCCACACTGAGTTGGCCGAAAATTTGTCGACCTGGTGACGACTAATCTGTCGACCTTCGCGAAAGCTTTGTCGACCAAAATGGTCGACAAAATTCAGCCAAAACGTGTGCACGGGGATCTTACACACCCTTAGAATGACCGAGGAGCGAGAAACCCACAAATGACAGCAAAGCGAGTTCAAGATACACGTCATGCCAGCGAAGAGCGTTCACCTGAGCCGTCAGATGAAACATTTGTCAGATCTCACATCTTGCCACAGAAAGGGGCAGTCAAGCTTCGGTCAGCAAATTCCTTCCATGTACAGTAGTTACATCAGCTTCTCTCTGCGAGTTTGTCCCTGATTATACGGCGCAACGTGCGCAAGATCTGGTCACAACTGTGTGCGATATGAGCGTGACTCGGAAACGCGAACAAGAGATTTTAATGCAGGTGAAAGCAGATATGCTTTACTAAACATGTAAGAAGCTGACAGTTTATCGAGTCTCTCCGCAATTGTGTATCTCAGTTCTTTCCGAACGGGCGAGAGCAGACCTGCCGGCGAGGAATTTTCTTCTCGGATTCTTGCAGAGCCCTTGCCTTGTCTGGTGGGCTCGTAGGCCTGGAGAACACGCACATAAACTCAACTTCCAATCATTCCTAAATTAAATCCCACCACAGAATTCTAATTTCCTCCATCCACGGTTTCTTGCGCAGCGCTGCGCGAGCGATGGCGTGGACCGTGGACCCGCAATGGGAGGCGGCGCTAGGACTTATCGGGACCCTCTCCGCCATAGCCCTGTTCATATCACCCTTGTAAGCATTGCCATCGATCCGCCTCTCGCTGCCTGTTCCTGTGGACTGTGGACGCATCACAGCTCTTTCTCCCCACAACGCATCACTTCTTAGCATGATGCTCGATCAGTTGTCGTCAGGTTTTGCCGCTTCCCGCTTGCGCAAAGTGGGACAAAATTCGCGCATTTTTTCGCCATACTTTGGATTTGGTTTTTGGCAGTCACGCCCTAGCTTTCGAATTCCATTCCCGCTTGTCCCTCAGCAAGATGCTAGGTCAGCCGTCATCTGGCTCTGTCGCTTCCCGCTGGCGCGAAATGGGTCGATTTTTCGCATCTTGCCGCTACTTCAGGCGCCCAAGTTATCACACTCCACCTCTGCTTAACCCTCGCAAATATCCCTCGTTCTTCGTCTCCTTCCCTTTCGCCACGCGCCGTCGCAGGAAAACGTTTCAGCGGATCATCAGCAGGCGAAGCACGGAGGATTTCCCGTCCTTCCCCTACGTCTCTACGCTTCTGAATTGCTTCATTTGGACGGTCTATGCGCTACCATTCGTCACTCCCAACCGCCTTCCACCGCTCGTTACCAATGTTATCGGCGTGGCCTTTCAACTGGTTTACCTCGTGCTCTTCGTGCGCTATGCTAAGGATAAAGCTCAGGTGAGTCAATAACGGTCGCAAGGCACTGGTAAGTCTGCTATATTGCCCAGCGGGATGTATTGTTCTCACTGATTCATCGTGAATTGCTGCTGCTTATTCTATCACCAGTGCACCTCATCCCATTGCACCCTTCTTCACCACTCTCCACCCCATTCTCACCCATCTGCAGAGCCAAGTGCGGCAGCAGCTGCTGATACTCTCCACCTTTCTGCTGCTCTTCACTGCTCTGCTCTTCACCGTCGTTCCTCCTCCCAGTCGCAGTGCAGTGGCTGGAAACCTAGCCACCCTCTTTACTGTCGTCATGTTTGGCGCTCCTCTCTCCTCGCTGGTGGGTGTTCAATGCACCCCTGACAGTTTTTTCTATACTTATGCAGCATGCCTTGCCTGCAGCAGTGCTGTGGCTGGAAACTTGGCCACTCTCTTCACCCGTTTCCCTGTCATAATTTCTGGCGTGCTCCTCTCTCCTTGCTTGTGCGTGTCCTCTGCATGTGACGCCTTTTGACGCGCTTCAAAATAACTTCTTGCAGCGCGTTTATAACATCTGTCATTCTCAGCTCATTCATAGTTGCCCCTTTCCCATTTCAGCATTCGAATCTCCCCGCTTTGTGGTCCGAGAAACGACATCCTTCCCGCTTTCTCTCTCTCCTTGCGCCCGACACAGTCACATCCCATCCATTCGACATCTCTCCATCCACTGCTGCATACTCATCGGTTATGGGGCATGGTGATGTGATATTTTTTGTTCATGCATGTGGTGGTGGGGGAGCGGAAAGGGGAGGGGTGTGCGTGCGTGTCAGAGTGTGGTTGTACGTGTTTCTCCCTGTGTGTGTGCATGTATGCATGTGCATGGTAATGCATGCACACGTGGCAGTCTGTGGTGCTGAGGACACGCAGTGTGGAGTTCATGCCTCTGCCTCTGTCACTCATGTCATTCGTTTGTAGCACATCTTGGATGGCCTATGGCATCTACGTGCAAGACACTTACGTGATTGTAAGTCATCCTTTACAGGTGGTATGATGGAGGCGGGTGGGTGAGAGGCTGGGAATTAGTGGGGGGAGGTGAGAGGCATTTTGGATGGCCTATGGGTTCTACATGCAAGACACTTGTGCGATTGTTAGTAATCTTTCATCCTGGGATAGATGAGAGGGGAGAGGTATGGGGGGTAGGTGCAAGGGCGGATGGCCTATGGGATGTATGGGATCTATGTGATTGTAAATCATTTCTTACGAGACGGGTTGGTGAGGGGGGGGGTTGGTGAGAAGGGGGTAGATGAGAGGGGGGCAGATGAGAGGGCTGTAGGTGAGAGGAGGGTACTGATATGTACCCAGTTCTTTCTGTACGTTATGAGCCCTCGTTGTTTTGACAGCTTCTCCCATTTGTTGTTAAAACCGTTTGACCTTAAACCAGCAAATTCTGTGCATTCACCATCGACATTACCGCACTATTACTTTCAGGTCCCAAACGCCCTGGGTTCAATTCTTGGCGTCATCCAACTTTGCATCTACTATGCGATCAGGTAATGAATGGTTGTGCGAGTTGGATTTCCAATTTAGAGTTCGCTCACTTTGTGGTTTCATTTCATTGCATGCGTGTATCCTCCTCCGAACCTCATCTGAACCTCCTCCACATTGCAGCCGGGAGGGAAGGAAGAAGCCGGCAGAAGTTGAGATGGACGGCGAAAACATTCCATTGCAAGAAGTGAACGATCCAGCATTTTGAAACTGTTTGTGGTTGGAATGTCAGTTTGTTGTATTGTTAAGTGTTTTTATATCAGCGCTTTTAAGCGCTGCCATCTGCCAATAGGTACACTTTCCATAGTACAATATTGCTAGAGATCTCAAATCACTTGAAACAAGTGTGACATAACAATCTGTACAAACAATAATGTCTAGCTTGTGAAGCTGACTTAGGTGCCCCCTTATTTGTATATTTATATCGAAGAAAGCTATCCTCCCAGCTACCAGTGACGTGGAACGCATGTCATCCTCGTCACATTATCGCCGAAGCGAATCAGGATGTCGCCACATGTTTTAGCGATAGGCCTTTTTGGCAGATGTGCCTGACCCGCCCTCGGTTGTTGCAACAGCATCCCTCCATGCCGATACGTCTGGCACGACAGCTAGGCTCGGGGACAACTTGCGGTACATCTCGCAGGTGTGCTTGCCAAAGCTCTAACCCGAAGTAACGCGCAGAGGCTCGGGAACTCCCCGAACCATCTCAACAACCGTGACAGCTTCCACTCGCATCAGTATATAACCAAGCCTAGGTAATTGCTTCCTCTCTTTCGTCTCCATCTTTTTTCTGGACTCCCTTGGTTTGGTTCAGCTTCTTACCTCTCGTGATCATACCTATAGAAACCCTAATTCCGCGACTTGTTTTGGCGTGGCTGACAGCTGACATTTCTTCTCTATGCGTCTAGTTTCAAGCCTCATATGCTGGTGATAACTGCTCGTTTTCGCCGAGCATACGAATCAGTTCGGATATGGGAGAATGACCGTCAATTTTGAGTCAAGTTGTGTTAGAGTAGGATTTAGATCAGAACTGAAGACTCTAGATTATGCGATGTTCTCCGTCGCGGAGTTGCATGCCGTTAACGGGACATCCCGAAGGATTCGTGAAGATGCTGAGTTATGACAGAGTTGTAAGCCTGCGCAACACTACACTTCATCCTCTGTCACCAATCTGCCTGCATACTGACCGGCCCAGCCCGTTCGGTCTAACGAGCCAATTCTTGTTGTCGTTCCCGACAACCTGCAATAAATCTCATAAACGACCGTCAGAATAATCACTATCAGCTCACTAACCTCCTAACCATCACTTATCCGTCACCATCTCTCAAAATGGACTCGAGAAAGACGAGTTCGAGACTGCCGTCCCTCCGCGCCGTGGAGGAGGTGCTGCCGATGTACGCGCCGCGAATGCAGCTGGGGGCGGGCTCATTCGGACGGGTGTTTCTGATGGAGCACCGGCAGACGGGCGGAAAAGTAGCCGTTAAGACGCTGAAGAAGGAACGGATAGTGGAGCTGGGGATGCAGGACAAGGTCCGGCGGGAGATCAGCATTCTGCTCCGCGTGCGTCATCCCAACGTCATCCGTCTCTACAACGTCGTCGAAACGCCCAAGTAAGCTCGCCGTGCCGGCGGCCAACCCTGCCGGCCGCCTATTCTCAATCTCCCAACACCACGTCTCAGCCGCGCGTCCTGTCACCCCTACCCCGTGTCCCCGCACCTCCCTTTCCCCACGTCCCCGTTTTTGAGTCGTCTGCTAACCGCCCGTGCCCCTTCACCAGGTACATCCTCCTGCTGATGGAATACGCCGAAAACGGCGAGCTGTTCGACTACATCACGCAGCGCGGGCGCTTAACTGAGGGCGAGGCGCGGCGAATCTTCCAGCAGATCGTGGCGGGAGTGGAGTACTGCCACCGCCGCATGGTGGTTCACCGGGACCTCAAACCCGAGAACATCCTGCTCGACGCCTCGTGGACCGTCAAGATCGCCGACTTCGGCCTCGGGAACCTCATGACCGAGGGGCATTTCCTGCGGACGAGTTGTGGCTCGCCGAATTACGCTGCGCCTGAGGTGGGTCTCACTCACCTGCCTGCCTTACTGCTGCCACCAGGCTTTGGGAACCTCACCGAAGGGCATTTCCGGAGAGCGAGCCGTGGGTCTGTGAATTACACTGCGCACGAGGTGGGTCTTCCTGTCGTAGCAGCTTCTATCTGGTGGGAAGGGCAGATGGCGTGAGAGACGTTCCTCCTTGGTGCTCCTTTTCCGGAGGGAAATGTCGGGGTCGTCTTTTTTAGTCGGACCTGAGAAGCGGCTGGCGCTTGCCAAGCGCTTGAATGTTCTGCTGCATATCCTGCCGTCAGTTTTGCCGGTAATGAAGGGCGGATTGGAGGATGGGGAGGATGGGGAGGACGGGGAGAGGAGACGTGGCAAAGGGTGGAATGAGACACGAATCAAGGCGTGTTTTGCAAGAGAAAACAGTAATTCATATGTATTACTAAAATATGCGGGTTATTAAAGAAAGTGTTGACGCAGTTCACGGGCATCAGAGGAGGAATGAGCTCACGCAATTGAGAGTTCCCCTTCCTCTCAGACTTGATGGTTGCTTTCTCCCCTCCTTACCCTCGCCTCTTCCCCCCCCTTCCCCCCCTCTCCTTCCTTCCTCCCCTCCGTCTTCCTTCCCCTCTCCCCTCCTTTCTCCTCGTCTCTATTCTTCCCGTCTCTTCCCTCTTACCCTTTTATCACCCTTCTCTCTCTCCGCGCAGGTTATCAGCGGTCGTTTCTATTGCGGGCCAGAAGTCGACGTGTGGGGCTGCGGCGTCGTGCTCTACACGCTCCTCTGCGGCCGTCTGCCCTTCGACGAGAAATCCCACGTGGCTCTCTACCAGAAGATCAAAGCCGGCGCCTATTCCCGCCCCACGCACGTCACCCCCGCCGTGCAAGACCTCCTCGCGCGTCTCCTGGTCGTCGATCCGACCATGCGCGCCACGATCCCCGAGATCCGACGGCATCCGTGGTTCCTGCCGTGGTTCCTGCCGTCCGATCTCATCCGCCTGCAGGAGGACACGGCTGCCGGCCGGCCGGCGGCGCCGCTACAGCTGAACGCGACGGCGATTTCGAATCTGCAGGCGGTGAGGGTGACGGGGGAGGGGCGCGCGGTACTGGCGGGGAACTGGGTGCAGGAGGCGTTCGCGGCTAGGTTCGCTGGTGCGGGCGCGGGGGGGGAAAGTGGCGGTGAGGGGAAGCAGGGGAGGGGTGTGGGGGACGGGGGAGGGGGAGCGGCAGGAGGAAAAGGGGGGGCGCAAGGGCAGCATGGGCATGGGCATGGGCAGGGGCACGGGCAGGGGCAGCAGAAGGCGCTATGGACGGAAGACGGGCAGCTATTACAGCGGATATGGGGCAGAGCGAATTGGACCCCTGCCGTGCCTCTCTTTCAGGCCTCCAATACTAGCACCGTCGCTGCTGCTGCCGCGCCCCTTGCCGCTGCCTCCACTGCCGCCGCCAGCGCCGCCGCCGCCGCTGCTGCCGCCGCCGCCGCTGCTGCCGCCGCCACTGCTGCTCCGGGCACTGGGGGAGCCACAGCAGCAGCCGCCGCCGTAGCAGGAGCAGCTGCAGCAGCGGCCGCAGCAGCGAATACAGCCAACGCTGCAGCGGCATCTGCAGGGCACGCAGCGAACGTGATTGCAGCAGCAGCAGCGGCGAACCCCCCCATGCCAGCCCCGACCGCAGGAGCAACCAAGTGGTGGGACGCGGCCATGCGGGTGTGCATCTCCCTCCACCGCTCCGGCGCGAAATGGAAGCGGAAACCCCCTTCCAGTGCCTCCACAACCTCCTCCTCCGCCTCCTCCGGTCCCTACGTGCTCCTCTGCTACGCGCCCTACCCGCCTGTAGCCACCGCGCTGCGGTACCAGGGTTGTCTAGAGGCGGCTGTAGCGGCTGTAGCGGAGGAAGCGGAGCTGCAGAGGCGGCGGCAGCAGCAGCAGTACAGGTGGCGCGCTGCGATTAGCGAGCGCGTGGAGAAGCGCCAGCGTGGCGGGGTAGCCGCCCTGCTGTCGCTCTCCCCGCCTAGACCTCTCACAGGGTCGCTCTCGTCCCCTGTGCTTATAGAGCAGGCCATTCCCGCCGCCACCTCGTTTGAAGCACTTGCTGCAGCACAGAAAAAGCTGGCTCAGGGGGGTGGGCCTGCTGCTGCTGCGGCGGCGGCTGTAGCAGCGGCTGTAGCAGCTGCAGCCGCGGCTGGCGCGGGAGTGGGTGGTTTTGCGCGGTTGAGTGCGCTTGGTGGCGGTGGTGGGTATGGGGTGGGTGCAGGGGCGGGGTTTGGGGACGGGAGTGGGGTTGGCGGGGTAACTTCTCCCTCTACCCCCTCTTCCTGTAACGTATCCCTGTCTTTAGCCCTAGGGAGCAGTCGAAGCAGCAGCAATGGCAGCTCTGGTGGTGGCGTTGCTGCTATGGGGACTGGGAATGGGGGAGCGTTTGTGAATGGGCCGAATGGAGTGAGTGAACATCTATTGCACGCACAGCAACTGCAGCTGCACCAGCAGCAGCAACAGCAGTTGCAGCAGCAGCAACAGCAGCACCAGCAGCAGCAGCAGCAGCCACAGGCAGATTTTCCAACAGCAGCAGCTGCTGCAGCAGCAGCAGCAGCAGCAGCACCAGCTGCTGTTACAGCAGCAGCAGCAGCAACAACAGCAGCAGCAGCAGCAGGAGCAGATGCGCGAAAAGCTGCGCCTGTTTAACCAAATCTTAGAAAAATCCGGGCCCATGGGGGCAGCAGCAGCATCAGCAGGACTCCATGACGCTACAGTAGCTGCTGGGTTGAGGGATGTGTCGGTCACAGGGGGGTTGCACGATGGGAGTGGGAATCACGCTGCGGATGGTGAGTTAAGCCTTGCTGTCCGAGGCATGGACGATAGAGAATGCTCTAGTATGGCCGGGACTGGCATGGGGGAAGGAGGAGGAGGCGGGGGAGGGGTGGGAGGGATGGGAGGAGGCAGGGAAGGGGTGAGGGAGATGGGAGGGGGTTTGACGGGAGGAGCAGGAGACGGGGCAGGGACGGGAGCAGGGGCGGTGCTGACAAGTATAGGGCCGGGGAGTGGGGCGGGGCAAGGGGCGGGAGTGAACTCTACGAGTCTCACCAGCCTCACACTGGAAAGCATAGGCGCCTCTGCAGCTGTGGCTGCAGCGGCGGCAGCTGCAGCGGCGGCAGCAGGAGATGGGCTGCGGTTTGAAGTGGTGCTGATGCAGGACGGCAAGGGGGAGAGCTTGTTAGACCTGTGCTTGCTGTCGGGGTCTAGTGCGGCTTTTGCTGATTTCTGCTCAATCTTCTGGCACAACCTGTCGCAGCTGTGACGGGCTGGCATCAGTGAGTTCCATGCAGGATGACAATGGGGAGAGCTTGTTAGACCTGTGCCTGCGGGGTCCAGTGCGGCTTTTGCGGATTTCTGCTCTATCTTCTGGCACAACCTGTCGCAGCTGTGACTGCTATGGGCTGGTGCGTGTGACACTGGGAGCGGAGGGGAGGGCATGCTGCATGCACAGCTATGTCTGTTGACCGTGCTTGCTGGTGCCCAGGTTAGGCGATGCTCCTTGTGATGTCACAAGGCCTGCAGCGTGCAGTTTACTGTACCTGTCATTGGTAGTAACATGCGCAGCCGTGGCTGTCTGCTAGGCCGTGGTTCCTGGTGCTGATTTTAGCCAGCACGAATGAGCCTTGTATCGTAGGGTTAGGTACGGTACTGCTAGGTTTTACTGGTTGCTGCTGCTGTTGCTAACTGGCTGCTCACTGGTGTAGACTGTGCTTCACTTATTGGCACTCAAATTGAGCATTTCCACATGATTGTCAGCCTCTGGTGGCTGAGATTTGTACCACATGAAGCTTGAGAATGCAGAAGGCAGTTGGTGAAGGTTGCTGTGTGGAAGTTCTGAATTTGGTCAAATCCGTCCGGCTGGTTTTTGGGAAAGAGTCGCATACAGTCAGATACCGAATCAATTCAGTTCAGGTCTTTCAGAAGGAACAATCTCTACAGCCATGCAAAGCTCAACCTTCATCTCTTGCTGCTAGGATGCTGATAATCACGCAGACGATAAGTGCACCATGCGGTGATAAGCGGTCATGAACCCGGCTGCATCGGGCAGTGAGTGTCGAGCCTTCCAGTGGATGGACGAGAGCAGACCCGTGTCATTCACCTGTGTGAGGTAAGGGGACAGGCATGGAGTGCGGGCAGGCAGAGAATGAGGGGAAGACAGGGAGTGAGGGGGAGTAAGCAGCACCGGAAATTTTTGAAAGAACATATTGAGAAGAGGAGATGAAAAGGGAGAAGGGCGCACCACAAGTGCACCTGAGATGTGTCTGTGAGCATGCCTGCATAACTAAGTGGTATAATCAAGGCGGCAGTACACCACCCACCTCGAATGTGTAAGTCAAGTCAGGTCATTTCACCACTCTCCCACCCACCTCAAGCCAATACGTGCTGATCTTTGGCAGAACGCCAGCCAAAGATCAGCACTGGAGGGTAATGGTACCCTCTCATGCTGCCACCCACCCACCTCAAAACGTATCTGCAGCATGCCATGCCATGCCTCTCACCTCAAGCGCATATCGGCAGTACGCCAGCCAGAGATCCGCACTGGAGGCACCAAACTGCTGCAAGGCAGAATCAAATAGGCGCTCCACCCGCCCCTCCCTCCCCCGCTCACTCCCCTTCCCACTCTGCTCCGCCTGCCACTCGCGCTCCATGTGAATAGCGGACAGGAAGAGTTGCTCTGAGGCAAATGGGAGAGAGAAGAATCTGTGGTGTGGAAGAGGGAGCAACAGGGGACACGAGAGAGGGAGGGGAGCATTGAGGCGCGACCAGACTCGCCTGCCACTCGCGCTCCATGTGAATGGCGCACAGGAAGAGTGGTTTTGAGGCGAATGGGAGGGAGAAGAACCTGCAAGGGAGGGGAGAGCACCAACAAGGACACGAGAGAGGGAGGGGAGATGCAGCCCATGCTTTGAGGCGCCTGAGCAGGCATGAACGGGCGATCCGAAGCAAATGGCAGACAGGATAAGGATAACCAGTGGGTGCGCAAAAGGGCGAGTGAGGGGCAGAGGGGGGAAGAGAAGAAGGGACCGGAGACTCCTGTGAGAAGCGCTGACCTTGCGTAGAGCTGGCGGGCAGCAGAGATGGCAAAGCGCCTCTTGGCCGTGGCGAGGGCGGCACACTGCACTGCTGCCAGTAGATGCCGCGCATGTGCTGATGGATCCTCACTGCTCGTCACAGCACTTGCAGAACCTTTCTCGGCACCAGCAGCAGCAGCAGCAGCAGCAGCCGCAGAAGGTGATGGGGGTGGCACGGAAGGGGCGGTGGGGGGGGAGGCGATGGTGGCTGCTGCTGTGACGAGCGAGTCCACTGTGCCTTGCAGAGCAGACAGGCTTGGCGCTGCCTCTACTTGCTGCTTTGGGATGCACAGGAGAGAGGGAGAGGAGAGGTGGGAGGGGGGGGTGGGGGGTGGAGTGAGAAAGAAAGGGGTTGTTTAGGAGGCGATGGTGGCTGCTGCTGTGACGAGCGAGTCCACTGTGCCTAGGAGCGCTGCCAGGCTTGGCGCTGCCTCGACTTGCTGCGCAGGCGAGGAGAATAAGAGAGGGGCGAGAAGGAAGGAGGGAGGATATTAATGCACAGAGGAAGCGCCTGAAGGAAGGTTGCCCTTTTGACTCACAGCCCTCATCCGCATCCCCACCCATGCACCCTCCCATGCACCGCCCGCACCTGCATCCAGTAATCCACCAGCTTGGGATGGCTCCAATCCACAATACGCACAGGCCCTGATGACCCCACACCACCAACTCTTGTTGCTGTTCCTCCTCTCCCTCCTCTTCCTCCTGCTCCTGCTCCTGCTCCTGCTCCTGCTCCTGCTGCTGTCACATCAGTCCCCACCTTACCCCCTCCTCTCCCCACTCGCCTCTCTGCTTCCCTTCCAAGTGCCCACACACCTGGCATCACCACCCCGCCACTCGCTCCCAGAACCTTCCTTGCAGCTTCCAGCGCCTCGTCAGCTCGCCCGAATCGCAGCAGCAGTGCCACGTGGCGCTCAACGATTGGCTCGTCCGCACCTAGCCCCCGAGCCTCCGCCAGAGCCATGGCTGCATTGGCTCGGCACACCAGATCGGCCAATGGCAGCCCTTCCCTCTCTCTTTCCCTCTCTCCTTCCCTCTCTCCCTCCGCTTCCTCGCATTCCATTGGCTCCTGTTCCCCCTTTTCCCCATCTCCGTCCTCACCCACTTCTCCTCCCTCGCCCACTTCCCCATACGCCTTCCCTCCAGTGATCAAGCGCATGAGAAAGTCGAGATACGCGCAGCACAGGGACGATACAGTCGACGGCGGCTGCTCCTTCTCCAAAGCGTCTTCAAACACCTGAACAGCGTTCAGACAAGAGGGGCCCGAGAAACAGGAGAGGCAAGTGGAGAGGTGGGACGGATGAAGTTGAGAGGTGGTGCTGAGGTGAAGTTGGAATTCCAGGTGCACAAGGAAATCCAAGACCCTGCTGAGATCAGCTGGAACTGGAGAAAGCAAAACAGGTGAAGCTGGCGACCTCATTTTGTGAAGAACAATGAATGAAACCAGGTGACTTTTGAGTCGACTCAAAAGACATGAAACCACCACCTCAAAGTGATAAGTAAATGCGATGCCTGTCCAAACCCAAGCCATCCTCTCACCTCCATTCGCCCCTCTCGTCTTCACAGCATTTCGTTCCGCCTTTTCCCACCTCGCCCCCTCCTCCCCCCTCCTCGCCCCAACCTCCCCTCCACCCTCTTCCTCCCCCCTCCTCCCCCCTCCTCCCCTCCTCCCCTCCTCCCCCCTCCCCTCCCTTTCCCTTTCCCGTCCGTCCCTTCACGCGCCGTGGCACTGTCAGGGAAGGCCCCAACCATGCCAGAAACAAGAGGTTGCACTAGCAGCCGGCCCCAACCCAGCCCCACCCAGTTCACACCACCCTCTCACCTTCAACGCAGCCTGCTCCACCTCCTCTCCCTTTCCCGCCACTCTCCTTCCCCGCTGCAGGCACCGTCTAGCCAGCACCTCGAGCGCAGTGGCACTCTCAGGGAAGGCGGCCTCCCAACCCAGCCCCACCCAATCCCCTAAACCCTCTCACTCACCTTCAACGCAGCCTGCTCCGCCTCCTCTCCTGTTCCCTCCCCCCTGTGGCCCCGCCGCAAGCACCGTCTAGCCAGCACCTCAAGCGCAGTGGCACTCTCAGGGAAGTCGGTCGCCATGCCGCCACACAGCTCCTCCTCCACCGCATCCAACCCCTTCAACTCCACCACCCGCCTCCGCGCCCGCCCCGCCTTCCCCCCTGCTCCCTCCCCTTGCTCTGCTCCTTGCCCCCCTTCCGTGCTTACTGCCTTAGCGCTTCCCTCACCCTCCTCCTCCTCTCCTTCTGCCCTCTCCCCTTGTCTGTTATGCTGCCCTTCTTTCCCTTCCTGCTCTCTCTCACCTTCCTCCCCTTCCTCCTCTTGCGCTGCCTCCTCCTCTTCTGCTTCCTCTGCCTCTGCTTGTCCGCCGCCCAATCGCAGAGCTTCCAGCAGGGCCACGCGCAGCAGAAGATCTTTGGGATTTGATTTAATTGCGGTGCGGCACACCACTGTCGCCACCTGCACTGCCAGCTCATCACTCGAAACCGGTTTGCTGCTCCCTTCCTTCCCACTGCTGCCATCACCTTTACCATCCCCCTTCCCGTCACCCATCCCAACGTCCTCTCCCTCCTCCCCCTCCTCTCCCTCCTTCCCTTGCTCCTCCCCTTCGCCCTCCCCACCTCCCACTCCCTCCCCCCCTTCCCCCTCTTTCCCTCCTCCGCCTTCCCCCTTCTCCCCCCCACCCTCCTCCGTCTCTATCCCCAGTAGAAGCTGTCTCGCTTTAAGCTTCCGTGCATGAACAAGCTCCATGCGCAAGTACTCGCTCCACAGCAGCCGAGATGCCTCCAAAACCCGGGCAGGCACGATTGAAATGTTCCCAGCCTCAGAAATCGTCACACCTGCCCGCTCCACACCCGCCCCTCCGCCCGCCCATCCGCCCGCCCCTCCCTTTGGCCCTCCCCCAGCAGCCCCTGCGCCCCCCGCGCTTCCCCCTTCTCCCCCCGCGTCCTTCCCCCCGTCTCCCCCCGGCTTCCCCCCGTCTCTCCCCCCAGCGGAGAGCTGAGGGCAGCACATGCGCAGCCCCCGCTGCAGCAGCGTGCGCGCAGCAGGCGCGTTCATGCGGTGGGTGAACTCGTAGGATGCGGCGTACAGCCAGAGGGAGGGCTCTGTGGGGTGCAGCTGCAGTGCACGTGCCATGGTCTGATGGGGTATGAGAGGGATGGGGAAAGGCAGCAGGCGCGTTCATGCGGTGCGTGAACTCGTAGGATGCAGCGTACAGCCAGAGAGAGGGCTCTGTGGGGAGGAGCTGCAATGCTCGTGCCATTGTCTGTCAGGGGATGGGGAGGAGGGACGGGAAAAGGGGCAGGGAGGAGAGGGGACACCGGGGAGAGGCAGCAGGCGCGTCCATGCGGTGCGTGAACTCGTAGGATGCAGCGTACAGCCAGAGGGAGGGCTCTGTGGGATGCAGTTGCAGCGCTCGCGCCATGGTCTGATGGGGGGAGAGTGCGCAAGGGAGACATCAGCCGGCTTGTCCATGCGGTGGGTGAACTCGTAGGCTGCCCCGTACAGCCAGTGTGAGAGGGGTGCTTAAACCTCTCTAAAACCCTCTTATCCCCCTCTCAGCCCCTGTACTTCCTGCATCTGCTGCCTCGGCCTCGAAGCCTTGCGAAAACAAGGTAGCGCATCCTGAGGCCAAGGTCGAAGTTGAACCCATGAGACCTGCTTAAACCCCTCTGAACCGTGCCACACCCTTCCTAAGCCCCTTCAAACCCTGATAAACCCCCTCAACCGATCTGAACCCATGCACACCTTCTGCATCTGCTTTCTCGACCCGGACGCCTTGCAGAAGTCGAGGTAACGCATCCAGAGGTCCAGGTCGCCTTTGAATCGCCGAGTCGCGCGCGAGAAGATGAAGAGCACGCGCTTTATCACCGCCACGTCACTCGCGCGCTCCGCCGCGCGCTGCCGCCGGTACCACTCGCGGCTGCCCTGCTTCCCCTTGCGCCGCAGCACCGCGTCCGCGCGCTGGCGGAAAGCCTGTCCGCGCAAGGGGGGGGGATAGTGCGGGGGGAGGGCGCGGAGGGAATGGGAAATTGGTGGAGATTGCGCGAGATTAAGGGCCTTGAGAAACAAATCGCACTCGCAAGGCATGTTACAAAGGGCTCGCAAGCAGGTTCTTGAATCGGCGCGCAGAGTGACAGGCGGCACCTGGCGGCGATTCGGGTCTCTCCTCCGCAGCTGGCGCAGCGCCTCGAGCTGCATCTCGTACTCTATGTACCGCATATAGTCGTCCTTAATCGCCGCGCTGCCGCGGCGCCTGAGGCGGTACTCGAAGGCGGTGCGGCGGCGCACGATCTCTTTAATCTCCTCGCGCGAAAAGACGCCCTGCTTCTCGAGACTGTCGAGCTCCGGGAGCATGCGCTCCAGCACCGTCTGCACCGTGTCCGCCATCGCGCCGAATGCTGCTGCTAGCGCGCACCTGCTCCTGGGGAACGTACGGAGTGGGTCGGCTTGCTTCTAGGAAAAAAAACTAATAAATATAATAGCGGTCCCAACTGTCATGGTTTCGTGGTGTAGTTGGTTATCACGTCAGTCTAACACACTGAAGGTCTCCGGTTCAAGTCCGGGCGAAGCCATGCTTTTGGTATTTGTTTCGTCTTTTTACCCTGCATTGCGCGTAAATCTCAAGGTGGAATCGTGCTTTTGCCGTTTCACCATCGTTGTTGCTATTTTTCGCCCGCTCGATTGCCGCCGCGACATTTGATCTCGGCCGTCCATGGCTCCAACGGTGTGCGGTATCTGCGGCGGCGATGCGAATCCGGCCAAGCTGCGATCCTGCAACACCTGCGACACCGTCGCACGCCACACGTACGTCATGCGACGCCTGCGCCGACGTCGCACGCGGCCAGAACCGTCCGATCGTTCGAGCATCATCGGCTTGGATCGCCTAGTTTGAGTCCGATTGTATTCAGTGTCACCTCGTCTTAAAGAAATCTCCTCGTATAAGCACATTGCTTTAAGCTCACGCCGCGTGGCTGCAGGTACTGCTTGGGCCGAGTAAATCTGTCCACGTGGCAGTGCAGCAGATGCATCCGATTGGGTGTTCCGCCTCCCGTTGCTGACGCGGACACCCTGATGGCTTACGTGGAACGAGGAGGGAGAGGAGCAGAGAGAGCAGGGGGGGAAGGCGGGCGAGGGGGAGTGGGAAGCGGAGGAGGAGGAGCAGGAGGAGGAGGAGGAGGAGGAGGGCCAGCAGCAGAAGCAGGAGCAATAGCAGGCGCAGAACGGAGGGCAAGGGAAGAAGCTAGATCGGGAACGGGAGGAGCATCAATGGCCGATATTCCTTCAACTTATCACCAAAACGTTACTGTTGTTCTAGATCTGACTGCTGACGATGAAGATGGAGCAGCAGATGTGACGGTTGATTGCAACGCACCACACCCATCAACCACACCAGCTGCGACTAAGGAAACGAACGCAGCAAGTGCAGCAGCGCCACGAGAGGCAGCAAGTGCAGCAGCGGCAGCGGCAGCACGAGAGGCAGCAAAGGCAGCCATGCCGCAGTCTTCTCAGGCGCTGCAAAGCCCAGCTGCATCACTGCCGTTCGATTCCCAGCCCTTCTGGAGGTGAGAGGGAGTGAGCGGGAGTGAGAGGGAGTGAGAGGGAGTGAGAGGGAGTGAGAGGGCCATGGGTGGCGGGGAAGAGGGGGTGTGCTGCTGGGAAGGGGGTAAAAGAGCGGTGCGGGATGGAGGTAGCAGAGGGGTGCTGGGTGGGGGTAGCAGAGGGGTGCGGGGTGGGGGTAGCAGAGGGCATGAGGTGAACTTAAGCGCAGCGCAGGAACACGCCTGTGCTGTGCTGTGCTGTGATGTGCTGTGCTGCGTTTTGTTGCACTGAATGGCGTCCCTGCTGCATCGTTGTGACCACCTCTCCCTGCTGCATCGTTGTGGGACGAGTGCATCACCCCCATCAGAGTGGGGCGAGTGCATCACCCCCATCAGAGTGGGGCGAGTCTGTTTTCATCCCCTTTCCCTGTTTTCATTCTCTCTCCCTGTTTTCATTCTCTCTCCCTGTTTTCATCCCCTCTCCCTGTTTTCATCCCCTCTCCCTGTTTTCATTCTCTCTCCCTTTTTTCATCCTCTCTCCCCTCTCCCCTCCCTCACAGCGGGCCTCTATTCATCAGAACCATCGACTTCTCTCTCCTCCCTCTCGGCACCGTCACCGCTCATCTCTCCCTCACCGCCGTCACCCAGGTCCCCCTCGCGGCCGCCTCCCTCACTCACCTCGCCGCCAACACCACCATACCTAGTACCATACCTACCACCACACCTAATACAACACCTACTGCCGCACCTACCGCCACACCTCCTACCGCGGCATCTACCGCTGCTGGGGATCCCACGTGCCCCACCGCCCCTGTGAACGCGCTGATACTACAGGAGAGCCGTCGCAGTGACCCCGGCGCATGGCCTGGTGTGTTCACAAACGCGCTGCACTCCCCCTCGGGCATCTCCTTCCCCCATGCCGCCTTCTTCCTGCTGGGCCAGGGCGGGGCACGCAGTGGTGCTGAGGGTGGTGCATGTGGGGAAGATGGTTTGGGTGGTCATGGGAGCAGTGGTGGCAACAGTGGGGCGGGAGATGCGTTTGCAGCGTATGTGGGGGTGAGGATGAGAGCACAGGATGTGATGTGCGATGTGGTGCTGCCGGGTGTGGCTCGAGTCAGCATGTACTCCTCTCATCTCATGTCGCCTGCGTGTCAGAGTGAGTACGAGTGTGGCTCCCCTCTCAGTGCCCTTCTTCCCCCTCTCTCATTCTCCACCCATCTCACTCATCTTTTGAGACGGCTCAAAGCTCATCTCATGTCGTCTGCGTGTCAGAGTGAGTGCAAGCCTGGCCTCCCTCTCAGTGCTTCCATTCTCCCTCTCAGTGCTTCCATTCTCCCTCTCAGTACATCCGTTCCTCCTCTCTCAGCGTATACTCCTCTCACCTCATGCCCCCAGCATGTCAGAGTGAGTGCAAGGGCGTGTCCCTTTCTGTGTTTTCTTGTTCCACTGCATCAAAGTTTGGTGTTTGCTTGCTCATTGCTGACCCCCCTTCTGTCCGTCCGTTTCTCCCTCAATCTCTCCACCTCTCCACACTTCGCCCCTCCTGCCGCACCACATCCCACGTCACTGTTTGCTGCAGATGCTCTTGGTCGGCCGTTCCTGTGGGCCGTGTGTCGCAGCCTTACCACCATGCAGCAGCGCCCACAGCAGCCACAGCAGCGGCAGCAACCAGCAGCCACACGCATGATTCCTCCTGGTTTTGAATAAACGACTTCGTTAAGGGCTTTCTGTCGGCAGTCTGCCGCAGCGTAGCCACCATGCAGCGCTCACAACCACCGCAGCAGCAGAATCAGCTGCAGCAGATTCAGCAGCAGTTCAGCAGCAGCAGCAGTAGCGGCAGCAACGGCCAGAAGCATGATTCATCCTGGTTGAGTGGAATTCAAGTGGTGTACACATCTGGTGTTAAGATTTGTGACTTCTGCATTTTCGATACATCTCTTTTTAAGCCTCTTTCGTCGTAGCATTGTAGCAGTCACCCAGCCAATGCCTGCAGTTATTGAACTGATAGGGTTTTTTTTCATTCAACCACTCATTGCACATCATATATACAACTCCAACCACCAACCAACCACATATATTGTAATTCCCAACCAGCACCGGCAGCCACATGGAAAAGCCACCACCAATACTCCACGTCATGAATCATGGAGCTCTAATCAAGTTCAAACTCGCCCCTCACATCCTCCCCTGAAGGCAGCGTCATGTGCCCTTGATACGCCTTCGGATCCGCAACCATACCATTCACCACATCCGTAACAGTCTTATCCACATTCTCCCAGTAACCAGCGGCGGCGTAGCTGTAACACTTGCCGTCGGGGCAATCCCCGTCATTGTCATCATCAGCGTCGTTCTGCTTGAATCCCGGCTGGCCAGTGGTTTCGCGCCACGTGGCGGGGATGGTGAGGGCGACGGTGCGGCCGCGGGTGATGGTGACGTTGGTGGGGGGCGACTGTTGGGGGAGCTGCTTGGCTGTGAGGACGTAAAGCACGTTGAATGTGCCAGCAGTGGTGCTGCTTTGGGGGGAGGAAGGTGGGGGAGCGGGAAGTGGACGGGGGAAGTGAGAGAGCGGTGACTGCTGGGGGAGCTGCTTGGCTGTGAGAACGTAGAGCACATGGGCAGCGCCAGCAGTGGTGCTGCTTGGGGATTGGGGAGGGCTATTGCGAGGAAGGGAGAGTGGAAGGGGGAAGTGAGGGAGAGGTAACTACTGGGGGAGCTGCTTGGCTGTTAAGACGTTGCAAGGAAGAGAGTAGAAGGAAGAGCCAGAGAGAAGGGATATGGGAAGAGGGAAATCAACAAGCCTGTGATTTGCAAGGGACTTGCTTAAAATTCTCGAAGTGTGATCAGTCCGTAAGTTCACAAGCAAGTTACAAAGCGGACAGAAGGAGGAATCAACGATCACTAATCCGATGTGAGATGGCAGACTTTATCATTGTTACCGGTCGGACGGCGTAGCAACGGATTTGATTCTCTTGGATAAGTCATGTTACCGGAAGGTGTAGAGGTGGATTTCCCCTTCTATGTCGTCGTTGTTCTGCCCCTCCAGCTCACCCTCCAGATGGGCTGCCACGTGGCACACAGCCATTGGAGCAATCATTATTGACACGCATCAGAGACACAGGGAAGCAAATTCGAGAACAGGGAGGGAAAGAACCAAGGGAGAGGGAAAAGAGACGAGAGGGGTAAACGTAGAGTCATAGGGGAGAAAGAGCAGATGAAACAAAGTGGTGAATGGAGCGCAAGTGATACTCAAGCTGCAAAGCAGACAGGCAGAGCAGAGAGCAGGCGAGCATGGGAGGCATGGAAGGCCATGGGTGAGTGTCCAGCCACGCACCATAGAGGTCCCCCAGCTCTGCTCCCCCCGGTCCACCCCCCTGCCCCTGCTGTGCCACACGTGGAACCTTCTTCCCAACATTGCGCACCCCCACCCCTGGCCCTCCCGCTCCCCCTCCCCCTGCTGCCGCCCCTCCAGGCCCTCCCCCTGCTGCTGCTCCCCCAGGGCTTCCTCCCCCTGCTGCTCCGCCTCCCCCCCCTAATGTAGGCGTTCCCCCACCTGGCGCTGCTCCCCCTCCTGGTGCTGCTCCGCCCCCCTGAGGTGCTCCGCCCCCCTGAGGTGCTCCCCCCCCCTGAGGAGCTCCGCCCCCCTGAGGTGCTCCGCCCCCCTGAGGTGCTCCGCCCCCCTGAGGTGCTCCGCCCCTCTGAGGTGCTCCGCCCCCCTGAGGTGCTCCGCCCCCCTGAGGTGCTCCGCCCCCCTGAGGGGCCCCACCCCCCTGAGGGGCTACGCCCCCTCCCCCCCCTGGCACAGGCGTTCCCCCCCCTGGTGCTCCGCCCCCTCCCCCTGGGGGCTGCTGGGCGCACGCGGACGCTGGGGTTCACAAAGAGGGCGAGGGGAAATGGAAGTGGGGAAAGAAGGAACATACGGGAAAGGAGAGGCAAAACAGGGTGAAGAGTAACAGTAGGAGGGGAGTGGGTGGCAAGAAAAGTTTACACCGTAAATAGAAACGGAAATATCCCCGAAAGCTCAGAAGTCCAGCAGCCAGCAATCACGTGACTGCACGAGAGTGCAAATAGCAGATTAAACGCGAGTGTGGGAATAGGAGACACACAAGAAGCGCGATCAGACAAGGTGAGGACCGATCACAGTAGCCCAGAAACTCAATCGAATAGCAAGTCAACTATAGCGGGAAAATCTCACCTAAAGCGCAGAACACGACAAGGAGCGTCAAGAAACCCATGGCGCTCTTTTGCGACTTGAAAGTCGAACACAGGCGGGGCGATGAGTCGCCGCAGGCAACAGATATGACAGGCACTGACGAGCGAGAGATTGAGGCCTCAAAGAGTCAGTGAGATACGATCAATCAACGGAATGAATTTATAGTAGCAGGTATCATGTGCGGAAACGCGAGCGGCGCGAGATATCTCGACGGGCTTCCATCGTCGCTCCATAAGCGGAGCCTCTAATGCCGAAAGCCGGAAGCCGGTAGCCGCAAGCAGCAAGTTGAGCGAGAGGATCATGGCTGACGTGGCGAGCGACGATGATAAAAGCATCCGATGGAGAAGACCTCTAGGTCGAAGTCGACTCGACGAGGATCATGGGGCGATTCGAAGCACCTCGAGAAACGGAACCGGTATTCTACCCCGTTAATTACTTCTCCATTGGCCCAACAATGACGCCGCGATGTCACTCCAAATTCTTCTTGAACCGACTCGAAACCTCGAAGGATGTTACGCGCCTCGGGTACATAAGGTGAAGCGCCTCGACACATGCTGCATGCGACATTTCCTCGAGATGCTCCGTGTAATCCGCGGCCTGAAGGCCGTGCCGTTCGATACGAGCCTCGTACTATGAGGTCGCAGAACCTAAAGAAGCCTGGTGCGGAGCGCTTGACTTCCGTTACACCGCGTGGTTGAGATCGAAGGAGGGACGAGACCGTTCAATGGCGTGATTCAGGGGGGATTGCCGCTCAATAGGCTATTCATGGATCCTCCGACGGCGTGATTGGCGCTGCTCTCCTGGCAGCCTCCTGGTGAGGCACAATCGACCATATCCGAGGCAGACGTGACAACGTTTCCCCCACACATTCGCAATCGCATTGGCGATATTGTCCTGCCAATCGGCCGCGGTCTTGACGAAGCTCGAAAGGAATTCCTATCGGCTGCTTTTGCGCAATTGGCGGCCATGAACGAAGACTGACCTTGAAGAACTCGATAGGATCTCCACGGTAATGGCGACGAAATCTGCTCCTCGAATTTTTGGAATCTGGGGCTGACGGCTTACTTGCAACCCGCTATAATCTTCGTGCTGAATTTGGTGGTACGGTGACGAGAAGGTGTATGTTTTACAGAGATTCCTGTTGGTCATACATATTTCCCTCAATTACTCTCTACACCTACAATGCTCAGTGCGAGAAACCCCCTGAACCACCAGTAGGAGATCAGTGATCACGCAAGCTCAAACTTCCCATTCACATCCTCCCCTGATGGCAATGCCACATGAGCCCTGTAAGATTCGGGATCCTCAACCATCCTGTTTACCAGATCAACAAGAGTCGGATTCACATTGGGCCAGTACCCCGCAGCTGCGTAGCTGTAACCAGAGCAATTCATCATGCCATCAGGGCAATTCATCGTGTCATCATCCTCCATCTTGAACCCCGGCTGACCAGTGGTTTTCACGCCACGTGGCAGGGATGAAAAGCACAGTCTCGTTCTGCTTGCTGGTGATGGTAGCGTTGGTGGGAGGTGCTTGCTCCGGGACATGCGTCACATGAATGACATACAGGAGATTGAAAGTGCTGTTGTTCACACTGAGGCGGGAGAAAGAGAGAAAGGGATAGAAAGGCTTGAGGGATTGAGGACTGCAAGCCGGGAGCAGAATCCGAATGGCACGACAGCATGTGGTAACCAAGTTACTCTGCGTCACCGGTTCAGAAGAGGCTGGGTCCATCGTGAAAAGACAGCATCAGGCGGGACACATGCGCAATATGACATGACTCATCAAGGTGCTTTCCGCTGGGACAAATGCACAAAGGAGCTCGTGCTGAAGCTGGCATATGACTGCCACCTGAAGGCAAAGATGTGCATATGCCCTTCGATGTCATCGTTCTCCTGACCTTCCAGCTCAGCTTCCAGATGGGCTGCCACATGGCAAGCATCAATTGGATGGACGCGACAGAGTGACCTGTGTGGGGACCTAATAAAAAGCGTACCGAAGAATAGTATTTTGGGAAAAGGACGATTTGGGACGACAAAAAACTAATGTGGAAAAGGAGGGCAAGAGGTTGAATGATCCAAGACAACCATAGCAAGAGAAGGACGAATCAGCCCACCATAGAGGTCCCCCAACTCTGTCACAGGCCCTCCCCCCTGCCCCTGCTGCGCCACTCGTGGAAAGGGTCCCCCGAACCCCCCTGTTGCTGCTCCGCCTCCCCCTCCCGCTGCAGCTCCCCCGGGTCCTCCCCCCCCTGCCACTCCGCCACCACCCCCTGCTGCCACTGGGCCAGGGCGCGGTAGGTTTTGGGCGCAGGCGGATGCTGAGAGCAGGGAGGGAGTGGGGAAGGAAGGGGGATTCAAGGGGGAGAAAGAGGGAGAAAGGGGGAGAACATCCAAGGAGGTTGAATGGTAGAGAACTCAAACAGGACTGCGCAAGTGTGGCACGGACGGATGATGGGAGAAAGTGGGAGAACAAAGAGTGGTTGGAGAGAGATGGGAAATTGAAGAGACTCGGCTACGGGAATGGGTGGGGAAATGGGTTACCCAAAGCGCAGAACAAGGTGAGTAGTGTCAGCACAGCCATGTTGACGAACACGACAGCAGAAGTAGGAGACACTGAGGAAGATTGGTGCAACAAGGGCAAAAACCGAACGAAGGAGGGCGAGCGCAGGAACAAGGGCGGTATGAGGGGAGAAGTGCGTCCGAACGTCTTCTACTGATTTCGCGGGCTTGCGAGACATCACACCTCGAGGAAGCGAACGCGATGCTTGCAAAGCAAGCTGGCAGCTGGGGACATCACACCCTGAGAATTCTCAGGCAGATTCACTCCCTTCGATCGCATCCCCGCGCGAGCGTATCGGCGTGCATGCCGCGCAGCGTCGACATCACGCCGTGTCACATTACGCCGTGTCACCTGGCACGAGCCTCGCGCTCATCTCAGCACGGGCCAAGTGGGTCTTGACAGAGAGCGCAGCTCATGTCGTGTGGAAGTGATACATTTTCCCATGCAAACACCTCCGAAAGTTCAAGCAGGTGGGGGCGTCGGAAGAATTAACATGCAAATCAGCCGCTGTCGGTCGAAGGCCAGCACGCCACGCGCAATCAGCGGTGAGGGCTATGCAGAATCGGGGACTACAGCTGGATACGTGATTTAGGGCTGACTGAAACTTGAAAAAACGAGCCTAGAATGCACGCATGCGGGATAGCTTTATAAAAAACGACGGGTTGTGTACTCTTGACTTACCCTGAGTTTGCTGATATCGAGACAGCTTGCTGTTGACGTCACAAATAACTCGTGGCAGTTTGAATCATTACTACACCATAGGTCTCGTGTGAAGCTTGGATCGCGTGAAGTGTGGTGAGGTCCCGCCAGTAATGTATGGGTGCCGACCAAGCACCCCTCTTCGTCACCATCAGGGGGTAGAAATGTTTTTGCAGCTCCTTGACAACAAAAATAGGTCTCTCATTGTGAAACACAAAGAATCAATTCAAAATTACAAAGTATATACAATGAGTTCTTTAAATTTTACCTCTTGTAATTGAACTAGAAAGCTCGTGTTCTTTAAAACATTCGCGATGTAGATGCGGAATCTTTTAACTGCAGTAAAGGATTGGCCCGCAATTTGGGTGCCACCCTGCCAGCACATCATTGCACTTTCTGATGTCATGGATTGCTTGCATCAAGTCTGACGTGTGGTACACTCTGGTATCTGTGGTGGAGCGTTGAATGTCTCAATGGACGGTGAAGATGAATCCCCCTTGTCAATTTTGAACCTGGACGCCTACGATTCACCGACAAGAAGGAGGCGCATCTGGCGCATCGTTCTGTTCTGCCACTTTCGTGCAGCTTCGTGCATTTTTATTTCACCAATAGCCATCCAGCTTTTCGATCGACCTCCTCAACTCCCCTCCCTGTGACCCCGCCCGAATATCCGACCACCTTCTCACTCCGGCCAGCTCGCTGTCGGCCACAGCTGGCACTGCTCACCACAAGGAGCCGACGACGTTTTTTGTGTGACCGAGCCTGTGTGTTGACAGGTGGTACAGTTCCCGAGCCTGTGAACAGTCAACGAGACTGAAAAGATGTACAGTGCAGCAGGGACCACGGAGCCACCTGAATATCTCGGGCAGATAGAAGCAGACGCGGGAGATTGCGCAGACTGGGCAGATAGTTGCAGTAGACAGTCAAAACAATTTGGACCAGCCCAACCGATCTCCTTGCCTCTCCCGCACGCGTTGTCCAAGTTGCCCTTAAGCTTCGCCCGAACCAACACCGCCATGCCATACGCACCACCAGCTGCTGACGTTTCTTTCCCCTCCCGGTTTCCTTTCTGTTTGGTCTGCGCCGAACCCGTCTCGGTTGTTCCCTCGATTGTGGCCATTGGCTGCGGGAGCTGAGTTTCTCTGGAATTGTTCAACAAGCACCCTTGCGTTGGGTGCTTCTGGTGTGCGTCGGCTTCACGTTTTGCTTCTAGAGGTGTCCAACGTCGGCGAAATAGAGCCCGCTTCCGCCTTCCCTACTCTAACACCACTAAGCTTCTTCCAGTTATTGTAATAGTGTCGCACAGCTGTTATCCATTCTGAGCACCCTAGCCGGAGAGAATTCAAGATTAACTCACCGTCTGCTGGTTTGAAATCTAGCTATTTGTGTGGAAGCAATGGAACATTGCCGGAGTGATTCCGATAATATTCTACCATTCAGCAGCTCGCGCGAATCTGACATAAGGGAAGTCACAATGCCCGTGGCTGTGCAAACACCAGGAGCTCCGGAATTGGCAAATGCTGACATGGTGACTCCTGACAGCACCCCATCGCCGACTTCTTTCTGCCACAATACCAACATCAGGAGTCGAAGAAGGGCGCTCCGATACTCCCCTTACGTCCTGAAGAGGAGCAACGTTTCTGAACCGGGGATAGTGCGCGAAAATGGAGAAGTTCCGCTTCCGTCGCTTGCGGCTGCGACTACAGGCGAGCCGGCCGAGAGACCTGAAGAACCTGCAACAAGCGCCAGTGATTCCAATGACGTGGGACCCTTAGAGAAGCTGCTCGAACAGTCAGGATCCTTTCGTGGGCTTCAGGTCGATTCAGAATGTGGTCAGGAGCCTGATCTTGGCGTCCCGAGTTTTTTGTTCTCCCCTCTCGTGAAGCATGATGCTGCTACATCAAGTGATCCAGCTACTCCGCTGTTGTCGAGGCCGCATTGTCAACCGTCGCCGGAATCACTCGCTGCGTGCGTCACTCCCGTCTCCCAGCGTCGTGCAATGGACGCCTCTGTTTCGCTTCACTGCCCTGGAGCCCCTCGCAAGGCGTCGCCGGCCTTCCGCGACCGTCATGCGTTGACGCGGCGGTTGGCTCTTGCGTCGCAGCGAATGCAGCAAATGCTTTTTGCCGTTCCAGTCTGACGTACTAATAACTCGGTTTTGCCGATGCGACACGCTGATCTGCGAATATTAAAGTGGACTGACTGGTGGAGATCGCGTAAAACGCCAGGACAAAGCATTTGGGAATACTTTTACCTGACATCAAGGGCTGCGAGATTTACTTTGACTGGCCGGTGTCGACGCCACTGAACACTGATGATTGACATTCTAAGCTTCTGATCTCCTGACCACATGCTGGCTCCACTGATTGTTCCTCCTATCCCTCCATGTCGGTTACCCCTTCTCTCCGTAGTTCTTTTCTTTGTAGGTGTTAGGTGCACTGATCTTATTTTCCAGTGCTGACATGTACAGTTAGGGTGCATTCCGCTGTGGACACATGTCCCAATCGATGTGTCCCAATCGAGTGTACCGCTCCGAACCGAACTAAACCAGAGACGCGAAAATTTCGAAACTAGGGTGCAATTTGGTGTAATACGATGCAGTGCGGTAGAAACGATTGGGACACATCGATTGGGACGCATGTCCACAGCGGAATGGCCCTTAGTCCAAAAAAAAGAATTATTATGGCCGTCCTGGTTGTAAGTGGACTTATATTTTGAAATCTGAGCTGGAAAAAGAAAATCGATATTGTTGTGCTGCTAGTATATTTTTGCTTTCGGTGTTGATGTGAGGTGCATTGAGATTATCTATAATAAAGCAATGATGCGGTCCTATGGTCTAGTGGTTATGACGTCAGACTCTGAATCTGAAAGGCCGAGTTCAATTCTCGGTAGGACCTCGCTCTTTTAGTTAGGCTTCTTGCCGAGTTTCCTGTGATGGCTTTTTGCTCTTGCTTTACTTAGCTCTTCGACAGGAAAAGACGTGCAAAGCAGCTCACTTCCATCTCCATCGGTAGTGCATCCTTACAAGCCTTGCTCTTTGCTACCTCTGGAACTCCCCAAAACCATCCGTCGTTGCTTGGTATTAGCTCTTTTGGTGCATTAGTTGCTCCTTCCCGCGTCCTGTACCACAGGGTTCGTCAACAGCTTCAGTCAGGGGTGATATCGCAGCTCTCCGGCAGTCGCCTGGCGATCCCGCGCTCAGAGGATGCGTTTCCAATGCCGGTTGTGAGCACTACCCTCGCAGCAGCGACAGCGGCAGCAGCAGCAGCAGCCTCTCCACGCAGCAAAGGTTTCCTCTGTCCTGGGTTGAGGAATAATATCGCAGTTGCTGGCGGCAACGTCTATGCTTCTCGCGGCAATGTCAACGCTGTTAGGCTGGGTGGAGCTGCCGGTGGTAGAGGCGTCAGATGCAGCAGAAACCACACCAGCGTGATCCGCGCAGGGAGCGTTGCGTCAGCTGCGTCGTCTTGCCCTCGCATTCGTGCAGCGGCCAAATCCATGCGAACCGCTCCAAAATGCACTGTCGAATCCCGTGTCTCCGCACGTTTGGAGGAACCTACAGCAGCTTTCACGCGTCAGCACTCCCACTCGACCTCGAAAATTTCCCTTCAGCGTGGGTCCGATGGGTCTGTATATGGTTTCGGCCCCTCTTCTTTCCTTCGCGCATCCACAATCAAGCGCGATTCTGCTGATAGAATCTCCTTGGTCCCCGCTGCCCCGACCCCAGGCGAGCATTCCGGTCCAGATGGGTTAATTCTTGCTTCAGAGGCGTGTGAACAGCAGCAGATCGGTTCAGAGGAGGCATTGGCATTGGCGCGGAGTGAGAACGTCTCCTTGAAGGAGGGTTCTGCGCGGCGCAAGCCTGACGCCACCAGCCAATCCGAGGACGAGGATTGGTCGGCGAATCCTCTCACGCAAAACGGCTGTTTCGCCAATTCGCCGCAGCGGGAGGAAGGGGAGAAGCTAGAAGTTGGCAGTACAGAGAAGGCGGAAGAGGAGCACGGGTCAACTGGCGGTCACGATGAGGAGGATGACTGGGTGTGGGACGAGCAGAAGTTCCTTCAAGCCAGAGCAAGAGGGAGGGAGTGCGCGCAGGACCTGCTTGCTGTGATCGAGAGCAGAGAGCTTGAGTTTGGCGGCTGGTCTAGGAGCAGGCAAAGGTGCAGAAGCGGTTTCCGATTTAAGAGCAGGAGGTTTGTACGAGGCAGGGCGAGAGGCGGGCTATGCGGTGGTTTACAAAGCAGCTTAAGTTGCTGTCTAAGCATCAGGAAGAGCTTCAACTGCAGATTGAACAGCAGGCAGAGTGACTCTACTGCATGCTTACCCTTGAGCTGCACGTTGCAGCATGGGAGGCGGCGGGGGACTGGAGGGGTGGAGCTGAGTAGCAGCAAGCCTGTCAGGAGGAGAGCCGCTTTGCTGCGAGGCTTGCTGCCTGTGGTGACGCCTGACAGGAGACGAAGGATGGGTGGGGGAAGTCGGGGCGGCAGTAGCAGCAGGTTTGGAGCGAGATGGATGGATGGTGACTTGTTGGCTGTGCGCAGTGACAGGGATGCAGCCCTGCATCTGGTCAGTGCTCTTGAGACCGCTGCTGTGAGGGGACGAGCAGAGGAGCGAGGAGCAAAGAGGAGAGGAGCAAAGGGGATAGGGGCGCAGGGGATAGAAGCGAATGGCAGAGGAGCAAAGGGGAAAGCGGGAAATAAGAAGTTCAGGCGGCGCAGCAAGTGTTGTGCCACGATTGATCTCAGCCGTCGGATCCTCCTCCAGCCCTCATGCGTCTCGCCGCCCTCACTGCCTCCACCTTCCCTCCTCCTGCCTCGCATTCCCCTCATGCATCTGATTGCTCTCAAGCGTCAGGTGCTGCTGGTTGTGACTCTGCTCGTCAGTCGCAGCTATCAGATTTCAAGGAGGCGTTTCGCAGAGAGGTTCTCGCTCCGCTGCCGCTTGCCGTGAGTCTAACCCTTGCTGTAGCAGCTGACTCAGGAATATCATCAATATAACCCTCGCTTCTAAACCAAGCATTGACTTGTCTCTAGCTACCTTCAATAAAACCCTCGCTCGCAAACTCTTCTGGTTACTTTACTCCTCATCTCGGCAGGATGATCCCGCACTTTGGTAGCCCACCCTTCAGTTACACTTTACGCCCTTTTCTGAGCTGTGACGTTTCGCCATACTCTTTCTGTTTACCTCTTTGCTTTCATCATCGCCAGGTGCCTGACGTGGACGGTTCTGATGCTGCCAGGTGTCAGCTCACCAGCTCACCTGTCTGCTACCGATTCAAAGACAATGTAAGGTCAGTGTGGGAATGTACTTGCTGTGTATGATGATAAGTGAGGAATATCAGCTTGCTTCTTTTGAGAATTGCCGGATCATCAAGGAAGTCAATGTATGGCCAGCGTAAACAGTCCTCAGTGCCCATATAGCTTCCCCCTTGCCTCCTCACTTCTCATCCCTCCCCCCTGCTCTCCTCGTCTCCCCACTCTATGCCTCCCATCCATGCTCCACTCCCATCACCCTTCCACCATCAACAGGAAGTCAATCGCTTCTTTGCTCTCCTCTTCCACGCCATAGCAGCCTTCTCCCCTCAAGCCATCGCTTCCTCCCCTTTCTCCTCTTCTTCCTCCTCCCCTACCTCCTCTCCTTCCTCCTCCTCTTCCTCCTCGCCTCCCTCCTCCCCTCGCACCGCACCGCCAGCCATCCATCTCTCCCGCTTTGACCTCTACCACTGCCACCTCTTTGCCGCCCACTCCTCCGGTCGCCTAGGTGCCCTGTAAGCCACCCGTCCCTACCGCATCTACGCACTTGTGCCTCTTCAGGCATTCTTTCTTTGAAACGCCTTCTAATTCGCCTCAGGAGTTTCAATTTTTGAAACGCCTGGTGGAACATCACCAATAGCACATGCTCATATTCACCTGCACACTCACAACCCTGGCTCTTATCCACACTCAGCATCGCACTTGTTTTCACTGGCCTCATGTGCCACTCCCCCCTTCCTGCTGTCTTGACAGTAGGTTGCACCCCCTCCTTCGCTGAACTTGCGCAGGTTCCATGCCAAGGAGTATCCTGCTTTCTGCACCGACTCCTTCCCCGTCAACCTTGGCTTCTGCCAATCAGGCCAGTGCTTAGGCTCTAAAACCTCAAGCGCCCCCACTCACTCAGTATCCCTGCACGCACCACGATCTCCCCATGTCTTGATTTGATTGTCCATGCAACCATGCCAATGTCTCATCAGACCGGCACATGTCCTTGCATGCATGCATGTCCCCATTGCCTCATGCAGGCTCCCCTGTGCCCTACAATGCTTCCATGAGCTTCCGGAACATTCTTTGGCTCGCTCCATTCCATGCCAGCTGGCGCCGCAACACTGGTAGCTGCAGCAGGCGTGGGGGCAGTTGCAGAAACTGCAGGCGAGCTGGAAGGGGGAGAGCTAACAGGGGCTCAGCAGACATAATTGATGGCGTTTCCATTCTCCAATCTGAGTCTGCTGTGAGATGGTCCATTGGCTCTGACACATACCTGCCAGGTGGGAATCTGGCAACATTGATTGGCATACGCACACTTCCATGCTTGTTGTCGTGTTGTTTGAAACCATTTTCGCAATGTTGTCTTGTCGCGTTGTTTGAAACCATTTCCTCAATGTTGTCTGGTACAATTATGCTTTTCTCTTGCCCTATACTCTAATTCTTCTCTCAGGATCTCTTCACATTCTTGAGACAACTCCAGAGTCCATATTGCATGAAGAGCTGGTCTGTGAAGGGCTCAAGCTTACCCACACTATCTATGAGAGTATCATTATTCTGCAAAGCATGCTGGCCATTGAATTTAATATCTCTTTGGTGAGACTGACTGTTCCCGTGCAGGTGACTTTGGGTTCCCTTTGTTGGATGTGAACTACTTCACTCATGAGAAGGCCTTATTTTGGAAGAATATATTTGCTTGTTGACTATGTAAGAATTTGGAACGGCTTGTTTCCATGTAGCCAAATGATACCGCGAATACGATGTTCATGCTTTTCTTGCTTGGGCCTGATTTGCAGATCTGGGCCAATCACAGGGTTCCGAACACCTCGACTCCACCCCGACCCCGATCCCTGATCTCATCAAACCAGCTCACCCGCTCTCGGCTTTGGATCAATTCCCCAAATTCGCCTGGGGATTTCATTTTCCAGTTCTGTTGCAGACTCTGGTATTTTGGCCTAGTTGGTGAAAACTATCAGCCCTTCTGTCTGCTGGTAGAGTCACTGTTCAAGTTACGGTGTTCCCGCGTGTCGCGTCAGGATGGCGCCATCAAAGATCCTTCTTCTTGGTCTTGGCCTCGCGGCGCTGTTCGCCGTGGCGGCAGCCGATGGCGATTCCGATGTTGTCACTCTGAACAATGACAACTTTGACGATTATGTCGGCAAGGAGGAGGCCGCGTTTGTCAAGTTCTACGCTCCTTGGTAAGATGTCTGAAAATAATAAAACGAAGAATTCTGTATTGTCAGAGCAGGAGAATTTGGTTGCTTTATCTCAACGGCATGTCGTGGTGTTTGCTTCTGAAAGCATGTGGATGTAAATGCGCAATGCTTTGCTTTTGTTCGATGCGGGGTTTGCAAGCTTTTGCTCCATCGTGTACGGACCCTTTTGAATGATTACCTTTCAGGTGCGGTCACTGCAAGAAGCTGGCCCCAGAGTATGAGAACTTCGCCACCGCGTTCAAGAAGACCAAGTCCGTCGTTATCGCCAAGGTAAGATACTTATTGTTAACGGTCGACCTGCTCTTGTTGTTAACGGTCGACCTGCTCCCGTTGAGACTCGTTTTGCTCTGGAGTTGCTTAAAGGAGCCTTTGATTAATTAACGAAATGGATCCACAAAGGCTTGGATGCCTGTGGCAATACATGTTTTTTCAACCACTGGTAGGCAATCGCAACCATTAAGTGAGCTCGTTCTTCTCTTTAACCACCTTTGAGCTTCCAGGTGGACTGCGACGAGCACAAGGATCTGTGCAGCAAGTACAGTGTGAGCGGCTTCCCTACGCTCAAGTGGTTCCCGGCTGGCGAGTCCAAGCCCGAAGAGTAAATCATCGCCGCTATTTATGCTCGTCGTGCCTCCTCGGATGAGTTTTTTTTTTTTTTTTTTTTTTTTTTTTTTTTTTTTTTTGCAATTCTCATTGTTTCCTAACATGGACATCTATTTCGTTCTTTGTTTCCTGTGTTCAGCTATAGTGGCGGACGAGAGGCATCGGATCTGGTTGAGTTTGTCAACGAGAAGCTCGGTGCGTCTGACCTTTCCCGGGCATCTCTTATTCTCTTGGAGTCCGAAGCAATTAATCGTCTTAACTCTCGCGCTAGAATTCGCCTTGGAAGCATATCTGACGTTTTGGTGCTTCTGGTGCAGGGACACACGTGAAGATCGCTGCACCTGTGTCGCATGTGGTTACTCTCGACCCCTCTAACTTCGACAAGGTGGTTCTTGACACCACCAAGCACGCTCTCGTCGAGTTCTACGCACCTTGGTGAGAGTCTCCTTCGGTTTCCACCAGCAATCTTGCTCCGGTTCCGTGCAAAAAATCTCCACATGAAGTTGTTGTGATGCATGCTTTTTAATTCATTCTACCTGTGGTTACTTTTCAATGCTCAAAACACATTGCAATCCTGTTTTGATGTACCGATTCTCCCCCTATTTGCAGGTGCGGCCACTGCAAGTCTCTTGCTCCTGTAAGTCAGCTTTTTGCCCTCTGAACCTTCCACTCGTTCTTTTTCAAAACCTACTCTTCTTCCGACCTTTCGCCTTCCCTCACCTCCTTTGTCTTGGTTTACGTTTCTCTTCTCCATGCGTCCTCGTTAGCACGACTGGTTTTCCCTGCTCGTGTTGCTCCTTAGCTGTTTGGATTGCTTCCGTGCTCATCTTACAGATTCGTGAGCCTTCAACCAAATCACATCCGACGTCTTTGCTCAAAGCGGCGCTTTTTTCATTTGTACCCCTGTTACGCCTTCGCCTGCACGTCGCGTGTGCAGACGTACGACAAGCTGGGCGCGGTGTTCAAGGCGGACAAGAACGTCGTCATCGCCAAGGTGGACGCTGACTCGCACCGCTCCCTGGGCGAGAAGTGAGTGCTCACACTCTGTCTCGCTCTCTCGCTCTTGCTTTCATCCACAATACACGCGTCTACATGCATGCGGGTCCGATCCTAAGCTTCAACCCCGGTACTGTTATTCTGGTAACAGTCGCTCACAAACTCCCTTTCGTGCTCTCTCCCTGGTCTGTTTCTTCCCCCAAATTCCCACCTGCCAATGGTCCGTCCCTCCAGGTACGGCGTGTCTGGCTTCCCGACGATCAAGTGGTTCCCGGCGGGCAACAAGGACGGCGAGGACTACAACGAGGGGAGGGACCTGGCGGACTTCGTCAAGTTTATCAACGAGAAGACCGGCACCAGCAGGACCGTCTCTGGCAGCCTCCTCGAGACGGTGAGCTGACCACCGTGGTGCACAATTGAATGCTTGGTGGAGATCTCATAGGATGCTCATTGACTCTTTTAACCTGGTAATGACTTGCAGAAGTTCTGCGTTGCTTCTGCAGTGTAGTATCCTGCATGTGCGATCGTTCTTCCCCATCAACTCCGTACTCCCACTTTCCGCGCTTGCCCTCCGTTTCCCCCCCTCTGCCAGGCTGGGCGCATCGCAGAGCTGGACGAGATTGCTACTGCCTTTGCTGCGGCGAAGGAGGGAGAGAGGGCGGGTCTTAAGGCTAAGGCTGAGGCAGTGAAGGTGGCTGACGACAAGGCCAAGTAAGTCCTGGGTGGGCATGGATTACAGGGAGTGAGTGGTAGTGCTTACGTTCCTAGTGTTTTTTGTGTGTGAGACAATTGGGAAGGAGAGAGTTTTGGTTTGTTTGTGGATGTAGAGCGATTTGTGGATTGGGGATAGGAACAGTGGGGCAGAGGTGGGCTTGTGGTGGCGTTGGTGAGCTTCCTGGTGCATAGGTACCAAATTCTTCCTTCAATTCCATCTATGCATGTGTATGAAGGACAGTTCAAGCAACCTGTGTGTGGCTGTCTGGTACATTCCATCGCTTATTGGAACCATTGCTCCATGGTTTCGTGTGTTATGATCCGTCCTCCATGGGACCCCAGGCACGCAGCCCTCTACGTCAAGGCCATGAAGAACATTATTGAGAAGGGTGCTGACTATGCTGAGAAGGAGGTGGCTCGCCTCACCCGCGTGCTTGCAGGGGTGAGTTTACTTCAAATCCTTTCAGCTCCCATGCATCATGTTCCTTGCTGTGACCCTCCCTGAGCATGCATTGTCTTGGTTCATTTACTAGCATGTCAGTTAAGTCACCTTCAAAGCTTCATTCAGAACATTTTGATATGGTTCGTTAGTGTTCTGTGTGCCTATTTCAGAGATGAGTGTTTCCTGAACGTGTATTTGTTTTAATGTTCCACTCTCTTCCAACACACGGTACCTGTTGTGTCTGTGCAGTCTCTCAAGCCAGAGAAGGCTGATGACTTCACCATTCGCAAGAACATTCTTTCTGCCTTTGTTCAGGCCAAGTAGACCCGTTTTTAGGAGGAGGGTACTAGAATTGAACACAAAGTTTATTGATTGGAGCTGATGTGGAGTTCAATATCAAAGGCACTTGCGCGGTAGATATGATGAAAAGGTTAAATTTAGCACCTTGAAAGAGAATTAGGGGTTCCCGTTTACAGTTCTTACAGTCAATCCGAAGTGGTTAAGACAAGTTCGGTTGGTGGATAGTGATTCTAGAATTTTCACCATACTGCACCGTGATGTAGCAAAATTAGGTCAGTTTTTTTACAGCTGTCGCAGCTATGTCAGGATGGCCGAGCGGTCTAAGGCGCCAGTTTCAGGTACTGGTCCGAAAGGGCATGGGTTCGAATCCCATTCCTGACATGAGAGCCCCGAGGTTTTGTTGAGAGGCTGAAGCCTTGGCGGTTCGCTCCCCGTCCCAGCCAAACACGGCCTGATGTGGTGCTTTGGGGTGTGATGTTGATATTTGTGGGGCCACAAATATCTCTTGCCTGTTCATGTTCTCATCGGGTGGAATCCCGATCTGTACTGTATGGAACACCCCGCCAACGGTGCTGGCAGCATGCGCAAAGCGCGCACGCACGGTTCAATATATTGGCTAAGAGCGTGTTACACCGAAGCAAAGATTGCTGCATTTGGAGGAACACGTATGCGATCCTTACGGAACAGTGTCATAACTACCCCTCTACAGTAATCACTGTGTCAGGTGATGTACCAACAGAGGAAGGATCGAAATCACGAGAGATCGTGACTACACGATCTTGGTGTTTTCTGGGAGATCGTGGTGACTGCCAATCTCTCGGTGATCCTTGCATCTTTGTACCAAAGGGAGGGTGATCCTTGAAGACGGAAATTTTGTTGTCGCAAACTGCTGTAACAGCATCGCGACTAATCAGAGCATTCTTTTGATGAAGTTCGAACCAATAAGGCTGTTGATTTCGGATCAGTAACGCAGTCAACGTGGTCAACAAAAATATCCGACGATCGCGACTGTCGCGTCGTTTCAGGCGACGTCGCCTGGTCGCAGAGGATCACCATTGCAAATTTGCAGATGGTACACCAACAAGGATCGTGATGTGCCCCAAAACAATGTTGTTTTACTACTCGTAATCCTACGGTTGGGGTGTTGATGATCCTAGCTACGTGATTCTTGAGATTAGGGCAGGTGTAACACGCTCTAATCGTTGTCGCCAAGCGTCGTCAACAAAACGAAAAAGCGGTTACCACTTCTCGAATCGTACCTGCGTGCGACAGAACATTTGGCGATCATTTGGCAGCATTACAGTTGCACGATTTGTAGAAGCTTCCCGAAGCCCAAAGCTGTGCAACTTTTTGCACAGTTGCTCCTTGCGAAACCAGCAGCCATGGCCGCCTCGCGGCGTGGCGCATACGAGCCTACTCGTGTCCACAACACACGGTTGCGACCACTTGAGCTCGCCCTAATAGGTAGGGACTTTCAGCTCCCCTCGCTTTCTCCGTCTCTATCCGAAGATACGCCACGCTGTCAGTTCTCGACCAATCTTACTGCATACACGTATCGATGGCTTCTAGTTCCTTCTATTTCACAAACGCTGGAATAGCAACAGCCAATGAGAGCTGTCGCGCCTTTCGTCCATCAGCTGCTGTACCGTATCTCAGCCTTAGAGATATTTTTCTGACGTAAACCACTTCTTGCAGTCCACCTCACAAATATCAACCAAGCGGGTCAGCGGCACACGCGCTTCTATGTCGTTAACTCACGATTGCGCGATCTCAGGCGATGAAATAGTCCTCCTGATTCATTTGGTAGCCAGCCATTCCCGATTCCTCCTTTCTCTGTCTTGCAAATCTCTCTTATCAGCAGTAAATATCCTGTCCGCCGCAGGTACGCACTAGAAATCACAGCGACTCTCTATGTTAGTTCCGTCTCCTAATTGATTCATTAGCAGCAGAACAGCAGAATACAAGGCCTTTTACTCTCCTCTCCGTAGCCGCCATGGGTTGTGTTCGTACCATGAAGCTTCGAAGACCTTACACCTCTGAACCGTACACGACTCCTCCATCGCCACAACGGGCCTCCCGCCAACCATCTCAAGCCACTTCCACCGAGCCTGATACGTTCGGCATTGAATGGGAGGTTCTCGATAGCGTCGCTCCAGCGTTCTCCAGTCCTGTGTGGATTGTGACGGGAACCGTCGACGCTTACGTCTTCTGCGTGGAGCAAAGAGGCTTCCCTCTTCAGCGCGTGCAAGTTCTGGTGGACAGAAGCGAATGCCAAGAGTTTGAGGGAAACAGCGGTAGTAAAGAAAATCTCGATTGCCGCACAGCATCAGGCGACCCGAGCAGCGGCTCATCGCAGCGGTCGTCAAACAATCGCCTGAATTTCAGCAACATGGCTTCCAATAACAATGACGCCGCGTCGCCGATGCTTACAATCCTGTGTGACTTCCCTGCGACGTCGCATGCTTCTTCTGAGGGGAACGCCTTTCATCAAACGACCGGCAGGCGGTTCAAACTGCCGCCTGACGCAGTCGCAGAGGATACGACGGCCATGCAGACTGCGACAGGATCGTTGGTGGTCGCCGTCCCTCGCTCTCCGTCAATAAACAACGGCTCGTCATCCAATATAGCTCCTTTTGATTCTCCTTCTGGAAATTCCTTTCGGCCTAGATATGGCCAGTGGACCGTACACGTGGCATCAGCAGCGTCATCAGCGCCAGCGTCTTCAGAAATGCCGTACGAGCAACCTGCTGGCTCATTTCAGCATTTCAATCTGGAGTTGCTTCAAGCACTGAGGGTCTGACGACAAGTTAGTATTTTAGTGCTGATGCAAATTGACTGCATGTATTGCTGAAAAGCATCAGCTTGTACAGCTTATCGCCAACCAATGTAAAATACATTCGACGACAACCACGGGCGGCCCGGCATTCCGACACCTGGCAGCATATGCTGCACGTACGCGTCCCAATCGATTGGGACACATCGATTGGGACATAATCTAGGGAAAGTCTATACCAGCTCCTGACTTTCAGTTTTTTCTCATATTTAGCCCTATGTTTACTCAAAAAGCACCACTTTCCATTATTTCTCTCACGCGAGGCCCAAAGTATGTTCAAAACTGGTCCTGCGGGGCGAAGTTTTCGACACGTGTCGTTTTGTTACCAGCTGACGCACTTCCACTCTGAACTAACCGTTTGTCAGGGCAATTTTCGCGCCGGAAAAGTTTTTACGGGACAAAAAAACATAAAACCCCTAAAGGACCATTACACATTTTCGGGAGGGAGCAACCCTAAACACGGGACCTGCTAGGTGTTTAGGGTTGATCCCTCCCGCGAATGTGTCCTGGTTCTCTAGGGGTTTTATGTTTTTTGCCCCCGTCCAAATTTTCCATGCGTGGAAGTTCGTCAGATGGTGTAACAAGAGGACACGTGTCGAAAAAATCGCCCCGCAGGACCACTTTTGAACATACTTTGGGCCTCGCGTGAGAGAAATTCTAGAAAGTGGTGCTTTTTGAGTAAACCTAGGGCTGAATATGAGAGAAATCTGAAAGTCAGGAGCGGGGATATACTTTCCCCATAATCTACAGCGGAATGTACCCTTATACTGAATAATGCAAACAAGTCTTTCTGTAGAAGTTCCTACTCATGATAGAACTGGCTGGGAGTAGTGCACTCACAAAAATCAGACATACTGCATACGAGTACTGTGCACATGCTCTTTCAGATAAACGTGTGACAGGCTAGCTAACTACCTCGAGTCAAAGGTTACGAAACAAATAAATTAATCTACACATGCCAATAAAACAGGTCATCTGGCTTTATGAGGGCAACAGTCTTCCAGTCAAGAAGTCTTCCATACTGTGCAGTTGCTGCTCCTGCCAATGCCATACTGACCAATAAGCCAACGACACATAGCGAGGTAAGCATGTTGGATGGTGCTGACAGACAGTGCCAAGGGCTCCATGTTACTGGATGGTGTTGCTCCGCACGCCCCCTATAAAGATACAAACCACACATACCACACATCAATTACCCAACAAACCACACCGGAAGAGGGGAAAGGGAACACAGAAGGATAAGCCTGAAAAGACTGTTTCTTTCAAGCGGGGAAAACTTGGCCAGCGAAGGCTTGATCAGCGGATGTTTCAGCCGCAAGAAGCAAGGAGCAACCATCAGAGTAACTATGACAAAAGGCCATCACGAGCAGCACAAACGACTGCTTAGGCAACAAAATGATCATCACTTGGCTGCTAAAACCACATGCCGGAATGACAGCGAAACCCGCATACCTCAGTGAGACACACTCAGTATGGGAGACAAGTCACTTGCAAAAAATCACACACCTGTTTATGTCTAGCCAAGTAGGGTACGTTTTGTGAAACAGTGAGCTAATGGGCTGCTACTATCCCTCCGGAATCCGGATAACACCAGTACATTTCAGACCCATGTCCCATCACTTACAGTCACCTTTCAATTCTCCTTTCCAGCCAATGTTCTGCCTGCTTCCGCAGCTATGTATAGCCAGGATGATACCTTCGATCTGAAGGTGCACCTGAAACCCAGGTCTGCTGGCCGCTTCATTCTACCTATCACTAAGCAACCCAACTAAAAGCCTCCTTGTTCATTCCAAGAAACTTAACTAAACGCTCCTATGTCGAAGTTTTTCACCTGCACGATCAAAAACATCTCCTCAACTGCATAACTCAAACTCCACCATTCCCGAAACCTCAGTATCAATCTTCTGACACAATCCAAATCATCTCTTTCAACCACCCAATTTTCCCAACACCCTCACACAATTCACTTTTCCCACCCACCCCACCCTCACCTGAAGCATGAGCAGCACAGGAACCGCAGCCATCACCGCTTGTTCTCCGCGCAGTGCTGCCGCAGAATCTGCAGCAGCGTATTAGCCTCCGAGTTCTCGGCACTCGACTGCGACACACCTTTCCCACCCTCCCCAACCTTCCCACCCTCCCCACCCTTCCCACCCTCCCCTCCCCACGCTTCCCTCCCCACCCTTCCCTCCCCACCCTTCCCTCCCTCCCACCCTCACCTAAAGCTCGGGAAGCACCAAAACCGTCGCCATCACCGCTTGTTCTCCGCGCAGTGCTGCCGCAGGATCTGCAGCAGCGTCTTTGCCTCCGAGTTCTCGGCACTCGTCTGCGACACGCGCACCAGCGACGGCAGCACTCCCTCCGCAAGCAAATCCCCATACGTGACAAACCCCATGGCCGCCAGCTGCAGCAGCACCGACGCCGCATCCTCCTTCACCCGCGCCGACGACCCCTCGTCGAGTAGATCAACGAACATGGTGAGCCCATCGCACTCCACCACTGATTGGCACCCTTCGGGGAACCGGGCGAGGTTCGAGAGCACTGCCGTGGCTTTTTCTTCCAAGCCTGGCGGGGGAGGGTCGGCGGAGTCGCCCGAACCACACATGCCTAGGAGGACCTCCACAGCCCCGGCCTTGAGAATATCCCGAGCGCAGCGCACCTGCGTGGAGAGCGTGAAGAGAGCCAGAGCGGCGTCTTTCTTTGCTCGCACCGTGCCGGTTTTGAGGAGCGAGATGAGCGCAGGGATGGCCCCTGACGCTCGCACCATCAGCTTATGGTCGTCTTCCTTGGAGAGGGCAAACAGGGTGGCGGCAGCGTTGCCTTGCGAGGCCGCTGTTCCGTGATTGAGCATGCCGACTAGCGCTGGTATACCGCCCGCTCGGACTATCTCCCCTGATGCATTCCAGTGGAGGGATAGGTTCATGAGAGCAGCGACTGCGTGCTCTGCTGCTTCTAAGTCGTCTGATTCGATCACTTCCACTAGAGGTTCTATCCCCCCTAGCTGCACCAGCTGCGCTTTGTTTTCCGGGCAGCCCTTGATCGCTGTCCGAATGTCTCGCACGGCTGCCCGCCGGTCCACACCTGACCCGAAATTTAGCGCCTCAACCATCGGGCCCATGTCCCGCCGAACCGGCGCGCCGCCCGGGTCATCATTGCTGCCGCCCGGCATGCTCATCATGCTGCACGTGCTGCGCGCGCTGCTGTTTCTCTGCAGCCGCGGCATGCCGGGAGCGCCGCCCCCGCCACCTCCTGTAGCAGAAGGCCCCTGGGGCGGCTGGGGGGGGAACTGAGGGGGAGGGGTCATGGGGGGGGTAGCGTGACCATACCCCATGTCTACATCTTGCATAGTGGGGTTGGTGGTGGATTTTCTGAAAGCCCTGCCGGCCGATGATGTGCTTTCCACGTCCACGTCGTGCAAGTGGGGCGACGGGTTGGTCGGCGACTTTCGGAACGTTCTGCCGGCCGACATGGCCTCGATATCCGCCTGCCACTGCGGGATGGATGACGTCAGCCGCTCCAATCCCTGCCCCTGCCCCCCGCCATATCCGCCGCCGCCGCCGCCGCCAGCAGCAGCAGCAGCGCCAGCAGCGTTTTTCAGCACGCCTTTCCGAAGCCCCTTAGGCCTGCCCGCGGTGCTTCCGCTGGGCGCCATTCCCGACCCCGCGCCCCGCCACGGCTCCCCCCCGCCCCCGCCCGCCTGCCCGTACTCCCCGCCAAACGCGGCGCCCGAGGTCCTAGGCCGCTCGTCTCCGGGATTCGCGGCGAACTGCCGCCTGCCGCCGCTGGTGCTGCTCGCGCCGCCCATGCTGCTCCCATCAGTAGAGTCCATCCCGAAGTGCCGTCGCCCGCCCGCGCTGCTGCTCCCGCTGCTGTTGCTGCTAATGCTAGGCACCCGCCCATGCCCCACCGACCCCGGGCGCTGAGGCAGCGCGCCTCCTCCGCCTCCGCCTCCCCCCGCCAAAGTTCTCCCCGCTTGCGCAAGGTGTTCCCCGTGCCCGCCGTACTCCTCCTCCCCCCTCCCCCCTCCCCCGCCCGCCACCCTATCCGCGTCCCGCTCGGATTTTTTCACCTTTCTGCCCGTATCCGTCTGGGACCGCATCTTAGTGCCGCTGCGCAGCGACGGCGGCGCCGCGTCGTCCGCGTCGCCCGACGACGGCGCATCGGCGGGCATCCTTAGCCCCGCGCCGCCTCTAACCCCATCCGCTCCTATCTCCGATAGTAGCTTATCCCGCTGCTTCCTTGTCATTTTCATACTCCTACCCTTTAAGAGATCCGACACCTTCCCCGGACCGCCACCCCCGCCGCCTCCGCCGCCGGCGCGGCCTAACTTAAGCGCGGACACTCCGGCGGAAAGTTTCCCCCCTACCTCATCGTCGTCGTCGGCGGGAGATCCGAACCCATCTTCACCGCGCGGAAAGTACGATAAATGCCGCTGCAAACCTCCGCCTGCCTTCTTAGGCTTGGTCCCCTGCGAAGCTATAGAATCCCATACGGCTTTAATATCCGTCGGTCCGTCGCCTGCCTGCCCATCCCCGCCCATCGCCGCCACTTTCTTCGACAGATTCGATGGCAGCGGGCTGACGGACCTCGCCCGAGCCTTACCACCGGCGTCCGAACCACTTCCCGAGCCTGACGCCTTCCGCCCTCTCTCCCCCTTGCTCTCCTCCCCGCCGTCCGCGCTCTTTTTCTTAACCACTTTTTTCTTCCGCACTGCCCCATCCGACAAACGCTCCGGATCGTGGTCGATTGGACCGCCCTCTGATTGAGACTGCGCCAGTAGCGAAGGAGGAGGCGGTGTTTTCGGCCGCAGCTGGCTGGTTTTCGAGGAGCTTTTTACCACGGTTTTTTTCGCTGGGGCAGTGCTGGGTCGGGCAGCTAAAGAGTGGCTGCCCGAACCTTGCGCCATCCAATCAGAGATCATGCTTTTTAGGGCAAAGTTCGGGCAAAAGTTTGTATGGTCAATCCGCACGCCCGACTTGGGGCAGGTTCGCTTACCCTCCGCGAACCACCGTTCGATAGAAGCACGCTCGTACGTCTGGCCTGATGCGATTATAACGGGGTCAGTCATGACGGTTAACGAAAGCGGACACATAAACTCCTCCGGTATTGTCGGGCCGTTTGACTCCGCCTTCTTACCACTGCTGCTGCTACTACCGCCGCTCTCTTTCTTTTTTCTCGTCGGCTTCGCTTCCCGTTCCTTGGACGGTCTTCGCCGCTCCTGCTCCCCTACATGACTATCCTCCTCCCACGCCTGCTCCTCGTGCCGATGCTGACGCCGCTGCTGCCTTTGCTGCCTATCTACGGTGTTTTCCCGCTCCCAATTTGACGCTCGGGGTTCGTCGTTCCATCCGTTGCCGTGGTCGTCGTGATAGTCGTCTTCGGGGTGGTAATGATCCGACGATTGCGACGCTCTCTCCCAGCTGTTACAGGTTGCTGGATCCATGATACGCGATAACAGCTAGGGTTCTGATTTGGAGGGAAAAAAGGAAATAAATTTAACGGGAACACAAACAGAAGGAAGGCTGGTGACATAATCGTATTGTTCAATTCGAATCCATAGACTTGCGCAGGAGACGAAACAGGTCCATGTTGTGCATGTTTTATTGCTTCCGCAAAGTAGCGATCCATAAGGACAGGCGGGATGGAAAGGAAACGAGGTAGGGAAAGTCATGGTGGACCTCCGATTCACATGCAACCATAATGCAAAATACACACGAAAAGGGGAAAGAATGCTGACTAAATGCTATAAGTATATCGACAATCAGCTAAGCTGATGGAGAGATATCAATGACTCCAGACAATGGGGAAAGTGAAACTGGACAAAGCTTACATGCTTACGTCGTTTGATTGAAACTGTCTTCGTGAAGGCTCAATGACCCCCGAATAAGGCTCTGGACCAGCGGAACCTTTCTATCTACTGGTAACTACGAGTATGGCACTAAAACTCTAACAAGATCAGCCTTGGCTTGCTTAGTCAAAACTCTTCGCAGATCGTTGTCTTAGACCCAACAGCTACTTGCTAAGACAATCGCTTTCCACAAAACCAAGCCCTTGGCGACGTCTCCTGCACCACCTAACTACTGGCATTCGCAGTATTACGACCATACTATCGCAATCCTATTTCGCAGCACAACCGCTTCCGGCGGAACATTCTGGACGACAATGAAGGAACCAGCTACGAAGGACGACGATAAGGAGAACGCAAAAGCGTAAGTTTCCCGCCTTGCTGTCAGGAGTTCTTAGGGTTACGAGATAGAGAAGGGTCCGAGAGCTTGCTAATGTGCTAAATGCCGCTAGCTGATGTCATGACAGATCCTTTGGACTGCCGATAAGGGAGGTGCTGCTACTGGGTTGCGGTACTTGAGATTCTAAAAGCGGAGGTTAATGTGACTGTTAGGAGGAGTTGACAAATGTAAGCGTGACAGTTTTAAGCGTCGTGTGGTAACCCGCCTTGCGGAGGGATGCGATGAGTCGGACGGATGAGCGGACGAGATTCGCAGAGATTGGCTGCTGCAGTTCCAGTTGCAGGTTGGTGGTTTGGTGGGGTTGGGCTGGATGTGAAACCTTGGATGCTTGGGGGAATGCGGGCAGAGTAGAATGGGCAGATGGGAAGCGTTTAATTGGTCCTAAGGAAGATCGCGAGCAGGGATGGTGAGTGTAGGGAAAATATTTGGTGGCTGGGAGTAAGTCGGGCAGAAGTTTAGGAAAGTGGCGGGAGAGCAAACGGACAGATGAATGATTGGACCTTTGGGAGGTTGGTGGAGGCGACTGCGGAAAGCACAACCCATTCCACCACAAAATCGAGTGTACTGCGTGTGCTTGTTCCAAGACTAAACTCTTCCGGTTCATTCTAATAATTATCTTATCTTGCACATAGAAATGAGCACCATGAATCATCAACCAGCTGCAATGCATAGAGACCCTCCACCCATGCATGAACTTTCTATAATTATTAAGGAGAGAGCATGCCGGAAAAATGGTGCAATGCTGGTCCTTCAATCAGAGTTGTTTCCTTCCAATAAATATCAAATTCGTTTGGTGTCACGATCAATAGCTGGCCAATGTCTGGCTGACATTGACACGGCCAGGTGACGCATTCTTGTTGAACTTGGACCACTTGAAGTCCTCGTACTTCTTCCCCACCCCAATCAGCCCAAGCGCGCCCTCAGCAGGCGAGTTATCCGTCTCCTTCACTCCAATATCCGTCGACCTAAAGCCCTTTGCCGGCCCATCCACAGCCACCAGCTCACCGTCATATGACAGGAATTGGATCACAGTGGTGGGGCCATTTGCCAGCTGGGAAACAAGTGCCATGCCATCATCTGGGCCGTTCTGCAGGCCCCCTTGAGCGTACGTGTTGCCATACACCACGAAGCCGTTCACGTTGGTGGGGGGGAGGTTGAACTTGGAGAGAGGAAGCTTGCCGTAGGTCTTCCCATTGGCTCCATTGTAAAGGTATATGGTGAGGGTGGAGGGATCCACGCCTGGACTCACAACTACCTCAATGAACTGCATTGGAGGAGACAGGGAAATTGAAGGCGAGGATGCAGTGAGAAAATGAGGAACATGGTAATGGCTTAGGCTAAAATGTGCTCGTTTCCCGGGCTTCGTGGGGATGTGGCTTTGAAGACAGCTATGGTTCGGGGGGGCAAGCAGGGTGGTTAGGAGTAAGGGGGACTTCAGGTGGAAAGAGCAAGGAAAGGAAGAGCTTAGCACTAAGCAAAGAGAAATTGGAAGGCAAGATTTGAGTGAATGAGCTGGATGAGACGGAGTCAGGGAAACAGCGTGGTCAAGACAAGTGCTGCGACGAGGGCTAGGAGCATGAACCAGGAGCTGCCTGCAAGAAATTTAGCTATTCCTCATCACTTCAATCCCCTACTCCCTAATCACCTTTTCTATACCATACCCTCGCCCTCCCAACCAATTCCCAACCGGATCTTCCTCCCTCCTCACTCCACCACCCACCTCGTTCTTATCCGGCCCTTCATTGCTGTAGTGAATCTCATTAAACCATGCCTTCGCCTGCAAACCAGGCACACGGGTTGCAGCAACCCCGCTTGCTCCCCCTGCTGCCGCTCCCGAGGCTCCCCCCACAGGCGCTCCCACAGGCGGCGCCGCTCCTGGCAAGCTGAACCCGCTCCCCGAGCCTGCCCCCGAGCCTACAGCCGGTGCCGAGGCTGGCCCGGCGGTCCAAATGAGGGAGACGAACTCAGGGTGGTCGACGAAGGGGTTGCGGTTGTGCTGGTAGAGCGAGCACACACGGGCGTTGCGCGTGGCCTCCTGTGATGAGGGCGGGTCGAGGGCGTGCCATTTAAGGAGAGGAGTGAGCAGCCCCATCTGGCCTTCAGCTGGCGGGGGTTGGATGTCAAGAGGGAGGGAGGGATAAAGGAGAAGGGAGAGGACAGGGTAGAATGCGTGTCATGTAAGTAGAGAGGTGAGCAGCCCAATCCAGCCTTCGGCAGGAAGGAATTGGGTGCATATGGGGGAGGGGTAGATGGGGGGAGTGCGGGATAGAGGGAGGGTAAAGCAAGCCGGTGAAAGTGGTGGATAAAGCAACGAGCGAGAAACGAGGGGTTTCTAACAGGTGAGGACGGGATGAAGTGGGTGGGCGCGGGGAAGGGAAAGAGGGATGCAAGTCGAGCAAGACAAACAGCAAGGGAAGAACACCATAGCATGCCATCGATAGATCAGAGTTGCGTGGGCTGAGATGGCATACCGAGTTTGGGGTTGTCCGAGAGCTCGAGGTCCAGCTCGCCTGGCACAGAGCCGTCGTATCTCACAGCCATGTAGAGCAGCGCACGTGCTATGTCGCCCCGCACCTGGTGGAGGGAAACACAGGCATATTGGAGTCACAAGTTATTTCACCGCCATGTAGAGCAGGGCGCGTGCTATGTCTCTCCGCACCTGGTGGAGGGAAACACAGGCACAATGGTACATAAGATGGCATCGACCTCTCCTGGCACAGAGCCGTCGTATCTCACAGCCATGTAGAGCAGGGCACGTGCTATGTCTCCCCGCACCTGGTTTAGAGACGCACAGGCACAAGGAACAACTCGAGGTGGTCAGTGGAGAGATTGGAAGAATCATTGTGAAACAACGGAGGCAGTGAAGCACGGAGCAAAGCAAGAAAGCAAGATGGAAGCAAGAACAGACGACAGTAGGCAAGGAAGAAAGGCAAAGGAAGGAGGTGAGGACACAAGAAAGCAAGCACACACCTCAGTGGGGGGAGTCCAGACGTCCTTGTTGGTGGCGGTATCAGCTGCTGCCTCCCTGTTGGCCGGCACCATACAGGTTCCATCAGTGGACGTGCATTCGCCGTACCACTTGTTGCCTCGGGCGGAGTTGACTGTATGTGACATGACAACAATGAGGGGAAATGTCGTAACAAGGCTGAGTTTACGTGACAGTGGAGAAGGTGTGAGAGATAGTCAGCACAGCCCCTTTCCATATCCAGCAAAAATGTTAACATCATCTCGCTGTTCCAAATTCGCCACCAGTCCAGCCCAGCACGTCATCAAGCGTACCATTGACATCAGCAGGTCTCAGAATGTGAAGGTCGGAGAACTCAGGGCGGCCCTGAGTGAGGCCATAGGAGCGCGGCCACAGATGCTCCCCTGGGTGATGGGTGGAGGGAGACAGCAATTTCAGGGCAATAAGTACAATCACTGCAGTATCTACAAATTCCACCACTCATTGCAATCAGTGCTGCCATGAACTGAGAGCAATCGTTGCTATCAGTTGCAACTCACTGTTCCAGCCTTCAGGCGTGGCCTGTGTGTCCTTGGGCACTGCTCTACGCGTGTAGATCTCCACACTGGCCATGGAAACACAGGGAGACCCAGGAATGAGGAGCAGGGGTGAAAGAAGGGACGAGTAAAGTAAGGACGAGCAGGCTTGATTGTGCAAATTGAGAAGTAGTGTTGATTACTTGCTGATAACCACTCACACGTCACGGGATTTAGCAGGATCTGATTGGTCCGCTGCATCAAGAATCTTCAGAGCATCCCACGCCTGCCATCAATATATGAGGGGGAGAGGCTATGACATCAGTGGGAGACTTGCACAGCACTGACTGATTGGTAGCCATCCTGGTAAGAGCACTGAGTACTCCGCCCGAGGGAGTACTTGCACCAACTCAGCCACATGGAAAGAAACGAGTCGGCCATCCTGTTCCAGCGAACAATTAGAACTGTGCAGCGTCCAAGCACTACTGAAGGAATTGAACATTGTTACATACCTCGGTATAGGTGTACACTTTGTGACCCTTTATAATGTCGTGCAGCTTCGCCTTTAGCGCCTCCCCCTTCAGCCCCTGCGTCCCAGCATAGTACTGCTCCACGTCCTCGCACGGGAACTTCGTGGAAGCTGCTTCGGCTGACCATGGTGCGAAGCAGGCGGCGGCTGTGGGCGTGAGAGTGATGAGGGTTGCTAGCAGTGCTGCTGTCGCCTTGGATGCAGCTGGGAAGGAAGATAGAAAGGAAGGGTTTTGTGGGTGTGGGGAGCGAAGGAGAGCGATGAGGCAGGGCTACAGATAGCTTGCATTGATCCGATTAAGTTTGTCGCACCTCGCTGGCCAGTCGTCAAAGATTGCTGCAGATTCTCCAGCCGTCCGTTGGCATGACCCGCTCGTTCACTTCCCGTCGCCTCCGAGCGAGACGACGCGGATGTGAAGGGCTGGGAGCGGCAAAGAATCGGACCTGCTTGCCTGGTCCTCCGGGAAGCACCCGCGGCCGCTGGGACTGCGACTGTCACTGAGCGTAAGGACGAGGAGGAAGTTCTGCTGGACAACTGTCGCTGGAGGAAATGTGTCTGAGGACGACCTCCCTGTGGGATGGAGTGAAAGACGGAGATGTGGAGGGTTAGTGAAACGAGGGGGCTTCGCGGTAGGCACGGGGCACGAAATGCGAGAATACAGAGACTGAAAGTTTGCTATGGCGGGAAGCACGGGTTACATTGGAACTCACAGCGGTTATTCCGCGAGAGCTCATCAACGAGCAGTCAGACGCGAGCGTTGCCATTGCGAATCAGCAAATGCGACAATCCGGAAGCAGCACTGCGCGAATGCCGCTTGAAATCAGCGTGTGGGACAACAGCAAGGGAGAACTCAGCTGCCTACTTCAAATCAAAGAATTCTGTCGAGCAGCAATGAAATGAATGTGTTGTTCATCAAGAAAAATGTGAATTTGCTGGATGAACTTGCTGAAATGAGCTGGCTGCGCTGGATGTTGGAATTCTCGAGAACGTGACACGTCACGTATCCCGGTTTGGAAACCTTACCTGCACCACAGCTCGGCTCGGCAAAACTGGCAGAATCAGGCTTTTCCCTCGGGAATTGCCGAGGGTCACATCTTTAAGTGTGAACTTGACATACTGTGATTGGTTGTATGCCCTGGCCACCTTCTCTTATTGGCCATCTCGCCGTGATAGTGAATGTGGCCTTTCATCCTAGTATCTGTGAAACAAGCCTGGGTTATCCTGTACAAGCCTGGCGGACCTATGCTCGTTTTGCAGGCCAGTCTGGGGGGCCCACCAAACCGCAGGCTCGGAAATATCCTTCTGCTTCAGAAGTGGTACACCTAGCAGCCAAGGGACACATCCTCCATGACCGCCAGACAGGTTAGGGCGTGTGAGATCCCCGTGCATCACAATTCGGCCATCAAAATTTGGTGGCCGATGCGAAAGTAGCCCTAAGCAACGTACTGCAACGCGCTGAACCGCCTTGCAAGCGTTTCAAACACCATCGCGTTTCGCAACGGCCACCTAATTTTGATGGCCGAATGGTGATGCACGGGGATCTTACACGCCCTTATAGAGCAGCAAAATCGCAGTCTCCTGTCGGTTTTTCTCCGTGAGGAATCGTCAGATAGAGCGTCATCGTTACGTTACGTCCCACTGCTGTTTCAAAATGTCAACAGGCATTTCTCTAGGGACGTCCCGTCAGGTTCCCTTGCAAGGTTTCGCGTGTCGCCATCCGGCGTCAGCAGCGTCCGTCTCCTGCCGTGCTGCGTCGAAATCACTGTCCCTTACATCGGCACCTCTTGCCCTTGGCTCGTTCGCAAGAACGGGAGGGGGCATTGGGTATAGAGAAAGATGTCAGGAAGGAGTATTAAACGGTCGGATTTTAAGAAGCGGCATATGGAGCATTCGCTGCCTTGCGGAGACCAACTTGGAGCAAGAAGAGCCGTCTGATGTGAACACATGCACCGCCAGATCTTGCGAATCTACTGGACTATCAAAGAGGCGAGCCTTCCTCGCAGGTGCAGCAGCATTGGCAGCAGTCCCTGTTGCTACTGAGCCGTGGGGGATTAGAAGCTTCACGGAGTCTGGAGCTGCACATGCAGCGGTTCTGCCAGGTCGAGTGGGCCAAGGGCCTCTGTTGGCTGCTGTGAGCGACGATGACGAGGACACCATTGTGTCTCTGTTTGAGGTGAGCTTCGTCACTTCTAAAGCCGTTCTGGGACTCCTAGTACCACAGCCCTGTGCTATGGTGTTTCCACATACTTTTCCTTTCCGTTGCGGTGAAGCGTGATCATCTCTCTGTCTAGCGAATATAAGCGTGGTCGGTTTCATTTTTGAATGTGTCATGTCGTTTTCCATGATTCTCTTCCGTTTAGCAACTATTATTCTCCTTGCATGTCCATCATCCCTGCACGTTTCCCTCATGCTTTCAGAACGCAACGGCGTCAGTCGTGTCTATTATGAATGTGGAAATGAATGGCAGCGGCAAGGGAAAGGGAGGAGCTGGAGAGGAAGTCATGGAAGGAATCGGCTCCGGTTTCGTCTGGGATGAATACGGTCACATTGTAAGATACTGCTATCATTGCGTTGATGGTGCGCTCCACAACACTGTCTGGGCATGTTACAGTGCAATGCCGAATCACACAGTAGGAAGTCATTGCGGTGGCTAGGCCTTGAAGAATCTCACATTGAGATTGACAATGGTCAGGTACATTGCAGTGTATGCTGTGCATTCCTCTACATCATCTCATGCACACGGTAATCTCCTTCCACCTCCATCTCGCTGACGTGGCAGGTCACCAACTACCATGTGGTTGCCAAGCTGGCGACTGACACTTCTGGGCGGCAAGCCTGCAGGGTGAGAATGGAGGGAAGCAGAGGCGAGAGTAGCATTGTAAGAGCTAGAGGGTGGTGACATTTCTGCTCGGAGAGGAGGATGCCGTAGTCATGCAAAACCTTTTCACCACCAGTGCAGTCAGTGTTAACTCTCCCCTCCACTTTTGTCCCTGATTGAAGCTCCCAAGCGTATTTTGCTACAATTCTCGCCTGCCTCTCCCTCTCCAGGTGTCGCTTCTCGGCCCAACAGGCGCTATGCAGACCTACGCAGCTACACTTGTCGGCACTGACCCCTCCAGAGACCTTGCTGTACTCAAGGTGAGTTCTGGAGAATCCCTCGCCTCTTTTCTTGGTTAAGCTAAATGGATGACCCCAGAAATTGACTATCTAATAAATTCTTACCCTGGCATCAATTTCTGTTTGAGCGCCCACTTTACTTCTGATTGTGCCCTGCCCTGTATTCCTGATGTTACCAGGTAGACCTATCTCAGCCTGTACCTGCAGCAGCGGATACAGGTGCAGCAGCAGACGGTGCAGCAGCAGTAGCAGCACCAGCAGCACCGACGCTGTATCCCATTCCTGTGGGCTCGTCATCGGACCTGAGGGTGGGCCAGAGCTGCTTTGCCATCGGCAACCCCTATGGCCTGCAGCACACACTCACTGCAGGGGTACGTGGACCTTGTCTGCTGGGGTAGCTGATGCTGAATCAGGCAGGTGATAGATGTATGGATGATAGTGGTATGGATGGCATGTGTACGGTGGAGCTGGTATGACTGAAGCTGTTAAAGACTATGCTGACTCTGTGGCAGGCAACGCACCCTCATTTCGTGAATTGTTTCGTGGGGTGGATGATTTCCAGGGTGATGGTTGCGGGGTACGTGGAATTTAATTGGGGTCATGCAGGGTACGTGTAACAAGCCCTTTTACTTTTTTCGTGCAGGTCATCAGTGGGCTCGGCAGGGAGATTCCTGCACCAACAGGTGCTGCCATCAGGGGAGCGATTCAGACCGACGCTGCCATCAATGCAGGTGAGAGATCCGTTGTAACTTGAGCAATGAAGGTACTGTAGCACCGTTTGGTTCAGAGGTACCGCTTTTGTAGGTGACATTGTCAGGGGGAAATAGGAGGCAGGGGGGGGAGGGGGAGAGGGGGGGTGGTTAAGGAGAGTGGGGTGGAGAGGAGGGGGAAGATTAGGCGGGAGAAAAGGGTTGAGAGAAGGGGGGGATCGTTTAGCAACCAATGCTGGCATCAGCCTGACTTGATTTTCCTGCACGCTGCCTGCCCATATAAAAGCCCGCCAACTTGATTTGTATGCATGTGCAGGAAATTCTGGTGGTCCTTTGCTCGACTCCTTTGGGCGGATCATAGGAGTAAATACGGCTACTTTCACTCGATCAGGTTAGTCATGTGTCACAGGAGTGGATGTGAGCTTCTGCGGTTTACTTTGGATCAACTGCTGCTAGTGACGACGGCTTTCTCATTTGTTCACAATTCTCATCTGTGCTGTAGTTCCTGTTCACTCCCCTCCACATTGCATGTGACAGGTTCTGGCTCTTCATCTGGAGTCAACTTCGCCATCCCAGTTGACACGGTCAGGAGAGTGGTGCCTCGACTCATTGTATATGGCTCTCCCAGACCACCACCTGTGTAGGTGTTACTTTACATGCCCATGTTGACATAGTGATGCGAGCGCCGAATTTGTTATTTATTAATGTAACGTCCTAACCGTCTGAACTTGAGGAGGGTCAAGACTTTCTCCTTGCACTACTTATTACCCAGAATCAGAGTAAATGTATGACCTTATTTGCCATGGACCACTTGAGCTTGGATTGCATAATTTCTTTTTTATTGGCGTACGCCATTGGAATATTTTTGTGTAAACCCACACTAACTCTACAAAGAGATTTTACACGTGACCAACGTGGCGTGCTGGGAGGACCCTGCCCAATCGATTTCCACGTCACCCCATCCTCACCCACAATCACTTCGCCTCGCGAACCTTCACGAAATCCTTCACTCGCCTCCCGTTTACCTATGATTTCCCAAATTCGCCAATCGGGGTCACATCTCTAACTGCGGGTAACCCTCTTTCTTCGTTGGCCTCTTCACGCGATAACCCCGGGGAATATCGTAGCAGCCCTCCCTGTCTCCTCTGTTTCAGCGGCCTATCTTATCCGCCTCGGCCCCCACCGCAGCCATCCCCGTCAAAGCAACCACCTACAGTTCCCAAGATAAAACAGCCGTACTGATATTGGTGAGCTCCCTCAGAAAGGATACTTGGTCCATCTTTCACCATGGCTGCCGTTACGAGCTCTCTCGCGCTCTCCGCGGCTCCCCGCGCTGCCATCCGCTGCTCCGCCGCGGATTCCGCTCCGTCCAGCCAGGCCGCTCCGGCGCAGGTCCGCGTAGCGTCGTCGGGTCTTCCGTCCTTCGCGAGGGTGTCCGCGGAGAATGCTGCGACGGCGATCGACCCGTCTGCGACGTTCGCGAATGTGATGTGGTCGAAGACGTACAACACGCAGATTCTGGTGGGCGAGAGCGAGAGCACGGAGTCGGTCGTGCGACGGTTTAAGAAGGTGTGCATGGAGGCGAACATCGTGAACGAGTGTCGCAGGCGACGCTTCTTCGAGACGCAGCAGGACATCATCAAGCGCAAGCAGAAGGACGCCGCCCGGCAACGCAAGCGATTCTCGTGAGTCTCTCGTGGTCACCCAAATACGCATTTCTTGTGTTACTACTTCTGTAGTTATTTTTCAAATGACGTTTGTAAATCCCGAGCATTTGCGGGTTGTATTGGCGACCTTCGTCCATCATGCGAGCTGGATGGTTGTTCCTCTGAGCGCGAGTGCGCGAGCGCATCAACGTATCAGTGCAGGTACGACGCTTACGACGTATGCAGCTGCAGTGCCTCTGCTGCGTTTCGCCCTTTTCATGCCAATGCCGCCATTCTCTTCGCGTCGGAGCGGGCTCGCCGCGGAAGAATCAGGGTTTATGCTTCATCGCATGGGACACGAGAGTGGCTTATCTCCGACGCGAGTTAGGGTTTCTCCCGCAGAGAAACGCCAATGAGCATTTGCGGGCTGGCGATTGGCCTGGGAGACCCACGTGGCGCGAGTGCGGTTGCGACGTCGTTGTAGGCGTTCGCAAGCAGGATTGGATTGGGTAGCACGCGGGCGGCGCTCGGGCGGCAGTCGGTGGGACGTGGTTGGGTCGACGGAGAGAAAAATGTTGTCTGTGGAGTCTCGGACGGTTGGAGAAAAACGCTATCCTCGTTACGGCGTGCGCGAAATGCACCGACGGTTTGGACAACACCGCCTAGAATCATCATGTCGCGAGGGTAGATTGCAATCTATGACGTATCGTAGCAGAGACCTACCGCATCGAACGGCTGTAGCAGAGTATCAGCTGCTGCAGGAGGGGAGCGAACACCAGGATTTTCTAGGCACTTAGAATAATTGGGCACACGCAGACGAGGGGGACAGCAGGAGGAGCTGGAGCAGCAGCAGGGACTGGCGTCATAGGCAGGAGAGTTTCGGCGGTGGCGCGAGGGAGTGTTACCAGATCGTATCATTTCATGTCTGTGTTACCTTTGCTGCTCTGCCCTTCACGCTGCATGCGTGCTTCACGCCCCTTCTTCACCTTTATCCCAGCTGCCCCCTCCATTCACACACCTTCTGCAAGTTGCTTCTGTTCTGCTTCTCCTCCCTCCCTCCCTCCCTCCCTCCCTCCCTCCCTCCCTCCCTCCCTCCCTCCCTCCCTCCCTCCCTCCCTCCCTCCCTCCCTCCCTCCCTCCCTCCCTCCCTCCCTCCCTTCCCCCCTCCCTCCCTTCCCCCCTCCCTCCCTCCCTCCCTCCCTCCCTCCCTCCCTCCCTCCCTTCCCCCCTCCCTCCCTCCCTCCCTCCCTCCCTTCCCCCCTCCCTCCCTCCCTCCCTCCCTCCCTCCCTCCCTCCCTCCCTCCCTCCCTCCCTCCCTTCCCCCCTCCCTCCCTCCCTCCCTCCCTCCCTCCCTCCCTCCCTTCCCCCCTCCCTCCCTCCCTCCCTCCCTCCCTCCCTCCCTCCCTCCCTCCCTCCCTCCCTCCCTCCCTCCCTCCCTCCCTCCCTCCCTCCCTTCCCCCCTCCCTCCCTCCCTCCCTCCCTTCCCCCCCCCTCCCTCCCTTCCCCCCTCCCCCCCTCCCTCCCTCCCTTCCCCCCTCCCTCCCTCCCTCCCTCCCTCCCTCCCTCCCTCCCTCCCTCCCTCTCCCCTCCTCCCCTCCACTGCTCCCTCTCTCTCCTCTCTCTCACCATAATCCCCACATGCGTGCCTGCTTTGGCCCTCGCCCCTTCACACACGCCCCTGCAAGTGCCATCCAGGCAGCAGGGATTATTCCAGTGCCTTTTTCATGATGTCTCTCCATACCTTGTTCTACTCTTCTATCTTCCCCATCACAGCCGTGCCCTCGTCTTACTCGCACCCCTTCTTCGCGCGTGACCCTGCAGCGGCCAACAAAGCAGCCGCCAGAGACGCGCTGTTCTTACCCTCTGTCGCTACTCGTATTCATGATTGCTTCTCCTTTTATCTGCTCCCGTCCCTCTCTCCCCACCACAACCGTGCCTCGTCCGGTCCACGCCCCTTCTTCACGCGCGGCCCTGCAGCGGCCACGGACATACAATTCTTGCCCTCTGTCTCTACGATTATTGATAACTGGTTTTCCTTTTGCTGCCCCTCACCCTTCCCCACCGCAGCCGTGCCTCGTCTGGCCCGCGTCCCTTCTTCCAGCGTGACCCGGCAGCGGCCAACAAAGCAGCAGCGGCTGCCAGCGACGACGACGACGATTTCTGGGATGCTCAGGTCGAGCTGTAGAGAGGACATTTGTCATTCGTGAACCTCAATGTTGGATATCACTGTAGCTGTTATATTGGCAGTACATAACTACAGCGACTTGCATGCAAGCTTGGCTTAAAACCCAGGGTCCACAGGTTTCAAAGGTAGGAAGGTTGGTTGGACTTTGTGCCAAAACCAAAGGTAGGAAGCTTGGTTGGACCTTGTAACCCAACCAAAGGTAGGAAGGATGAGGCAACTTCGGGAAACTTGAGACCCCGGTTTTAAACGCAACTGCTGCAACTGCAACTGCACAGAGGTGGCAAAATTCTACAGGCAGGTCAGCTTATAAGCGGGCTGAAACTACCCTCACCGCCCTTATGTGAGCTTGGCATGGAATCACTGTAGCACATCCTTGTGAACGTGAAATTTCTCCACTAGCATAAATGGTAGCTAACACAGTACGTCAACCATCTGTCAAAGTCGCAAGCCACCCACCAGAAAAAACAGGCGGTGCAATGTGGCATTTGCAGCATTACATAGAGAAGTTGCTAATTGAGAAAGCTTGCTTTCTTGTCCTTATAATTTGGCATCGTTCTCATTGCAACTGGCTTATTACAACATATGCAACGTTCTTAAACACATGCTAGTACATACAAATATTACTAGCTATAGAGTCGTCCGTCCAAGCAGCAGTGGTCTTGTAGTTGGTCCGGGGTGGGTGGTGGGGATGTTGATTGAGCCGTTGAAAAACGAGAAACGTGGGTGGAGGGAATGAACTCCAACCCACGGTTTTTGTAGTTGGAGAAGGGCGTTTAGCGCGCTTCGACGCTGCCAAATATTCGGTACAGGCAGCTTCGCTTTCACAATACACAATTTTGAAAACATCAATGTGTTTAAAAATTATAATATTTTAAAAGGTTCAGTGCTACCGTATTCACAGTGGTGCCACATGCACAACCAAAGAATGCAGTACAGGTAAGAAGCGAGATCGTGTCACGGCTTGCGGAATGCCTCCAGAATGTTGCGGTGAGCTGACAGCTTCTCCACCTTGGTGGGCTTGAGGGACTGCCAGAGGATCAGGTGGGATAAGATGGGAAGGGATGGGAAGGGATGGGTTGGGATGGGGTGGGTGGGTGGGATGAGCGGGTGCAAGAGACAATATGATAGAACACTTCCAGGATGTTGCAGTGAGAGTGACATTCTGCAGTGCGCTGGCAGCTTCTCCATCCAGCTTGGTGGGCTTGAGGGAATTGCGAGAGAGAGGATGGGGTAACAGGTTGGGTGGGAATCATGAAGAATGCAGCAAATGGTTGAAGCAATGCACGTATGTTTTAGGGAATGCACGTATGCTACCTGTAGAAGTGGGGGATACACCATTCGCATTTTGGTATTTGAAGATATGTTGAAGATATGTTAAGCTATGGTATGGTGTGACTATGCTTGCAACGAAACTCACCCCTGCTAGCAGGTTGGACGGGCGAGCATGCTCCTTGCTCACATACTCACTCAAAGACCGGACCATGTCACACAACTCACACCCCACCACACCGCACAGCACCATGCTCGCAACAAAGCTCACCCCTGCGAGCAGCTTGGAGAGGCGAGCGTGTTCCTTGCTCACATACTCCTCGCCCTGCTCCACAAGATTCTTCATCACCTTCTGATAAAACACCCCGTGCCTGGTGGGTGGGGTGGTTAGCATGGGAGGCATGTAGGCATGGAGGAGACAAAGAAGCACTGTCAAAAATCCGTTGCATAATCCCCCTCGCCCTGCTCCACTATGCTCTTCATCACCTCCTAAGAAAACACCCCGTGCCTGGTGGGTGGGACGTGCAGGGTGGCAGGCATGAGAGGCATGAGCCACATGAGCGGCATGAAAGGGACAAGAACCGCTTTCAAAGCTCATCACATACTCCTCGCCCTGTACTCCACTATGCTCTTCATCAAAACTCATAGAACACCCCGTGCCTGGTGGGTGGAGTGGGTGGGGTGGGAGGCATTGGAAGCATGTAGTAGACATGGATGAGACAGGTTCAAAGCTCTGATACGACTATGTGCCTGGTGACTTTTAATGTGCCTCAAAATTCTTGTGATTTCAAGCTCCTTCCACTACGAATGTGATTTCCTTCCGGCATACATCGAATGTGTTTCAGCACCTCTGGTGCTACGCACCCACCACCCACAAGCACTTTCCCACCCCATCCCTCTCCCTTTCCCTCCCCCCCACTCACTCCGTCTGAGGCGCCACCACCGCTCCCATCGTGTGCACCCCACTCACACACCTCCTTTCCCCCTCTTCCCCTTCCCCCCCCAAACAACTCACTCTTCCATCTCAGGCGCCACCACCACTCCCATCGCCCTTGTACCATGCCCAAATGCCACACCCCCAAACCCTTCCCCTCACCCCATCTTCCCCTTCCCCCCAAGCAACTCACTCCTCCAGCTCAGGCGCCACCACCACTCCCATGGCCCTCATGCCACGCCCAAATGCCACAACCAACCGCCCTTAAACCCCTCCCCATCTTCCCCTCCCCTTTCCCCCCCCAAGCAACTCACTCCTCCAGCTCAGGCGCCACCACCACTCCCATGGCCCGTGCCCTAACGCTCCACTCGCCCCCCAACCCTGCCCTGATCCCTTTACCTCTCCCATCCTCCTTCAACCTCCCCCGCCCCCTCCCCAAGCAACTCACTTCTCCAGCTCAGGCGCCACCACCACTCCCATCGCCCGCTCCATCAACTGCTGCTTCTCTGCCTCCGACGCTTCCAGGAAGCTTCCCGCCATAGCATCCAGCTCAGCAATGCGCCCCACCTGCAGTAGGGTGGAGAGAGCGGGGAGGGCGGAGAAAAAAGGGGGGAGAGGGGGGGAAGGGCGGAAAAAGAAGGGGGGGAAGAGGGAGACGGAGTGGGGCATATGGAGCGGCGGGAGAAGGGGAGAGATGGGGGAGGGTTCAAAACCTTTTGAAGAAGGCTAATCAAGGGAAATTCCATGGGAGAATTGCTTGGTTCCGGTACAAGGCACGAGGTACAGTGGTTCCGGTTCCTGGTACAGTGGTTGACGACATGCACGAGGCCTACAGGGGTGGGCAAGAAAGAATTAAGCTAGAGAGGGGAGAGCGTACCTCATTGCAGGGTACCTCACCAAAGAAAGAGGGCAACCTTACCTTATCCAGAGGCACTCCATAGGAGGTTTGCGTGGTGCCGGTGTACTGGTTGACGAAGTGCACGAGGTCGGTGAGCGTGGGCAGGGGGTCCCCCTTGAGGTCCTCCCCGTACTTGTTAGTTTTGGTGAAGAACTTGAAGAACGGAAACTCCGTGATCTTGAACCTGTAGTAGAGGGAGGGGGGAAGGAGCACAGGAACAAGAGGGGCAAAGAGGAAAGTGGGAGAGGGTGGGCAGGGTGGGCAGCGGGTCCCCCTTGAGGTCCTCCCCGTACTTGTTGGTCTTTGTGAAGAACTTGAAGAACGGATACTCCGTGATCTTGAACCTGTAATGCAGGGGGGAAGGGGGTAGGGGTAGGAGGGCAGGAAGCAATGGAACAGGAGGGCAGAGGGGGCAGTGGGGCAGGAGACAACGCAGTGGGAGGGGGAACAAGCGTGAGCGCCCTTGACTTAAGGTCCTCTCCTCTCCTCCACTACCCTAACGGCCAGTGGGAGACACCTTAACAGCCTGCCACCTGGGTCTGCCCACCTTTTCCCCCTGCAGTTCCCCCTGCCTCCTGCCCTCCTGCCCCACCCCTCTCACAGCTCGACCTTGCTCTGCTCCCCCTGCCACATCAGCATGCCCCACCTGTGAGCGAGCATGCCACCTTGGCGAACACAATGCTCTCTGAGACGTCTCACACATGGGGGTCAGGGTGACGTGACGTGACAGGCGAGCCCTGACGTGACAGGCGAGCAAGCAAGCCCCTCGAGTCTCACGCACCTGTGAGCGAGCATGCCATTTTTGTCTCACTTGTTGCTGCCACACCACCAGCATGCGCCACCCTAGCCTGCCCGAACAGTCTCACGCACCTGTGAGCCAGCATGCCGTTGTTGTCTGCATCCACCTTGGCGAACACAATGCTCTGCTCGCCCTTGAAGATATTGGCTAGCTTCTCCACCGTCTGCGGGAAGGTGGGCGCCACGGGGGAAGATATGAGAGGGGACAAGAGAGGGGGTGATGGAAAGAGGCATGAAACGAAGGGAAACGAAGGGTGCAAGGAACAAAGGGTGCTGTGAAACAAAAGGCTCGATAAATCAAAGAGCGTAATCAGATGAAGGGTTACCTTTGTCATCTCCTTGCATGGCTTGCACCTGTGAGCGGGGGAATGGGAGAGAGGGGAGTAAGAGAGGGGGGTTGGGGAAAATAAGAGGGGAGGTTGGGGAGTAAGAGAGTGGAAGAAAAAAGAGTGGGAGAGAGAGCGCGGAGTATTAGGTAAAGGGAGATTTAGGAAACGGGAAGCACGAGCGCATGTGTGCAAGCGCAAGTGAGAAAATTTGTGAATGTGAGTACAAGTGTGTGTGAGGGCATTGGAATAAGCATGTAAACATAATGTCAATCCCTCCACCCCGCCCATTCCGACACATTTCGGTTGTAAACAAAAAGTTGTTTGTGTCATAAAAACATAACCCTCACTCTTTATTCAACCCTTCATGTGTTACTTTCTTGAATGCCCTCACACAGTATCATAGCAGTAAGCAAAGGGCGCTTGGTCTGATTCGTCTGCAACTCGTCATTCGCAATGCTTGTCCCCAAACCCTCTTGACCTCACTCACTCACTCACTCACTCACTCACTCACTCACTCACTCACTCCCTCTTGATGCGCTCACTAACACGAAACCCCACCACTCACGCGGCGTCATAGTAGTAGGTGAAGAGGTGCTTGGTGTTAATCCAGCATGACCATTCACTCACTCACTCACTCACTCACTCACTCACTCACTCACTCAATCACTCATTTCAACTCACGCGGCGTCATAGTAGTAGGTGAAGAGGTGCTTGGTGTCGTCCAGCATTACGGAGGGGAAGGCCCACGTGGTCAGCTCCATCACCCGCGACT